TACCACTGAACTGATATATGTACAACCAATTTGATACGTAAGCAAACCAACAATTTTCCATTAGTATCACCACTAGCCGTGGAGTAGAATGTGTTATCAAAAAAGGAAACTGCCAACAACAATAAAATATCCAACCAATGTAACAAATGAAACATGAAGTCACTAAGAAATTATTTGTGGGAAGTCTAAACAACGGTAAATCGGGTGTCTAGGATGACCGAGTCACTTAGGTAATTTGATGGGAAAACAGAATTTGAATTATAAAGTTGGGGTTGCACTTCTTGCCGCTAACATCATCAGTACTTTTCCTCTTCCTCCTATATTGTCCGTTATCCCGGCTCTCACAGCGTTGCTTCTTGTTGGTACCCGCACCCGAGGAATGATCTTGACCTACCTCAACTTCTACATGGCGAGGAACATAGCTTCCATGCCTCTTTCCTTTAGGCACTCCAAGTTACGGTCTCTTCGTCCCGACCATTCCTGTAGACAATAATCAACACTATCAATGCAGTGATAGAAATATGAGTTTGAGAAGTAAGACAACTATCACTATAGTGGTAGAATTCAGTGGTAGAATTACCAATACATCTTTGCAACTATCACTGCAGTGATATAAATCAATGGTACAATTACAATTACAACGGTACACCAAATACCGCACTATTGGTAGACATACAATAACATTCACAAGGCTAACTATTAGTGGTACAATTAAAATTACAACGGTACACCAAATACCGCACTAGTGGTAGAAATACAAGAACATTCACACGACTAACTATCAATATAATGATAGACTATGGTCATAGAAATAACACTTCATTATCCAAGAATCAACTATCACCGGAGTGGTACACTTTCGTGCCAGAATCAACAATATATACCACTTCGGTGATAGACATACACAGAACGCTTTGTCAAATCAACTATCACTGGAGTGGTACACTTCTTTGCCAAAGTCTAACAATTTATACCACTACAGTGATAGACATACCAGTACACTGGTACTAATACCAGATGAAAAAATCCACACAAAAAACCCAGATTTGGGTTTGGGAGAAACAGACAATAGGGGAGAGAGAGCTACCTCAATTTCTTCGTCGTTGTCTTCGCCGGGAAGGGGAGGAGGGCCACCGCAGGAACGGTATGAGTGAAGTCATCTCGTAGGGAAGGTGAGGAGGGTCGCCGTCTTCTCCATCGATCCCTTTGCAGTGCCGAGCTTTGTGGAAGGAGATGGAGAGTCGCGGCGGCAAGCATGGTGTTGCTCGGAGAACAGCAACAACCATCATCCGAGACTTAGCCCACGACGGAGGATGGGGGAGAGTCGGAGGGAGAGGATCTTGTTGGTGCATCGACGACCGAAAACCATGGACCGTGGCGGGGAAGAGGTGACGGCGGCTAACAGGGGAAGAGGGAAATCGAGGGAGAGAGAAGGAGAAAGGGAGTGTTAGAATATGACTTGAATTTTATTTGAGTTTGTTTTGTGTTTTGGGCCTATTCTGTTTGGGTTTTGTTTTGGCCTTTTCCTTGTAGGTTTGGAAAAGGTGTTTGGTTTTCTTTTTGGGATTAGGAGAAGAGTTCTATAAATACTCTTTATCACCCTAGTCTGTAGTAGGTTCAGTCAGGTTAGTTTGTTTGGTTTGTCCGTTTGGAATTTGGTTTGTAACCTGTACTCTCCTCAAAAATCAGTGAAATTTGTTCTCCTCTGGCCGTGGATTAGCTAGCACACATTGTGTTAGTGAACCACGTTAAATTTGTGCTCGTTCGTGTTGGTTTGGATTATCGATTGCACGCTTTTGTTCTGACAAGTGGTATCAGAGCCTTTGGTTGCGGTTTTGGGAATTTGGCGCTGGACTGAAGTGTTGATTTGTGGAGGTAGCTTTCAATTCTTCAGCTTGGTTCGGTGGAGGAATCGCTTTGAAGTTGACTTTGGGTACTTGTGTTTTGGTCTCGCTTGTTTGGTGAGAAGTTTAGTTGGAGTTTGTTTGATAGTAAGAATGGCTGCTATCAGTTTGAAGATCGAGAAGTCAATTTGGAGTTGCAGGTTTGGAGTTAGTAGTATATTTGATGTTGGTGTTATCGACGGAAATAACACCAAGTTGGTTCTGCATGGCAAGTCCCAACATGAGTTGGACTTGCTGCATGTTTTGATTTGTTGATCGCCCTTAGGGGCATTTGGAGGCAGGGGAGGTCCTGGTACAGCTGATTTGGAGGAGTTATTACGTCTGGCAATTCTGATTGCATCTGAGTTTGGCAATTTGCATCGGGTTTGGTCTGGCGATATGAATCGCATTTGGATATGTCTGGCAATCTTGATTGCGTTTGAGTTTGGCGGTTTCGATCGCATTTGGATACGTCTGGCGATATGTATCGCGGTTGGGTACATTTGGCAACTTAGGTTGCGTCTGGTACATCTGGCAACTTTGGTTGCATCTAGTATATCTGGTATTTGAGAGAGAATTCAAGTCAAGGTGGAGATTGTTAGAATATGACTTGAATTTTATTTGAGTTTGTTTTGTGTTTTGGGCCTATTCTGTTTGGGTTTTGTTTTGGCCTTTTCCTTGTAGGTTTGGAAAAGGTGTTTGGTTTTCTTTTTGAGATTAGGAGAAGAGTTCTATAAATACTCTTTATCACCCTAGTTTGTAGTAGGGTCAGTCAGGTTAGTTTGTTTGGTTTGTCCGTTTGGAATTTGGTTTGTAACCTGTACTCTCCTCAAAAATCAGTGAAATTTGTTCTCCTCTGGCAGTGGATTAGCTAGCACACATTGTGTTAGTGAACCACGTTAAATTTGTGCTCGTTCGTGTTGGTTTGGATTATCGATTGCACGCTTCTGTTCTGACAGGGAGAAAAAAAATGGGATTGAATTTTGAATTAGGGGTGTGAACCAATTTCCCCAGATTCTTTCCATTTTCCACTATAGTGAGAGAAACTTATTGTGTAATTAATATCCAATAAACAACTGATTAATCCTTACCATTGGATTAGATGAACCGTATCTAAGAGGGGTGTCAAAAATCAGACTCTTTAGGAGGGTATTCACGCTAACCGCTCCTTTCCCCGGGGTCGGATACTATGCCTACCCCCAAAGGGGTCTGATTTTTGACACCCCCTTTCTCATTGGTCAGTTTTTTTCTCAATCATTTGACAATTATTAATTACATTTGTTTTTTGTATTTTTTCCATAATCTTGTAATTTGGGAAAGTTATCAATAATAATTAAAAACTAATTGGGAAGGAGCAATCTTGTTAGATGGGGAAAGCGTCGATTGCTCTTCCAAGTCCAATATTCCCCATATTTTCTCCAAATAGCAATCCGACTCTCTACTCTGCAAAACTCGACGGCGATCGGAAACATCGGGCAGCGTCGCAGTGGGATCGCCTCCGACCCGCCTGGTGGGTTGCTCGTCGGAGGAGGAAGACACGTCGGAGGAGGAAGACACATGGGTTGCTCGTCTTCCATCCCAAACATCACCTTCCAACGACTTCCTCTTATCCACGGCATGCGCTTGATCTTCTCCTATCTCCAGCAGCCTCCGTCCTGGGATCGCCTCTGACCTACCGAGTCGGTTGCTCGCCGTCGAAGGACAAGAGGCAAGGTTATCGCCGGAGATCAAACAGATGAAGGCCACACCGAGAGGGAAGACGGATCCAACATTCCGCGCGACGATTCTGGCCATGCCAAGAACGGAGAATCTTGTGCGGCATCAAATGATGGGGGTGACGACGTGATCGGACTCTCCTCCCGAATGCAGGAGGCACCAATGGACTGGTACGTGTACCAGTGGAGTGGTACGTGTACCAGTGGAGTGATACTAGTAACCATATGTTCTGTTTAGGCTTAAAAAAAATTGTGAACACAGTTTTTGGCTACTAATGGAAAGTTCCTATTTTGTTGACTGATTGAAATGTTTCTTGTGTTTCTTGTGCCAGATTTATATTTCATGATCAAGTATGAGTATTCATATATTGAGGACAGTCTTGATTAGTACCAGTTCAGTGGTATAAGTACCAATATAGTGGTATAAGTACCAGTTAATTGATATGTATACCAGTCTAGTGGTATAATACAAGTTCAGTAGTATATATGTACCACTGAAGTATTATGATTACCGCTGAAGTTGTGCGAAGACCATTTCTATTCCATTACTCGTCGGCAAAGATATTTCCATGAAATTGAAAGAAGTTAACCAATAATACGACAAAGAAAAATAATAAAATCAATTCCAAACTTCAAAAGGTGGAGACCACAATATTTTCATGACGATGACACTGCCGTGAATATGTACCACTCCACTGGTACACGTACCACTCCACTGGTACACGTACCAGTCCATTGGTGCATTTCCTCTGCCGCCTAGTGGTACGGTGTAATTAAAGTATAAAACTGAAACGGTGAAATTAAAAAAGGTAACTGAAACGGTGAAATTAAAAAAGGTAAGAGGGAATGAATAATTATGAGTGGAGGAACCCACTATTTACTTCCTTCTCTCTGCATAATTAATATGACAATTAATTCTTTCTCTATCCATATTTATTTGGGACAGCCATTAATACTTGTCTAATAATTAAGTATAAAACTGACCAATCAAAAGGAGGGTGTCGAAAATCACTACCCCTTTAGGGGTAGTCACGCTAACCGAACCCTCATTCCCCCACTACATCCGAGGTCATTCAATTTTGTAGCTGCCGTCTTGCGGTCCAACTGTCCCTTAACGGTTGTCACAATACATCAAATGTTTGTATCTGACTATAAATATCGGATCTAGTTGCCATTACTAGCTACGCCTGCTACCTTAATTAAATCAAAACAAAAAATGCATAAAATTTAATTTCTTGCCATCACTATACAGCTACGAATTCCTTTTTTTTTTTTCACACACATCATAATCCTATTCGCTCCTTCTCCCTATATAAACTCCGTTCTCCCTCGACGAAAAATACACATTCCGCAACCAACCTTATAGCGACCACACCACCACTTTTAGCAACCACCAAACACAATGGCCAAAAACCACGTAATCATCTTCCCGTTCATGGCACAAGGCCACACCCTCCCTCTCCTTGACCTCGCCAAGTCCCTCTCTTCCCACAACCTCCGCGTCACCGTCGTCACCACTCCCTCCAACGCCGAATCCATCTCCGACCGCCTCCCTCCGGCCAGCCACCCGAACATTTCCCTCGCCGTGATACCCTTCCCGGCCATCTCCGGCCTGCCGGACGGGACAGAGAACACCTCCCAGCTCCCTTCCATGGAAAAATTCATCCTCCCTTTCCTCCACGCCACCAAGAAGCTCCAAGAGCCCTTCGAAAAACTCCTCGCCGCCGCCGCGGCCGGATCCGACGCGGACCGCCCGCTGTGCGTCGTCTCCGACTTCTTCCTCGCGTGGACGCTCGACACGTGTCGAGCGTACGGCGTCCCGCGGCTGGTCTTCCACGGGATGAGCGTCTGCGCCATGGCGCTCAGCAAGTCGCTGTGGCGCGCCGCGCCGCGGCTGGTCGGAGCCGGTGCAAATGAGCCGTTGGATGTTCCCAACATGAATTTGCCTTTTGATCTGACGGTGGGGGAAGTGCCGTGGGAAATTATGGTCAACGGGATTGGTGGGCCCGGGAATCCTTTTGTCGAGTTCATGGAGGAGGTTGGGTGGGCCGACGTCAACAGCTGGGGGGTTGTGGTCAACAGCTTCGAGGAGTTGGAGCTGAGCCATATTCCGGCTCTCGAGTCGTTTTATCGCGACGGGGCCAGGGCTTGGTGCCTGGGCCCGTTGTTTCTGTGCGACCAGGCCCAGGCCCAGGCGCCCCGAGATAAGAGTAAGGGAGCTGAGGGCTTGTTCGAGCTGGGTCGGTGGCTCGATGAGCGAGCCGTGGCGCCGCCTGGATCGGTGATGTACGTTTCGTTCGGGACCCAGGCGGACGTCTCGAGCGCTCAGCTCGATGAATTGGCTCACGGGCTCGAGATGTCTGGAGTCCCGTTCGTATGGGTGGTTCGGTCGGGTTCGTGGTCCGTTCCGGAAGGGTTGGAGGGGAGGATCGAAGGGAGGGGGTTGATCCTGAGGAAATGGGTCGACCAGCGTTACATGCTGGGTCATCGGGCCGTGGGCGGGTTTCTGAGCCACTGCGGGTGGAACTCGGTGCTGGAGAGCGTGTCGGCTGGGGTGCCGATTCTGGCATGGCCCATGATGGCCGAGCAGCCGTTCAACGCGAAGCTGATCGTGGAAGGGCTCGAAGCCGGGCTGCGAATCGAGGCCGCTGGCTCCAGAGTTGCTGATGATGGTGTCGTGTTTAAGCGCGAAGCCATATGTCGAGGGGTGAGGGAGCTGATGGGCGGGGCGAAGGGGCGACGCGCCAGGGATCGAGCCCAGGCCCTGGGCCGGGTGGCTCACCGAGCCGTGGGGGACGGCGGCTCGTCTCGGGATGCCATGACCCGCTTGATTTCCGAGCTTCGCGAGTGCTAGCTATTTGTTTGATGGGTTAAATTATACAAATATGCAAATTTGCATGTATGTAATATGTGTCTCCTATTCTTTTTCTTCATATCTCTCGTGTCTTCATGTTGTTTATGTGTTCTGTTTTGGGACTGAATTAAAGATTTATTCGATGTTATGTTGCTTTCTATAGGTCGTGCACTCATTTGGCTCGATGCATATGTAGAGTAGCCACTTGAGCTACTCCCCACGTGGCGGCAGCGGATTGATGGTCTTTCATTTGGAGTTTCGTTGCTACTTGCTAGTCACTTATGAGCTCCTTGGTTTATTGGTAGTCATTGTACGTTTTAAATTCGTCTTAAGTGACAATTAACTGGAAATTTTGATCGAGTCACAAGTCTTTCAGTTCCGTTAAACTCGTACTAAGTGACACTCTATGATAAACTATCCTTTCTGAACTCAACATGTGAGAAAGCAAGTATTAATATCGAATTACTCATCCCGATGTGCTTCATTGTCATCTTGTTTGCTTGATGGATTTGGTGAGGAATTTGGATCCATCATGGACTTTGTCCAAAATTCATTGTTTGTTTTGATGCATTTAGTGGCAACAAATTCGTGGATCCCACGAATTTTAAGAGGCAAAATCCGTGGACCCCACGGACTTGAAAGTTTCACCTATTTAGATGGGAATTGATCATGGACTTTGAAGTCCATCATTTAAGACCAAACTATCCCTCCTATTTCATTTCTCTTCTAATACCAATGAGAATAATGAAGGTAAATTTCACTTCATACATACAAATTTAATTAACCAATTCCATCATTATTCTATGAGACAAACAATGTAATTTTTCAAGTACATGATGAACCCAAAACCCTCATATATCCATGGTCTTACAAAATCCAAATTTTATCAAAACGTTTATTTTTCTAATCCACGAAGCAAACGACTCCTAAGACTGATTGAGCTTAGAAAGGGTTCCCATAACTCCTTTCTTGGGAGTCATAAAAGCCCGCCCCAAGCCGCCACAGTCCAGCCCACAAGGGAAACGGAAAACCGGCCCAAAGAAGTCTTCTTTTGCGTTCCTCTCATTCTCATTTCTCAACACTCGGGATCAAATAGTAACGGAAGGGGAAAGAAGCGGGGACTGAGGTTTTCTCGTCCTCACCGTATCTGCGATTTCTCCTTCTCGCCAGGTGACTCTCACGAAAATTTGCTTGCGCTTTCTTGCCAGCGTCATGTTCGATTCAGCGAAGATTTTGATTTGTCATATTCCCTTCTGTTTCAAGTTTTAGCGCGCTGCCGGTAGTCTTCCAAGGGTCCTGTATCTGTTTTTTTCTTTTTTTTGGCATCGTCCTCTTGAGGGTTTGTCGAAAGGCGAAGTCTTTTGTTTAATATGTTAGAATCTCGAAGCCTCAAGTGAGCTTCAGATAGCTGATGGGAAGTGTTGGCTGAATGTGTGTTTTGGCTATATTGGGTATTGGGGGGTTTTTTGGTTGGAGGCTTGTTTAACCTTTTGTTTCTTCTCGTTTTCACAGATTTCATCGACAAAATGTCTCGTGTTTACGTGGGTAACTTGGATCCTCGGGTTAGTGAGCGTGACCTTGAGGACGAGTTCCGGAAATTCGGTGTGATCAGAAGGTTTAAAGTCTTGTTAATTATTTGGTTTCCTATCCACAGTTGTTTGCTATCTGAGAATCACGCTTGAATTACAGTCTGGATTGTACAGTAATGACATTGCCGCATCAGAAGTTCACGTTATCTCTGTGGTCGCCTCTTGATTCATTTGGTTTGTTTGTTTGTTGTTATACTTGCAGTGTTTGGGTTGCCCGACGACCTCCAGGTTACGCCTTTATCGACTTTGATGACAAAAGGGATGCTCAGGATGCTATTCATGAGTTAGATGGTATAGTTTTTTTTTTCTTCCTGTTATCTGAAGTGGCTGTTTTCACCTTTTTCTTCATGTGGTTGAATAAATGTTGATGTCTACTTTCTCCTTCTCAAGTTCGATGCATTATCTCTTCCTGTGCGCCCCTTTGCTCTGGGTTTACGAGTGCTGATTTTTTTACTCTTTGTGAATCGTGAAACTGTACTCTTGGGCATTGGCGGAGAAAGTGGCTATCTATGTACTTGGCTCTGTGCCTCTGTGTTACAAATTTATGCATACTATACTCGAATGATGTTACTCAGGTAAAAATGGATGGAGAGTCGAGATGTCCCACAATTCAAGAGGTGGCGGTGGTGGTAGAGGTGAAGGTGGTAGAGGTGGAGGCCGGTTTGGAGGTTCAGATTTGAAGTGCTATGAGTGTGGGGAGCCAGGTCATTTTGCACGTGAATGTCGATCGCGTGGTGGTTCAGGAAGAAGACGAAGCCGCAGTCCTAGATACCGAAGGAGTCCCAGTTATGGCCGAAGGTGATGCATGGAGCAAACTTCTGTACTCTCTTCTTTTTATCAACCTATGTGAGATTTTGGTCTGACTTTGGCTGCTCTGTGGTAGTAGGAGTTACAGTCCTCGAGGAGGAAGATCCCCTAGACGCCCTATTGATTCACCCCGCCGCAGCATCAGCAGGTCACCACCACCATACCGTGGACGTGAAGAGGCACCACCCTATACCAATGGGTGAAGTCTCTAGAACTTTATCTCTGATCATTTCATGGCAACCATTAATAGAAAACCTTATTTGATTCAGCCAAAATTTTATGTTGTATGAACTTTAGCTGTTATGTTCCTAGTATGACCATAGTCAAGCAATTCTTAAGCATTATGAACTTCATTTCAGTTTTGTTTGGAATACTTGTGCTTTATTTTTATTCTAATATCACCGGCTCTCTTTATTTGCAGCAATGGTCTGAGGGAAAGACGCCGGAGCAGGAGTTAGATATTTTACTATCAGTGTTTCAGTGAGAGCTAAATGGATTAGACATGTTTATTGTGTTTGCACTTCACTACTACTATGTCGGGCTCTGCATCTCGGACTTGGATAAGTTTCCTTCTTATACAGTCACTCGGGTTTTGTTGGTTTTTCATATTTTGAAGTATCTGTAGGGAGTCGTACTAGTTATTTGAGTTGAATTGTTCCTTATTGTGGTTCTAAAGACTCTGCTTTTCTTTTGTGTTGAGGTTTCGTCTGCCATCTGCATCTGCATTCTGCTTCCAATCTCCCGTTGGTTGTGTGCTTCTACACTTCCAGTTTCATTCTCCACTGCCCCTGCATTTGGGATCTTCAATTTTGAATGGTTGGGGTTCTGCGGTACTTGTGTAGATGCTTCTGTTTGATTGAACTCTCCCGGCTATGATGCGACGCACTCAATTTCTCTTGGGATGCCCCTTGTTTAGAAGTTTCTCTTTGATTGAACTCTCCCTGCTATGTCGCGACGCCCTCAAATTCTAGTGGGATTGCTCTGCTCTCAAATTCTATTGGGTTCTATTGAGTTTAACTTAAAAGAGGTCTGCTTCAAACTCTTCTGTCAGGTACTTGCATCTGTTCCTGGAAGTTGAAAGTTTAGAGGTGTTGAAATGATGGTCTTAAGATAACTTGAATAAGACAGGCAAGCAATTTGATTCTTGGATTTTTAGAGCCACTTTAAAAGTAAATCCTCCTTTCGGTTTTCATGTACCAAGGTTTGGTTCCATGAAGGTAGGGTCAGTTTATATGCCATAATCTTGAAGCATGATAAAGTCTTTGAAAACGCCAATGAAATGTTTCTGTGTTCTTCACCGTTGAAATGTTTCATTTGATTTCATACATCTTTACATAGCCTCCTCCAAGCTTTCTGTGCATGATTCAAAAATAGATGCATCTTTGATTGAAATTGTGTTCAAGTGCTGACGATTCCAAGTTTGTCCTCCGTGTTGAAGTGGTTCTTCACTCATCATGTGCTGAGGACCTTGGACTACCTCTTCCAAAAGAACGAACTTCAACCGAGAATCTAATGTGTCCTTAGCTGCTTAGAGAGGCTATTTTCTTCCAAGTGGCCCAGCCATCCTAGCCTCTCTGAAGGTTCGGCTGGTGCCTGGCTTTCTGCACCTGTTGCAGGTAAGTCTTTTGTGGAATTGATCACATCTTTTTTTGGTCTCTAAGCTTGAGGTATTGTACAACTCAGCTTTATCTACCTAGCTCTACATATCTTGTCTGCTGAGAATTGCTGTGTCGTGAAGACGATTATGCTATACACTGGTCTGTACTTCGGGTAAAAACTCACGAATGAGTGGTTATCTTCCTGCTCGTATATAAATAGTCTCATTGCAGGACCTTGGGAGGCACGCAATCTTTTGATTCTGTGATACAGTGGTCGTGAATGAATTTTTTGCTTGTAAGTTGTGGATTCCCTTTTCCCGAGCTGTCTGTAGAACTGAATCTTCGTTCGAATAGAATTGCAGATTTAGATGGTTCAGCGATTGTGATATGCTTCTGTGTTTACGTTACATGCCCACTTTTCTTTGTGACGATGTTACTGTCCGATTGAAATGTTTGGGAAGTGACGAATACAATGGTCGAGACGTATGGTATAATGGGTTTATTGGGTTGGAAATTCGTCCAACTATGTATGCTCTGTTTGTAAACGTGCCATTTCGTTCAACTTTTCATCCTTCAGCTCCATTGATTCACCCTACTCTATTAAGCTTCGACCTCAACTCTCAATCGTTACCTAGGCCGTTGCCTCTAGTCCGTTTGAGTCTCCATTCTTGTTGCAAGGCACGAGGGTAGGATGAAATTGTTGAATTCAGAAAACGGCAAGGACAAATGTGCCAGTACCTTGATTCTAACCATCGTCAATCTCAACTTTGCGATCAGTATCAAATCGATCACAATGCAAGCTCGCGCTGTTACTAGATGATCTTGGAAGCAAGCATACCAATCATGCTACTCCTGATGATGTTGCTTGATCAGCATTCAACCTGAAACTGATGGTAGCGAAGGTTCGATAACCATTGATCGAACTCTCCATGAGATTCTTAACCATGTTATAATGGTAGCTAGCCAAACCTTCCCCTGAGCCAGTTCGAAGTGTGGGCCGCCTGAGTCCGCGGAGCCAACAGATAAATCGTAGCCCGGCCCATACATCTCTTGGCCCAATTTTCACGCGGGGACTGATTGTCGCAATATAACGATTAGAAAGGCTGAAAAGCAATTTTCTCTTCCAACCTCTAAAAAAATTCGCGATCAAGTGCGAGCGAAAGGTTGGAACAGCTACGCTAGGGTTTTCTTCCTCTTTGCATCTGCGATTTCCTCATCCCGCTCGGTATTTCTCCCGAAAAATTGCTTGCTCTTTACTGGCTCGCGAAGGGTTTTCCTTTTATCTTTCCTTCCGTCTCTCCTCAAGCTTTAGCGCGAAGTTGTAGTCTTTGAAGTATCCCGTTTCTGTTTTCCGCGTCGCCTCCCTTTTGGGGTTTGTCGAAAGGTGAAGTCTTTCTTAGGAATGTTAGGATCTTGTAGCTTCCCGTGAGCTTCTGGGGATGGGTTCTGTGGATATTTTGTTTGTTTTCTACATGTTTGGGTTCTGGGATCTTCAGTAGCAGGTTTGTTTAACATTCATTTCTTCTCTTTTTGCAGATTTCATTTGACGCAATGTCTCGCGTTTACATTGGTAATTTGGATCCGCGGGTTAGTGAGCGTGAACTGGAGGACGAGTTCAGGAAATTTGGTGTGATCAGAAGGTTAGACTCTTGAGCCTTGCTAATTATTTGTTCCCTATCCAGACTCAGTTTGCGTTGAGATATTTGTCTCCCATTCCTTCTCTGGTTTAGGGTCTGGATAGAAAAGTAATGATATTCTTCTATCAGAAGCTCTCCTTGTCTCTTAATTATCGTTTAAGTAACTGAATCTTTGTTATGTTTGTTGTATTCTAGTGTTTGGGTTGCCCGCCGACCTCCAGGTTATGCCTTTATCGAATTTGATGACAAAAGGGATGCTCAAGATGCTATTCATGAGCTAGATGGTAAAAATTTTCTGCTATCTGAAGTTGCTGACCTTTCCCTTCATGTGGCTGTATTTGGATGTTTTCCATTGTCCTATGCTGCAACTGTATGTAATAATAATAATATCATTATTATTATATTGAATGTTACCCAGGTAAAAATGGCTGGAGAGTTGAGATGTCTCACAACTCTAGAGGTGGTGGTGGTAGGGGCGGTGAAGGTGGTAGGGGTGGAGGTGGTCGGTTTGGAGGTTCGGATTTGAAGTGTTACGAGTGTGGGGAGCCTGGTCATTTTGCGCGCGAATGTCGCTCGCGTGGTGGATCAGGAAGGAGACGAAGCCCCAGCCCGAGATACAGAAGGAGTCCCGTTTATGGCCGGAGGTTATGTTTGGAACTAACTTCTGCATCTTCTCCTAACTTTTGTCGACATATATGAGTTGTTAGTCTGACTTCAGCTGCTCTGTGGCAGGAGTTACAGTCCTCGTGGTGGAAGATCTCCCAGACGCCGTAGTATTTCACCCCGCCAGCGCAGCTTCAGCAGGTCACCACCACCATACCGTGGGCGTGAAGAGGCACCACCCTATGCCAATGGGTGAAGTTTCTAGAACTTTATCTGTTATTATGTCATGACAAATCGTTAATGAATGACCATGGTTCATTCCATTACAATACCTTTATTATTGTATCAGCTTATGTTGATATTTGCCCTTTATTTCCTTTTACTATATGAAACCAATTTTTAAGCACTGTGACTTGATTGGATTTTATTTAAGAAATAGAACTGCTATATTTCTGTTCTAATATCACTAGCTCTGTTTATTTGCAGCAACGGTCTGAGGGACAGGCGCCGGAGCAGGAGTTAGATATCTTAATATCACAGCTTCATTGAAGCTTATTGGGTTAGGCATGCTTAATGTGTTAGTGCTTCACTACGACTGTGTTGAGGCTCTGCTTCTTGGACTTGGATAAGTTCCCTTCTGACTTATGTGTATGTGAAACTAGCTTTATATTTTGTTGGTTTTTCATATTTTTAAACATTATGTAGAGTAGTAGTAGCTCTTTAAGCCGGATTGTTCCTAGTATTGGTACTAAACACTTATGATTTTCTTTTGTGTTGAGGTTTCATCTGCGTCTGCTTCTGCTTCAAATCTTCCGTTGGTTTTCTGCTTCTTCACTTCCGGTTTCATTCTCTGCCGCACTTCTTCGTTGGTTTTGTGCTTCGCTTCCGGTTTCATTCTCTGCTACCCATCGTCTGTTGCTTTTGTGCTTCTTCGCTTCCGGTTTCATTCTCTGCTGCCCATCGTCTATTGGTTTGTGCTTCTTCGCTTCCGGTTTCATTCTCTGCTGCCCCTGCATTTGCGATCTTCAATATCGATTGGTGGGGGTCCGTACTACATGTCTACTCCTGCCTATGGTCTAGACAATTCTGTTTGATTGAAATCTTCCAGCCATGGTCTAGATGCTTCTGTTTGATAGAACTCTGCTGCTGCCTATGATGTGCCACCCTCAATTTCGATCGGGATTTCTTGTGTTTAACATGAGAGAAGGCCTCCATCAAACTCTTCTGGCAGGTACTTACATATGCTCCCCGAAGTTGAAAGTCTAGAAATATCAAAGTTATGGTTTTTAGGTATTATAGATAAGAAAAACGATTTGATTTTTACATTTTTCGGACTGCTTAAGTCGTGTTAAAGCAGTTTCCCTTCGGAGTTTTTCTTAAGGTTTTGGTCCATGAAATTAGCATTTATCTGGCATTATATTGCACCATGAAATCTTCTAAAAAGTCACATTGGGTATCTTTCTTCACCTTTGAAAGCTTTTATACCATAACTTTACATATTTATTGTTTCCTCCAAGGTTTCTCTGCAATAAGAGTCTGTGGATGATTTACAAATATCTACTTGTTTGATTGAAATTGTGTCGAAGTGTTGACAGTTCCAAGTTTGTCTTTGGTGTTGAAGTGGTTCTTCACTCATGTGCTGAGGACTTTGGACTCTCGTCGAAAAGTATGACATATTCAACTGAGAATCTACTGTGTAGTTAGCTGATTTGGGAGTCTATCCATCTTCATGTGGCTCAGCAATCCGAGCCTCAGCCCTTGGCTTTATAGCATTTGTTCTGTTCAACGCGTGGGGTTGTGGTACGTAGTTTTGTCTACCCAGTTATGTTGTCTCGTCTGCCAACAGTATTGTTGTGGGGGTGATGATGATGCTATGCACCATGGTCTTTACGTCGACTTCTTATCTATGAAAGCTGATGATTGATGGTTGGCATCACATAGTCGATATATAGTCTGTATGTTTGATTGAAGGTGTGTCATAAAGTGTTGACAGTTCCAAGGTTGTCCTTTGTTGAAGTGGTTCTTCACTCATCATGTGCCGAGGACTTTGGACTGTCTCGTCGAAAAGTGTGGCGTATTCCACTGAGAATCTACTGTGCCGTTAGCTGATTCAAGAGACCATCCATCTTCAAGTGGCTCAGCCATCCGAGCCTCACTGGAGCCTCTGTTCTTGGCTTGATAACCTTTGTTCTGTTCAAACAGATATAGATAGTCAGATACTCCGCCTTTTGCAGGTTACTCTTACGCGGGGTTGTGGTACGCAGTTTTGTCCACCCAGCCATGTTGTCTCGTCTGCCAACAGTATTGCTCTGTGGTGAAGATGATGATGCTATACACCATGGTGTTTACGTCGACTTCTCTCGTCTCCGAATGCTGATGATCGAGGGTTTGCATCTTGTAGTTGCTATGTAGTCTTTGTTTTTAGCACTTTAGAGGCACGGGCCTTCTGTGTCCTGTTCCGTAGAACTGTAGCGTTGTTAAGTGTGTAGGTTTAGATGGTTTGATAATTGGGGATGTGTTTCTGTGTCTGCAGTTGATGCACATTATATTGTGGCAGCGTTACGTTGCGATATTCTAGTGTGCCCTTGCTCGTCAAAACCATTTGCAGCATCTCTTCCCCTCGTAGTGTTAGTATGTAAGGGTCTTGCACTAGGGTCACACAGGCAGGGGAGGCATCACTTGCAACCACACTTTCCCAAGTAGTACAAGTTCTTGCACAAAGTATTCTCTACAACCCGCGTCCTAACTTTCTTTGACCTTGATTTGCTTCACTTCTTTCTTATTGCATCGACGATCTGCAGCGCATAACATGACCAGGGGACTCCGAAAATTATAGTTTTGATTTCAACGTCCTGTTTCGTCGTAGTCTTTATGCACTAAAACAAGTTCAGTTATGCTTACCGCCTAGGCTCCATGGAACCATATCCTGAAACTCATTCTAGTCGTTGGGAAGTAGTCGGCAAAATACTATCAAATACTATTACTATGTTTCGTCGACTCGTGCATTCATAGTTGTAGGATCAAGGTTCAATGCATTAATTCAACAATTGACAATATGTGGAGAAAAATAATGACGTGCTTGTTGATGTGAATGCTTAAGGATGATCAGGCGGTATCAGCCATGCACATACTAAACACCATATTTATGTCGTAGCTAAATTGCTTTACATCATTTCCATCACACCACACGTATAACGACGTCGTTATGATGATGTTATGGTCCAGTAGAATGTAGACCTCGTCCTCCAACTGCAAATCCAGTAGAGATTGAATAATCCCATGGCAACACGAAATTCCCTACTCTGTTCTGGTTCTCAATTTTGCATATGGGATCTAACTATGATACTTAAGATGTTAGGAGATTACTTCCTATGTTTGTGTGTTGCTGATTTCCAGACATCTATATTAGCCATTTGTTAAGTGGCTAATAGTAGGTGGTTATACTATGGAGTCCAAGAGTACTCAAAATTAATATGGGGTCTAAATGGAGAAATGTCCACCTATATTTGTTAAGTTGCTAATTCCCAAACAAGATGATAAACTTTCAGAGAGTAGGCCAAAAAGGGTTGCCTTGTATGCATGCACCTATATTATGTCTCATGTCTGCATGCACCTTCTAAAGCTTCTCTCAGCTCATTTGCTCTCCTATAAGATCCAAACCCACCAAGAGAAATGTCACACCTTGGAACAGAAGGAAGTAGAAATGGACACCTTGAGCAGACAGCAAGCTCCTGACAGAAGCTGTGAGCAGTAGGAATGCCAGAGCCAACTCCTTCCTGTACAGTTTGTTCACTTTCTTTTTCAGTTTCGGCACAGCTTCTGCCTTCTCCTTCAGTAAACTCAACTGTCCAATTTCGCTCTCTGAAGATCCTCTATGTAACTGTGGCTGAATTGTTGAGGTCTTCGATTCCCTCTCTGCGGCAGCCAGTAGGTCTGATTCTGATGATCTGCCGGCCTTCTTTGTAACGACCCATTCATAAGAGCTTCCCAACTGGAACAGCCCAGAGACCATCGCGTTGAACTTGGTGACAGACATTGTGTTTTCAAAGAGAAGGTAAGGGACGACGAAAGGGAAAGATTTTGGAGCTGGGACGATGTTCATGAACGACATTACGATGGGGACATAACAGATGACCCACAGTGGGAGTTCGGCTTCTGGGACGAACATGGTTAGTGGGAGGATTATGCAGAACAGTGTGAAGGAATAGAATGGCAGGATTAGTTTTCTCAGTAGGAAGAAGAGGAATATCAAGTTTGCCTTCTTCCATAATGCTATCTGCAAAATATTGAACCAACCAGCAAAAGGCTCAATTCAGGTGTATTTCTTTAGGCTTAAAAATAAGTGATTTCAAAAGATGTGCTTTTTCATTTGGCATACCTTAGATGTTAATATTGCAGGAAGACACAAGCGGAAAAGCTGCATTGGGCCGGAGTGCCAGCGATGCTGCTGTTTTCTATATGCTTCATAGGACTCAGGAAGTTCACAGAGAACCTAAATATGTAACTAAGTTAGTTTTATTTGGACTTTATTCTACACATATTGAACCATAAAACATTCATTTCTCAGTTGAGTAATTTCAGCTATTCTGTAACAGAAACAAAATTCTACCTTGACATCATTTAGGAAGATGAATTTCCAGCCATTGAGATGAGCACGAACAGCAATGTCCATGTCCTCGACGGTTGTTCTCTCGAGCCATCCACCGGATTCCTCGAGGGCCTTGATTCTCCAAACCCCAGCAGTTCCATTAAAGCCAAAGAAATTCATGAAGACACTATTAACTTGCTGTTCAACCTCAAAGTGGAAACATAGATTGATGTTCTGTAAACGAGTCAGCAAATTTTCATCCTTGTTCACAAATGACCATCTCGCTTGAACTAGACCCAGTTCAGGATTGTCCTGAAACAACAAGATAAACAATCCAAGGCATGCTTCAGAACACTGTAACAACTAACAATAGATTATAAATAAATTAGCGGAATGTCAGCCATTCATACTCGTATTTACCTTAAAATGTGGCACGGTCAGCTTGAGGTAGTCGGGATTGGGCTGGAAGTCAGCATCGAAAATTGCAACAAACTCATAGTCCTTAACATAATCACAGCCCATTGCTGAATTGAGGTTTCCAGCCTTGTAACCAGTTCTAAGCAACCTATGTCTATAGATAATGTTGACCCCCTTTTGTCTCCATTTATCAACCTCGCCTCTAATTAACCATTGGATGTCCTCGTCATCTGAATCATCTAGAACTTGGATCAAGATCCTGTCTTTCGGCCAATCGAGCTGACAAACTGCAGAGATCGACTGATCATACACCTGCCAACAACCCAATATCCATCAACACAGTAATCTCCAGAGTGTCCACTGTAACACTGAGCAATTACCATAGAAACCCAGAAGCCACAAGAGAACAATGCAAGATGCAGGAGCAACGGAAAGCTTTAAACCAGTGGAAGAAATCAGTTGAGTTGGAAAATACCTCTCTTTCGTTACACATTGGAATTTGAACAAGAACCATGGGCCATTTATAATCCAAGGCCTCAATATCTGGAGACTTGAAGGGATCTCCTCCTCGAATCTCAGGCTTAATCTTCTTAAACTTAATCCACAAACAACCTAAACAGAGCACCAGACGGTCCACAGACTGCACAAGGAACAGAGCAACGCAGAAATTGGAGAGACCCAGAATGGTGGGAGCGATGTAATCAGCACGAAAATTGAGCCACGCAACATAGAACATGTGAAGCAAATTGGGAGCGGCCATTGGAATCCGATGAAGATATTCAGCAGCAGCGGAAGCCTCGAAATAATGCCAGCCTTTTAGATAAGCAGCAACTTCAAACCCCAGAATTACAAGAGAAGTGACTAAGAAAACCCTGATGACTCGAAGGACCAACTTCCCTTTGCCGAGCTTCTCAGTGGCGACTGTGACTCCTTCCCTGAAAAAGAGGCGCTTTTTGATGGTTCCAAGCAATGCCCAGAAGAGACCGGCGAGCCAGGCCACGCAGCCGACGGCACGGTGAGCTTTGAGAAGCAAAACCCATCTGACCTGCTTTGCGTTTTTGCCTCTGCTCTTGTCCACAGGCCGCAATGCAGCATCTGGGCCGTCGATTTCAACCACCGAGTAGTTTGGGTTCTCCATTTTCACCACCACCGGAGTTCCTCCTCCCTTCTTGCTCTCCTTCCCCATCAGCACCTTAAAATCTAACCTTTGAGCCATTTCTGTGCTTTCCCCTCCTTTTGCTTCTGTACTAGCTCACTCGCTCACTGACTGTCCTTTTTTTACTAATTCAAGAAATAAATTAAAAAACCGAGCAGTATCCGAAAAACCCAAGAAGGAAAACATGAACTCTTCAGAACCCAGATCCCAAAAGTAGAAAAGAATGAAACTGATAGAAATTCGGATTTCGAGTCTCTAGGGATTTGGGAAATGGAGCGATCACCGAGGAGATGATTTACTCGTTTGATTGGGAAGATAGAAGTTTGAGAAACAAGGGGTGAGGAAGAACAGAGCTGCGGCAGCAGCTAGGTGGGAACAGAGAAGGTTTTCGGCAGAGACCGGAGAGGAGAGAAAGATAGGTGATTAGGAAACTGAATTAGGTTTTTTTTTTTAATCAGAACTAATAATTAGGTTTAATCTTTGTTTAGTGGGTAATTCTCACTTACAATAATATTTATGTAATCCGAAAAGTCCTCAATACTACCCCAAATCATTATCCTCTCTCAAATGACCCTTAAAATAATTCCAACTAGTCATAAAGAACCATAAACTCACAAAACCGTCCAAATAATGAAATAACAGAAATGCAGGTTTCTATCATCCACGCCTTCTTCAGGACAGCCTTGACCTCAAGGTTTAACTCCCGCCTTTGGATCGCCTCCTCCTGTTGTTGCTTCATCCTTCGCCTCGTTCTCCCATAGACCGACCATCATCATCAAGTTCGGTTTCGAACATTGATGGTCGAACGTGGACCTCTCATTGCAATTAAAGCACTTGTTTTCGCGCCTTTTCTGCTCGATTTCCGCCGAGGATAGTCTCACAAAGCCCTCCACCTCCTCCATTGACATCTCATTACATTATTATTATTATTATTTTAATAATGTGGAAATATTAAAAAAATTAAATATTATTTTTAATTATTGCTTAACTGCCACGTCAGACATTAAACGTTCAACTGTTAGGGTTGACTGCCACATTAGATAAAGTTAATGGAGAGTGACTAAACGTGAATCGTTTTACTAATTCGAGTGACCAAAATTAATATTAATTTTTTTCATTGTCTAAACAATACACGTTTTAGAAACGTAAATTCAGTGATCAAACTTGGCATTTACCCTCTGCAGGGAGTCGAGCCATTTTCTTTCTCAGCCGGAAATCAAGAACTCATCAATCATATGGTTAAGTAACAGAAGAAAAAAAAAAGAGAGAGAGAGAAAGAGAGTTAGAGAAATAAATAATAGTGTGGATGTGGTCGCGGGCTCGCGGCTTTGTAATCTTCGTCGCAAATAGTGTATGGTGATTACAAAGCAGGAGTCAGAGTTGACGACGCCTCTAGCTAGCTACCACAATGACAATTAACGCGCTTAAAAGAAGAGCTACCACAATGACAATTAGCGACGAGACAAGTTAACGATCCTTAAAAGGAAGGTTGTCCTCATAGGAGTTTATTCACTCTTTTTTTTTTTTTTTTTTTGTGTTCTAAGTTGTACTATGCAAGGTGCCGGGAGAAGAGGCACTCGTGAATCTTGAGATAGATTCAAAAAAAAGGGCAATGTCTATTTTTTACCCAAACCTTTTTCGGATTCTTTTATTTTAACCAAACCTATTGAATTCCTAAAAATTATCCAAACGTTAACTCTCCGTCAACTTTTCTGTTAGTAATGCTGACTAAGTATGACCATAATGAGTTGACTTCCTACGTGGCGGTCAGAATACCATCATTTACTATTTTTAATAAGATTATCAAAAAACAAAACAAAATCTCACTCCTCACGTGGACGAAATAAGTAATGGTAACATAATGAATGCCCAGACTTTGATAAATTATAATACGTTTGGATAATAAATAGAATTTTTATAGGTTTGGTTAAAATAAAAGAATCTGAAAAATGTTTGGGTAAAAAATAGACATTGCCCAAAAAAAAAAGCACACCTAACTTTTTATTTGTGTTATGAGTTCTTCAACTGGCTCTAGATCGTCTAAATTTAGAGTGAAGAGATTCGATCGAGCACGTCCATCTGTGATCAACGTGCCGACCCAACCCCTCTGCAACTCGAGTTGATCGGAGTGTCAATAACTCAAGATCCATACAACATAATTGACCATCAAGAATCTTGATCGGCCTACAATATAATCAAATCCTAACATGATTAACTTAACTCACACTCCGATTGATAACTCAACTTCTCTGCAATACCATTATGTGACCCCGCCAAGCTTTCATTTAGGGATGACAATGGGTCGGGTTGGGGCGGGTTTTGTCAAACCCAAACCCATGGGTTTATCCGCCAAAAAAACCCGGGGTAAAACCCGCTGGGTTTGAAAAACTCAAACCCAACCCAACCCGCTGGGTATCCGCGGGTTCATGGATACCCGTGGGTTTTTGTGGTACAAAATTTACAATAACAAATTTCTTTCAAAATAAAAGTTTAATATCAATTTTCTCATACAAATTATTCATACAAAAAACACCAATCTAGAACATACAAGCAAACCGCAAATGATCAATAGAATTTGTTCAAAATTAAAGATAAACATTTATAAACAACAAGATTAATTGAAATCTTCTTCCTCGTCAAATAAGTTTCTTCACTCTCCACTCCATAACATCAACTTCATTCTAAACAATTAGAAAGAACAAATTATACATGTCTCCACAAACATAAATAATATTAGTTGCTTAAAGAAGATATATTATTTAGAATATTAAATATGCCGGGAAAGTAATTATATGTGTGGGCGGGTACCCATGGGGCGGGTTTACCTAAACCCGAACCCAAACCAACCCGGTGAATAGTGTAGCGGGTTTAAACCCGAACCAGACTCAAAACCCGTCAACACGGGTTTTACCCGCGTTGACCGGGTTGGGTCGGGTGGGTACCCCTGGGTTCGGGTTTTGTTGCCATCCCTACTTTCATTAGCTATAAGTCCTCTGTCCTGCTACAGGTGTTGTGGCAACCTTTACTAAGGTCCGAACTATTGTCGATCTAACAACGAGATCATGTGATATACTTCCTTCTGATATCATCGTAGCTCGAACAATATTGACAACTCCTCATTACTTGCACACACCTTCTATGCTCTCCATTCTGGAAAGAAGCAAACTCCGATTATACCTTAATTATTTATCATCATGATGAGTCTTCACGAATTGATCTCCGTTGGTCCTCTTACTCTCATTGTCTATACACGAACGTACTAGGATATTATGGATGCTTTTTCTTTGTGGAGGCTCATTCTAGGTTGCTTGGGTTGAGAGGCACAGATTGAGAGGGAGATCCTTTTGGTTGATTCCATAAACAAGCACGGGATCTTGGCTGTGAGGAAACTCCTGTAGCTTCGACCTTGGTTCCACTATCGACTGCTTAAAGAAGGAGATGAAGTTACATGGGAAGAAAAGACTTTGAAGACTTATTCAATTAGAATAGTTTGGCAAACCATTAGACCACGAGGGCATCAGGTGATTGGTATGCATCATTATGGACCAAGCTCGTTATTCCTCGACACAGATTATTAGTGTGGTTCATTATCCAGAATAGAATCAAAACCAGAACCCAGTTGAAGTAGTGGGGGTTATAGACTCTGACCAGTGTTTGCTTTGCCAAGAAGAGTGAGGAGGAATCGAAGCAACAAATTCAGCAAGAGATTCATCTCTATAGTGAGGGGAACGTTGAGTTTGCCCAATTGTTAAGAAGTTCAGTGTATTTTCATACTTTGTATATTGATGGAAGTATGATTAATAGTTAGAGTGCTAGTTAGTCAGTACTGATTTGTATACATTAGTAGGATGTTCGTAGCTGCAGACTTGCAGTTTGTTTTCGGGAAGCTTGTTTTGCCAAGCAAAGCTAATAAAGACAACAATTATCGGGGGAAAATTTAAGAAATTAAAAGAAAAATAGTGCTCGAGAAAGCTAATTAACTTTTTTTTTCAAACCACGGTTTTGCTTTCTTTGACTATTGAATGCGTGACTAGTCAATCATCCACATACATCCGATCCGATGGCCATTTTCACAAACACCCAACTGGACAAAATAAAAGGATCAAGGTAGCTCCAAATACAATATTTTTTTAGGAGACAACTCAACTACTTAGAGAAACAATGACCAACCGAAAGGGAATAATTATTATAAAATTAAGGCATATCAATCTTGGAAGACGAGAGCATTTCCTACCGAAAATAATATGGGTTGGTTGAGGAATGCCAAAAAACCGCCCAAATCATGCTCTAGAAGTGTCGTCCGGTTCCAGAATCATCTTTGGAATTTCACATCAAATTTTTAGACAATCAATTGATACAAGTCCGTATATTTCTATGAACATTTGATAATCTGACAATATATTTCTCGAGGAGTTAGATATGCCAAAGTAAATTCCTTTCATCACATTGTTGGACGGCTAAACATACACGGTCACTCCTGAAATAAGCCAGAGAACCTCATTAGACAACCGCACTTTTTCCCCCCACTGAAACCTCCTCTGTTCTTCCTTCAACCAACGAGGAGACCAAGTTAAATTGCCAGCAATAATAACAAACAGAGCAGAAGCATCAGAAGAAGACATGTTGGAAAACCAGTAGAATGTCAAGTTCAGACAAAGACTCATGCTTCGCTTTGCCTGCCCATAAGCCAAAACAAAAAACAAAACTGGAGCAGTAATTAAGTGGACCGGGGGAAGTTGTGTTCCAGCGTGTGATGTTTCTTACTTATGAGCCATCGATCCACCTCTCTCCACATATAAAACCACAAGAATCATCATATGCCCACAAAAGATATGCTGTCTCCTTCCCTCCACAACCAATGGAAAGAAAAAAGAACTGTTCAATCAATTGCTCGATGATTACTACATCAGCTCCAATCTCAGAACCCTTCTTCCCCAGCTGTTACTGCCGACACTTCACTTCACTCGTGTCCTTTCTTTTTCTCCTCCCACGTTCTGTTTCTTTAAGCTGGTCTTAAATCCATGAAGCTGACTTGTTTCTGCAAGTGTCTAATCATCCATGGAGTTGCCCATGTGTTCCTCACGAGGAAATGATGGGGAAGTTGGAGAGCATGTAGAAAATCAAATCACATTCATGGTTGTTACGGAGGAAATGAAAGAGCATACACAGAGATAATACAGATAAAAGAGATGAGAGATGTATACGACTAATTTGATATTATATGAAGTAATTAACCAAACAAAGATGTTGAAGAATTTCGAATTTACATCACAAAGTGCTATCTAAGGAAGTTTTTGTATCATCTCCCTCAACATTAGAGGAATAAAGGAAAGCAATCTCATAACTTTGGACCTAACTCCTTTTAACAGTTTCTTCTGGTCTTTCCAGCTCCCCCACCAAATCTTTTACTTGAATCTGAACTTCACTAGAACCACCACTGTGTCTGTGGCAGCCAACAACAACAACAACAACAACAGAAAACTAAAAAGGTGTAGTGTTCATACGAGGAAATCGGTGGAGAGGGGAAAAAGAATCAAATGAATCCTAAACTGTCTTGAACTAAATGTGGGGGAGACTGAAATTCACATTTATCCAGGTTAAAAGGAACGAGAGGAAGTTACTTCCTTTTGTTGCAGCCAGCAGCAACAAGGTGATGAACCTGCAGAGAGTAGGGGGAAAACGGGTTGCCTTGTATGCATGCACCTTCTAAAGCTTCTCTCAGCTCATTTGCTCTCCTATGAGATCCAAACCCACCAAGAGAAATGTCACACCTTGGAAGAGAAGGAAGTAGAAATGGACACCTTGAGCAGACAGCAAGCTCCTGACAGAAGCTGTGAGCAGCAGGAATGCCAGAGCCAACTCCTTCCTGTATAGTTTGTTCACTTTCTTTTTCGGTTTAGGCGCTGCTTCTGCCTTCTCCTTCAGTAAACTCAACTGCCCAATCTCGCTCTCTGAAGATCCTCTATGTAACTGTGGCTGAATTGTTGAGGTCTTCGATTCCCTCTCTGCGGCAGCCAGTAGGTCTGATTCTGATGATCTGCCGGCCTTCTTTGTAACAACCCATTCATAAGAGCTTCCCAACTGGAACAGCCCAGAGACCATCGCGTTGAACTTGGTGACGGACATTGTGTTTTCAAAGAGAAGGTACGGGACGATGAAAGGGAAAGATTTGGGAGCTGGAACAATGTTCATGAAGGACATTACGATGGGGACATAACAGATGACCCACAGCGGAAGTTCGGCTTCTGGGACGAACATGGTCAGTGGGAGGATTATGCAGAACAGTGTGAAGGAATAGAATGGCAGGATTAGTTTTCTCAGTAGGAAGAAGAGGAATATCAAGTTTGCCTTCTTCCATAATGCTATCTGCAAAATATTGAGCCAACCAGCAAAAGGCTCAATTCAGATGTGTTTCTTTGGCTTAAAAATAAGTGATTTCTAAAGAAGTGTTTTTTCGTTGACATACCTTGGATGTTATTATTGCAGGAAGACACAAGCGGAAAAGCTGCATTGGGCCGGAATGCCAGCGATGCTGCTGTTTTCTATATGCTTCATAGGACTCAGGAAGTTCACAGAGAACCTAAACATGTAACTAAGTTAGTTTATTTGGACTTTCTTCTACACATATCAAACCATAAAACATTCATTTCTCAATTGAGTAATTTCAGCTATTCTGTAACAGAAACAAAATTCTACCTTGACATCGTTCAGGAAGATGAATTTCCAGCCATTGAGATGAGCACGAACAGCAATGTCCATGTCCTCGACGGTTGTTCTCTCGAGCCATCCACCTGATTCCTCGAGGGCCTTGATTCTCCAAACCCCAGCAGTTCCATTAAAGCCAAAGAAATTCATGAAGACACCATTAACTTGCTGTTCAACCTCGAAGTGGAAACACAGATTGATGTTCTGTAAACGAGTCAGCAAATTTTCATCCTTGTTCACAAATGACCATCTCGCCTGAACCAGCCCCAGTTCAGGATTGTCCTGAAATAACAGGATAAACAAGGCGGCAAGGCAAACTTGAGAACACAGTAACAATAGATTATCGCAAAATTAGCGGAATGTCGATCAATTGTACCCGTGTTTACCTTAAAATGTGGCACAGTCAGCTTGAGGTAGTCGGGATTAGGCTGGAAGTCAGCATCGAAAATTGCAACAAACTCATAATCCTTAACATAATCACAGCCCATTGCTGAATTGAGGTTCCCAGCCTTGTAACCAGTTCTAAGCAACCTATGCCTATAGATAATGTTGACCCCCTTTTGTCTCCATTTATCAACCTCGCCTCTAATTAACCACTGGATTTCCTCTTCACTCGAATCATCGAGAACTTGGATCAAGATCCTGTCTTTCGGCCAATCAAGCTGGCAAACTGCAGAGATCGACTGATCATACACCTGCCAACAACCCAATATCGATCAACACAGTAATTTCCACAGTAGCCACTGTAAACTGAGTAGTTGCCATAGAAACCCAGCAGCCACATGAGAAAAATGCAAAATGCAGGAGCAAAGGAAAGCTTTAAACCAGTAGAAGAAATCAGTTGAGTTGGAAAATACCTCTCTCTCGTTACACATTGGAATTTGAACAAGAACCATGGGGCATTTATAATCCAAGGCCTCAATATCTGGAGACTTGAAGGGATCTCCTCCTCGAATCTCTGGCTTAATCCCCCTAAACTTAATCCACAAACAACCTACACAGAGCACCAAGCGGTCCACAGACTGCACAAGGAACAGCGCAACGCAGAAATTGGAGAGACCCATAATGGTGGGAGCGATGTAATCAGCACGGAAATTGAGCCAGGCAACATAGAACATGTGAAGCAAATTGGGAGCAGCCATTGGAATCCGATGAAGATATTCTGCAGCAGCAGAAGCCTCGAGATAATGCCAGCCTTTCAGGTACGCAGCAACTTCAAACCCCAAAATCACAAGCGAAGTGACTAAGAAAACCCTGATAACTCGAAGGACCAACTTCCCTTTCCCGAGCTTCTCAGTTGCCACCGTGACTCCTTCCCTGAAGAAGAGGCGCTTCTTTATGGTTCCAAGCAATGCCCAGAACAGACCGGCGAGCCAGGCCACGCAGCCGACGGCGCGGTGAGCTTTCAGAAGCAAAACCCATTTGACCTGCTTCGCGTTTTTGCCTCTGCTCTTATCCCCCGGCCCGAATGCAGCATCCGGGCCGTCGATTTCAACCAGCGAGTAGTTTGGGTTCTCCATTTTCACCACCACCGGAGTTCCTCCTCCCCTCTTGCTCTCCTTCCCCATCAGCACCGAAAAATCTAGCCTTGGAGCCATTTTCTGGGCTTTTCCCCCCCTCTTTCTACTTCCCTACTTGCTCACTCACTCACAGTCCTTTTTTAACCAATTCAAGAAATAAATTTAAAAAAACCGAGCAGTACCCAGAAACCCCCAAGAAGGAAAACGTGAACTCTTCACAACCCAGATCCCAAAACTAGGAAAAGAATGAAACCCATTTGAGGAATGAAGCAAGCAGCAGATCCATGAACCTATTCCACCGACTGGGAAAAGGGGCGGGCAGTGGAGGATCGATGAACAGCTATGATGGATAATAGTTACAAGAAGCACAATGCGGTGGAGGCAGCTAGAGGAGATGCTTTTTTTGTACTGGGGGCTTCCTCTAGAAAGAAGAGGTGGGAAGCAGAGAGAAGAGGGAGCAAAGAATTTTCCTACAAGTTCATTTTCTTCTTTTCGGTGCTGGGGGAGAGGGAAGGTATATAGGCAGGCAGCTGTAAGAATAAGAAGGGTAGCAAGTAGCAACGTGTGTGAGCGATGGGCGGGTCAGATGGGGCAGCGTCGGTTGCCGCTTGCTTGCCCGCTGCCCGCTGCCCGATTCCTTTTTTTAATTTTTTATTTTATTTATTTTGTGTTTACTATTATGCTTATCCTTATTCTTTTTGAAATGATGCAGCGGTGGGGATATTGGGTGAGGCCAGCTGCTTCTGTCACGCGCTGCAGCTAATGATATGTTCTATTTTGTTTTCCTATTTCTATTCGCATTTGCTGGTTTTAATGCCTTAGTTTTGCAGGTGAAAGCTCCTTCGGCTTTTTGAGGGTCTCTTCTTTTGGCCTTTTGAGAGATGCAATTAATTGGGTTTAATGTATGGCATAAGTCAATTGGTTTCGATAATTGGGAGATGTTTATGTATTGTACTTAATCACTTTTTTATAGTGCATGGTTTTCCTGCTATGAATTTTTGTGGCGATTGTCAGGCCTTGATGTGTCGAGTTCGGAGAGAAGGATTTATCTCATGCCTCATAACTCATGTGGTGCTGTTCTAGAAGGATTTTTGTTGGTGGTATTTGCTTTTCTACTTTCTCTAGTTGTTTTACTCTTCGCAAGTACAACGGGGCTGCCCATTTCATGGCTCAAAAGGCCCTTTCATCGACAGTACGACTACTTGTCGACTGTCGCGTTTGGTTGCTTGTTGTTCTTTCACTATCTATTTGCTACTATTATCTATGACAAAAAAAAACTAACGACATGTGTGGGACGGATACTGTACTAATTACAGACAGGTTAGCATCATGCTAACTATAACGACATAAAGTGTAAAATACAAATTTTATAGCAAAACTATTATTTGGTTACATGTGAATCGTTTTCTTTGGAAAATCAAACTTTCATATATCTTCAAAATTTTCTCCTCTTTTTTTTTACCTTGTTGGCGTCTCTCTCCCGTTGGGATTCTTGTCTCTCGACTCTCTCTCGAGTAAACTTAAATGGTAACGGTGGAGGAAGAGATATTAGGTTCCGTATATAATCAACAACTACAGTAATTGTTTCCAAATCTGATTGACAACTACAATGACATCCTAATCTACAACAACGACACTCTAATCGGCTACTAAAACTATAACAATGACATCCTACTCGAACTACTAAAACAATGCCCTAATCGACAACTAAAAACGCAACAATGACATCTTACTCTACTACGATAACTACAACAATGACACCCTACTCGACAACTACAATTACAATAACGCCATCCTAATCGACATCTACAACCCTAAATTGACAAATACAACCAGAACAACGTGGCTCTAATCAACACACATGATACAACTATAATCCTAACTACAATTGTCCCCTTAACCTTAAATCTCGTATAGGAACGATGAAACTCAAAATTTTGATAACCTCAACAATATCTCGATGGAAAATTAAATTATTTGAAATTCGTAAAAACAAAACTAACATCTACCCATTTTTTCGCATTGCAAGGAGAACAAAGCTTTCTTACATAGACGGGGAAATATAATAAAATGTCACTTATTGAGGATTGTATGGCCCCAGTCTATTCAAATACCTGTGAACAAATAATCGTTGATTATAATTTTATTATTTCACAAATTCATTGATAACTGTTTATCAACCTTAATGGTGAACCTTTCCCATAATTGTCCCCATCTTACTTCCATGAGGAATTTGCTATTTGGGGTGAAAAACTGATTGGAACTTGTTTGGTTTGAGACAAACTCAATCATCATCATCATCATGAGCAAAATAACAAACAATAGACATTTTAACATTAATGACTAGACTAAGCTAAGCTTATAGTCATAGGAAAATCTAATTGGCTGTTGTCATTCTATGTCTAGTAAAATGAAAATATGTATAATATTCTTAGTAGAATTAAAAATATTATCAAGTTACAAGTGAAGTGAGCAGCACGTCACTAACATTATTACTCATGCTCAATTAATATACTTGTCCAAATATGGTGGCTGGAATTCAGGAATCCAAGGAGGTCAGGGCAGAGAGAATCCTGGATTCAAATTCCATGCCTTCATCCAAGCTAAATTATTAGGGCAGAACATGAAAATTCTGTGGGCTTTTCGATAGGATTCGAAACTAGATGAAGTTACGAACATTTGTTAGGCGGGAAAAGAACGGAATAGATATTGCATGATTCTCTAGAATTTTTTCGATTTCTTTTAGAGGAATCAAGGAAAAAATTATTCATAATAACGTTTGGGGGGATCGAACCGGTCAACTACGTAAACAGTTAATTTTCAAAACGTATGTTTTTTATAATACATTGTACTGTTTTTTTCTAGTTTCATGATATTGGTAAAAAACATCATGTGCATTGAACCCAAACCATCCAACAATTCATACACAAGATTAAGACTCAATACTAACAGGACATCATTTCCCTGTATTGCATCAATTCTTACCATCCCGACCATTACCGACATTGAGTTCTAAAATAATATGCATTCCATAGTACGTGCTTTTCAAACAATCCTCTAAGTTTAATGATAATTCCGAACCAGTAAAAGATTGCACTTGATATCACAGAAGTCCATTAATGAAATTTTCTATACGCATGCTTGAAAACGAACCGAAAGACGCCACACTCTAGATTTGAATCTTGGAGTTAACAAAAATATGCACATCGAAACTCTTAACATCAAGTGGATGGATCAGTAGAAAGGAAATAAACACAGCTGATATGTAATAATCCTATGAAGAAGAAAGATGTCGGTTGTGTGAAAAATGAGGAAAAGGATATTCCCCTGCCCTCTCCCTCCACTTCTATGGTTTGGCCATTTTCTACAGAAAAAAGCCAAGAAAAGGGCCATTTCATAATCATCATATAACCCACCTTTCTCAACTCTGGATTATTGTAATTAACACTTTCCAAAAACAAAAGAGAGATGCCATTTTCTCTTGCCAATATTTTGAGATCTTTGCTACCATGCTTCTGTTGGAATATCCTCGTCGAACCGGAAGTCGTGTGATCTCATTTGTTAGATGCACGCAGAGGGTTTTTTCTTACAAAATTATCATCGCGTAAAATACATTTAACAATCCAAATCGCTGAATCGTGAGATCGAAACAGAACGCGGTAGTTGTATAATCTTGAAACCTGTCGTATCAGTATGCTAACTGGATGCCAAAGTGCTCGAAATTAATCCATTCTTATTAGACTCTAATCATGCAGGCCCCAAAGTATGAATATAATAAACACACACCAGACTTGAGATTTCTTTATGTTAGAGGACACAAAAAGAGTCAAGAATGATGATTACTTAATGACCATTAACGATTTAGTTTAAGGCAAGATGTCCAACTTGGAAGACCTATAATGTTTCCTTGAAACCCCCACTAACATAAAATACCAAAAAAGGCAAAGGCATTAACAAATATAGAGCAGCATCAGATGATTGAATTCTGATGATACAAGATTGGAATATAATCACCAGACCCAACTGCTATTTGCTATCATGGCCCTGGAGCCTTGAAAACAACCAGGTCAACCTCTTTCCCAACATAAACTCATCTGCATTCCATCTCTCTAATATGATATAGCTACTTATGTGTGCACTCTCTCCAATCATGCAGACTCATAGTACTCAGGTACCTGCTTAATCATTCGAGTGTAGTATGGTGCCTCGTCGTAATCCATTGAATGAACTCAAAGAAAGCAAAAACTCGCCTTGAGTTTAATGCGTGTTTATATACTTTATAATAGTGTGTGATTGTTTGCTTGTATGTGATGAAAGGGAATGGTCACTGCCACATTTAGGGTTTTGTAGAATCAGCCTACTCTATAGTGTCTTTCTTCATACTCACAACGTTGCAGCGCCACCATTCGAACAAAAGACGTATCTGTTACGAAGCATCAGTGTAACTCCTTACAATGAGCTTGTCTTCTTCACAAACCAAGCATACATTCTATGTTCACTCGTTGGCCACCATGACACCGGAGCTGCAAAATTAGCATGAGAATATGGATGCACGTTATGTGATCACGCACGAGTACGGAAGCATATAATGCGACGAGCACAAAAGCATAAGCAGGAAAGGAAGGGCACTCTCATATGGACCATTTCGCTCATACAGGGCTGCACAGTGTGCACCAAAACACTGCAATACAGCGATTTGAACAATCTCCTGTGGTAATAAATGCAAGACAAGACTGGGAAACTCTACCTATTACTTTCGATGTGCCTCTATGTCTGGCGTTAGCTTCAGTGGCCGGCTTTTCCTTTGCCTATATTTTGCGTATGAATACCACAGTCCACCAGCAGTGTTGATGACCAAGCCAGTCACGTTCAGACCATGCACCTTCACCCCGCCAAGTAAGAAGAAACCAAGAGTCTGAACCAGAACCAGCAAAAGAAACATCAAGCTCAGACCCTTATGCAGAATATCTGAAACCAACATTTCATTGACAAACCAATACCCAAAACTCAATTCAACCCCACCCCACAGCATGATTCCAATTAGTAATTTTACATCGAAGGAACAAGCAGAAGGTGTAATTGGACCTACCGTCGATCCAACACCTTTTAGTACACCAACTATGGTTGTTGTTAGAGCTGAGTTGACTATCGTACATAAGAACATGGTGTAGTTGAGAATGATTCCCATCACCAATGAGAGAATGAGTATCACCAAAAATGAGAAGGAATTACTCTGTCAACAGAAGCATAAAAATGATGTTACTGCTTCAACAAATCATTAGTAGAAGATACAACATTCATGGAAAAGAAAAGCATGCTTAGGCAAGATTACTTCAGATAGTATTGCCAACGAATGGACACATAACACCAAGTACAGACTAAGCAGTGATCATCTAGGCATTTGAGGCTTCTATCAGAACTTAGCAATTCATGGTGACAATCATCCAGCATTTTCCACTGAAAATATCCTTTCTTTCAACTTTCAAGAGAAATAAAGAAACCCCAGGCCTAAAGTCAAATTTGTTAGCTTACCTTTGCGATTAATAACACCAAAGAGTCGGGGAATTCTCGAGTAACTATGATGAGGAATATCAAAAAAGGAAGAGACAAGAAGCTGTTGTAGAACATTATCTCAACTGAAGAAAGCCCATCTTCTGCACCAGACTTCTCCACTAAAACTAGGTACATGGTCTGCATAACTCAGAGAGCACTAGTACCATCAGCAACAGAAAAGGACTAACTTGAGATGTAGTTCAAGGCCTTAAAAGCAATTAAAATCAGGTAGTAGACTAACCTGGAAAAAAACAGAAACAAATGCCAACCCATAACCAAACAAGTCGAAGGAAAAATCTCCAAGCGCTGCGATAACAACTCCGCCAGCAGTGAGTAGGACAGATAGAGTCACCTAAAAATATGACAAAGACATGTTACTGTTTGAACATATGGTCCACAAAAGCAATTCAAGCCCACCATCTTTATGAAGAAGCATTGCAAAAGAGCAAATGCGAACCTGAGTAGAAGGCCTTCCTTTCCCAGCAAAAAAGCCAGCAATCAGCACAGCAAGAGGAGTGAGCCTCTTTATTGCAATATACATGGGAATGTTAACCCCTTTCAAGCTGGCCAGAGCAAATGCCACATTGGCATTGTAGAAGAGAGAAACAGGGAGAAGCCTCTTAGCTGTTTGGAGATCGAGTCCCTTCGATCTCGTGTATCCTGTTTTCCGCCCAACGTATATAAGCAAGGCTGTAGCCACTTGCTAAGAAAGCAACCACGAAACAAAGCTGAAATCTTTTAAGCAATGGTTATGACCCAAAATTTGCAGTTTACAGTCTCAGGAATGTGGAAGAAATGAGCTTTTACTTGGAAAGTGAGAAGTGTCATAGAGTGAGAATACTGCATCACAATGGCCTTGTTGATGAACACCATCGCCATTGAAGCAATCCCATACGAAAGCGCCGCAAACAAACTGCATTAAAGAGGGGGAGATCAGTGGATTGAACATTAATAAACCTAAAGTTCATAATAACTCGGGGATAAAGCTTCCAAATTCAACATGAGCATTCTTCAACCCGCACTAACTTGCATTTGACATAGTGAAAAGAGACTGATTATAATTCTGCATTAAGTGAACTGCAGCAAAATGAATGCAACGAATACAAGTAAAGAACCTGAGAAAAGAAATTGGGTCAGCATCTCTGCGATTCTCCATGGCTCCCGATCTACCAAAAGAAACTGGACAAATGCGTCTACCCGGCTATCTGGAACTCACACATAATCCAATTCCCAGAAGCAATTGAAACTGCAAATTCAGAAACCAACATAAAGTCGCCTGCTTGAAAGAGAATTCAAGTGAAGAAGGGCGCAAAGGGGGGAGAAGCCGAAAGAAAGCGACGATACTGGATCAAGAATTGCAAAAGGGGAAAAGGGTAGGGACCTGAAAAGAGGAAGTGAAGCGGCGGGATTCAATTGACAGTGTTGCAGCGTCGCATTAAGAACTGAAGCGGGGTTGCTGGTTTTTCTGTGAATCGAAGGGGAGGTCATAGTGGGTAGCGTTATTCGAAGAAGCGGCGTGGGTGCGCGGAGAGAGCGGCATGGTGTTTGCTGCTTCGTGAAGCCAGTGACTTTTTAGTGCAAGATACAGTGTTAATTAAATTAATTCATTCATCTGGGTTTTACTGTTATCGCAACAAACAGAATCACCATTAACAGGAAGCTGGATGGAAAGGAAAGGAAAGGAGATGGTGAGTTGTAAATGCGGGACGTAGGAATGGTAATGGGCAGGTCCGGGGCGAGTTTCTTGGTATCCAGACTCGCTTCGTGGCAGGGCGGGTTTAGGTCGGGTAATTGATCACGGGTCGCGGGTCGGGGCAGGTTGACCCAATGGGTATGCAATTTATATGAAAAATATTAGAAATATTCGTTATTTTTATTATAAGACTAAGAAAACAAACAATATTATGACAATTGTAGTTAAATTATTGGAGAAATTGAGGTTTTCACTAATTTACAACTTTATTATAGCTAAAATATGATGCAATAAAAGAAAAATTCAAAGTAATTTGACTAAGATTACATGTAATTTAGACAAGAACGGGTCGAGAATGGGGCGGGTCAGGACAGGTCGGGTCGATGAGACTACCCATGCCCGCTCCACCCCGCCTACAGGGCGGGTCGGACCCGCCCCAAAACAGGTCAAACAGGTCGGGTAAAACGGGTCAGGTTGAAATTGCCATCCCTACGGGTGATCGCCTGACGCCTAGGGATGGCAATTAGATAAATTTGAAATTGAAAGATTTTTATTGGATGTGGGTAAAACTAAGTTCGATTATTATGAGTAATGGACGTACATGATTTCTTTACTGTCTAATTTGAGCTCGATCAATTATATGCATGCATATGTATCTTGTCTAGAAATAATCATTTATTTTTCTTTCGTAAAATTATATTATTTTTAATTAATTTTATTCATTTGTCGTATTTTTTCCACTTATGTGACGAAAGTATGCATGTGAATGTTAACATATTGATTGGAGCTATAAAGTGAAATTATTACTCCTAGTTAACTATGGATACCCGAAACTCGAACGAGTATGGGCATGGTTTTGATTTGCCACCTGGTTCTTTATGTGTGTATGGCTAAAACCCAAACTATTTTAGGTATGGTAATGGATATGCACTATTCTAATGAAATTCATACATGCACCTCTCTCAAAACCTCGAGTTATTGAGATCAACTAGTATTAGAGCTGGTTTTGCTAAGCAGTCGGGTGTTAAAAAATCTGTATGGCCCCTAATATTAACATTTGATTAATATGATATCATATTAGAAAGTGGTATATGATATTCATAATTAACCTTCTCCTAACAACTCAATTTAATTGTGACCAACTATAGTTTATGATATGACATTAGAATTCGTAACTTACTAGCCATTGAGCTCAATTTATTATGACTATAATTAACTTTCTTCCAACAACTCAATTTATTTTTACCAACTAGTTTTATGACATGATATTAAAATTTAAAATTTACCTGTCATTGAAGTTACGTGATCCTCACAATCCCAATATTAACTTTTTTTTCTCATGCTATTAGTTTAGTATGGTAGAGTTGTTTTAGGAATACGACTAGACACTTCAAAAGTTAAAACAGAACAATTGGCATAACCAAAATCCAAGAACCCGGAAAAAAACACGCACGCGCTCCGCCCGGTCTTCATTTCATGCATGAAAAGAAGCGAAAAGGAGGGAGAAACGAAGCAAGTGGAGCACTGAAGTGGAGAGCAAACCAGTACATATAGCAAATGAACCATCAACCACAAAAGCATGCCAGCAAAGGCAAAGCAAAATCATCCATGGCGAAACAAGGCAGCAGGATGCTCAGCAGTCTTCCCCATTTCTTCCAGCCCCTCCTTCCAGGCTTCCACAATCGCTTTGTACGTCACAACACTTACCCTTTTTCCCCCTCCTTCACCTTTCTCTGCTTATGGATCATGGATTCTAATGAATGCATATACATTGCATGCTCTCAATCAAGCAGTCGATTCCAGTTGGATTTGGGAAGTACTTGGAAGGAAGGGAAGTGGGTGAAGGAAATATTGCTGTGCTGAGAAGCCCTGGAGGGAAAATCTACAGAGTTGAGATGGAGAAAGGAAGAGAATTCAAAGATGGGTGGAAGGAATTCGTTGATGAACATGATCTGCATGTTGGTGATGTGGTGGTGTTTAGACTTGTTGATGATCCCATGGTGTTTGATGTCATGATTTTCGACCGGAGTGCTTGCGAGAGGCCATACCCTCCCAATGAAGTTGATGTGAAGACAGAGGAAGCAGTTGCAGAAGAAGAAGAAGAAAGGCCTTTGCCATGTGCTGCTGCTGGTGTAGCAGAACCTGAAACAGGGCTCCATAGCAGTAAGTATGATTGCCTCGTGTCTGAATTGCTTGGAAGAACCACGTCTTATCTGGGTTGTTGGCTTTCTTTTGATGAATCAGTTGAAAATGGTTCAGGGACACCAATGGAGACGATCGGGATCGCGAAAGATGGTCCTTCTGAGGCAAAGAAACCCTACTTTGTGGTATCCATAAAGCCTGACAATCTAAATAATCGCAGACAGGTTGGTGTCTAAAATGCTTCTAGTTTCAGATGGTGATGGCTCATAAACTATACTTGTTTCAGACATTCAATGTTTTGCATCTGTAAGCAGCGTATACCGAAGTGCTTTTCGATGACGTATGGCCTGAATCTGGGGAACGCTGAGGGGGTTGTTATGGACGAAGAGGGCAGATCGTGGCCGGTGAGGATAAACTGCTACTGGAAATCCTCTTGCGATACTTACATCGAACGAGGTTGGGGAGCTTTCCAGAAGGAAAATGAGCTGAAGCTGGGTGACACCTTCAATCTTGAACTTGTTCAGGGTGGTCAGAAGCCAGTCCTACAAATGTCGGGTGGGTTCTGCACTTCTCCCTTCATTGCTCATGCTTTCTTATCAGATCACTATTCCCCACTTCTATATGAATCATATGATAGCTTAGATTGAGCCTTGACTGACTCCTAATGTATGACGCAAAGGGCTGCACGCAAATCCAATGCTCGAGAAGGCGTACAGAGAGAAGGTAAGGAAGGAGAGAAGAAAGAGAGTGGAAGTTAAGAAGTATCCAATCCATATTCAGGACTCGCCAGCTGCAGGGTTTTCAGAGATGGCGGATACCCATTTCATGCTTACTGTAACTAACCACTTTCTGGGAGTTTACCCGGTAAGTACTGTATACACATGAACTTTGCCAGTTTTGGATGGGAAAAGCTGACAATTTGGAGCTTGGTACATATGAATGTTCAACTGCAGAGTATCCCGAATAAGTTGGCGCGGTATGGTGGTCTACATGGCGGATCTGGGAGTCTCATCCTCACAAACGAGAAAGGACGTAATTGGCTGGTGACAGTCGAGACGAGCACAAACGACGTTACTTATATCGCAAATGGCTGGACCGAACTTGTCAGGGAGAATGGACTCGGTGTTGGAGACACCGTCAGGGTAGATCTGGTTGAAAGAGGAATGAACCCTGTCATGAGTTTCAAGGTAATACAGCCTAAACACTGTCCTTTCGTCTCAAGTCTCAACCTCGAAGTATCGAAAGGATAACATTGATGACAAAAGAAACAACATTTGGAAGTTAAATCATGGTTTCCCAAAAGGAAAAACTACAATGCAAGTTCTTCCCAACAGAAACAACATTTGAAGTTTGAACCATGGTTCTGAAACAAGCTCGTGCTGCTGCAGGTGGTTTCAAGGAATACCAATGCCAAACAAAGAGAAACCTTGAGCGATAAGTAACTAAGCTAAGTGCAGCATCCTGAAGGAAACCTATGTTCATAGAGGCAAGTCATTTTCAGGCGGCATTGGAGATCCGTCTACTGCATCGGAACTAGAAATCTAAACATTTCTGAACTCTGACTATGTAGTCAAATGTAATGTGAATGGACTTGGTAACCAAAAAAAACGTATTTTTGGTCGTGAGACCCTTGAGGCTACAACAAGGCCATAACAAGAGGATGAAAAATGTGACCAGGGGAACATTTTCGAGCATTACATGGCGGGCCTGTGCAAAAATCAGTTTCTGGGCATACACAGAATGAAGAACAAGAGTATGCCCCTCGTGCTTAACAATCCTTGTATGAATATGGATGGAGGGTAGCAGATACAAGAAGCTGTTGTCTACAAAGTAGAGTCCAAAGTTCAAAACTCCACTAACAGTAATAATAATTTACTTTCAAAAGGTTACTGTATTTCATCCAGGACATACTGCCCTGTATACCCAGAAAATAAACGAAATAACTCTTGAACAATGGCAGAAAAAATGGGACACTAAGTTTGAAACAAAAATGCTCCCTACCAAGTACCAAACTATCAGTAGCACTACAAGGCTAGGGGCTAGGACATAAACCGTATCTCTATTCTTGATGCAGGTGTAACAAGTTCGACACATACGGTTTATCATAATCTAGTACATACTAACTATGGTAATAATCCACACAAAATCTTAATCGACGATTCAGAGAACTATTGGACTACTCACCTGTAGAGGCTAAGAACCTGTAATGCAAAGATCACGACAGCGAAGGAACAATGTGATATGTATTCCTTTGCTGTGACCAAAATCTTTCCATATGGTGTCCGGAAAATGCTGAATAATAATGTAGGGTGTTGTGTTGCCTGACATCAAAAGTTAACAATAGGTCGAAAAATTGCTCTAACTCACATATATAATGGCTCTACTCCATGGACGTATCCAACTATCCATAACTCAATGGCTGGAAACTTAGACTGCACTTTTCTTGCTTCGAAAGCCCTCCTTCAAAAGAGCAAATTTCTTCTTGCACTGGTTCACCGTCTTCCCAGGTACTGCTGCTGCAACTCTTTCCCAACGCTGATTGATCTCCTTGGGGAAAGTTTTCAGCGCTTGGACAAGTGCCCTCTCCTGTACAGCAGACCATACATCCTGATCTGAAGAAGAAGAAGATGACGCTGCTGTGTTTCCATCACTACTTCCATCATCTGGTTTTGGGGTTTCCCCACTCGGAGGTTCTTCAGGTTTAGAATCCACAGTAGCAGCAGTATTGACTTCAGATCCCTGAGGATTTATTACCACACCGCCGACTTCTTCCCTAGTTGTGAGAGGAGAAGCAATGGATGGGCCAGGTTTCCTCTTCTCCAGAAAGGAATCAAAAGCTTTGGCAGAGTCAGGCTTTTGCAGGAGGACAGTTTTTGTCGCCTTGATAATTTCTTCCACAGATCTTCCTGTCCCAATATACTCTGAGATAACCTCCCAACGACGAGATGTGCCCTTAGGATATTTTTGCATCCCTTTCCTCAGAAGCTCGATCTCTTCTCTACCCCAAGGCTTTTCTTTTCTGCTGCTAGAAGAACTGTTGCTAGTATGGAAACTCCCATTGGATGTAGTAGAGCCGTTCTGCTGTGGTATCTTCTTCTCATCTTCCTTCTTGTGACTCTCCTCAACATCTTCATCACCTCCGCCACAAGCATTTCTCAAAAGTTTGGCTTTTTGCTCTACTGTCTCTTTACCTTCCATATTTTCACATAAACTCCTTAGTTGCTCAATATCGAATGACATGCAAAGATTTTCAACATCATCTTCACGGAGACCGAGCAACCGCTCCGACACAATAGATGCTGAAAGGGTACGAAGGCGGGTACGTTCTTTTCTTAAAAGCTTCTTCTCCTTCTCCTTGGCCTTCTTCTGCAGTGAAGCAGCTTCAGCAGCACGCTTCCCTTCCTCTTCTTTTCTCCGTTTCTCTTCTTCAGCAGCTCTTGCAGCTTCTTCCTCCTGCAATTTTTTGGCTAAATACTTTGCCTCCTTTTTTCTCTGCTTCTCAGCTTTCTCCTCTTCCTTCCTCCTCGCTATTCTCGGGTCTTTTCTGTATGCATTGTCGACAAGGGCACGGACACGAACATATTCTTCTTTTCTAGCCTTTTCTGAGAGCTTTGCATTTTGCCTCTCCATCCACCTCTTATGGTCACGAGATTCAGCTTGCTCAACATCAAACTCATCAGCATGAGGGAATTCCCTCCAGCTTTTGAAGCCATACCAGAAATCATAAAAGCTGTCCACTTCTTTTATAGGACTATTATCATTGCCCAATGGTGGCACCGGCTGGGTAACAGACCAACGACCATTCCTCACAAATGCTGGGCCAAACACTTTAAAGAAGTCCTGGGGTGCACAATCGGTAGGGATTTCATCATCAAACTCATCAGTGGAGTCATAAATTCTCCTCTTCACAGGGTCCATCAGAGCCTCATAAGCTTCTTGGATGGCTTTGAAATGAGTTTCTATTTCATCCTTTTTAGCTTGTTTGGCAGCCTCAGTCTCCTCAGCGAGAAGAAGAGAGGCTTGTTTGTCAGGATGATACTTCAGAGCAACTTCGCGGTAACTTTTTCGAATTTGCTCTTCTGTAGCAAGGTACCTTAGATGACTCAACCCTAACAGTGCATAATGATCCTGTTGCGCATCTCCAGTTCCTTTCTTTTTCCCTTTGCTACTACTGTAAGATTCAGATGATGGCATGTGGGTCTGCTCCTTGTCTTTGGAAACAGTATCATCTTTACTATCCACAGCCTCCTCCTCATGTCCAAGGAGTTTAAGAGCAACAGCATGGAAAGAATGTCCTGCGGGTTCATATTTTTTAGCTTTGACTGGAAGGCCATTTGAAGAAGCAAACACAGGCTTTCCGCCTACGAGTTCTTGCGAATAGGTTATAAGCCGGAAAGAGTTCTGGAGAGTCATGCTGATTCTTTGAATTCACTATAACCAGTGAAGTGGTAATAATCAGAATTCAAGCCAACCCTCTCGATATGATGAACTCTTTGTCCAAACTGCACAAGACAAGTTGCACGGAGTAAAAAAGTGGAACAGGAATATAATGCAGCATTAACAAGTACTCCAGGTATACAACTAGGATTATGGTACCAGATAACAAGCAAACATCTCAAAGAGGCATGCTAGTGACTCAAAATTATTTGCTTCCAGCGCACGTCCACCGGGGGGAGGGAGAAGAAAACAACAAAATCCCAGGAAATTTTTACAACATGTTCTTCAACTACATAGTTCGCAAGCAACACATAACTGCTTAGGATGCCATCCCATCCCATCCTTGGATCCAGAAGCAGCTGACATGTGCATGGCAAAGATAATGTCTCGCCCTCTAAAGTAACAAAAAGGAATCAATGCACTACATGCCATGCTACACTGTTTCATTATACTAAATCAAAAGTAATCAGCAGGGCAAAACATCAGATGCTGATCCAAGATCACGGAGATTGCCCTCGAGCTAGAGTGACGCACAAATATCAAGACTTCAACTTTAAATATCAAACAAATCTAAGAGAAAACTAAGATAACTAACAGCACTGCACGGCTGGTAATACGATCAATCACACCAAAACTACATATGTTTAACTTTGCTTCAACCAAATTCGTACACTAATAATCGTTGGTGAAACATCATCCCAGAAAAAGGTATAGCTATAGTGAGACGATTGAACTACAAAGGTAACTGCTTAATCAAATCCCCACTAAAATAACACAGATGATGTCTCGTCCACCTGATCCTATGTAGCAACAGGAGTGAGTTCATACACCCCGTAAAGGAAAGGGATCCAAACACAATGCACAACAGCGGCAGACGAATCAGCCAGCTGCACCAATAGATTACCTAGAACATGTTCATCGAATCTGATAGAAGTAAATATGTCAACCCAAGCTAAGAATATCAGGTCACAACAGCGGAAATCCCTCGTCCATATCAGTTGGAGTAAACAAATTAAGTAAAACAACTTAGCATTCACCAATCAATAGCAGAAGCAGAAAATTAATGGGAGAATGCTAGCTTACTCTTGGCGAGAAGAGAGGAAGCCCTGTGTAAAGCCAAGATATGGATGCCCTCGAACCAGAGCTACAAAGCCAACACTTCAATAGCTCTGAAATCTGAAGAAAACCCAGAAAGCACCGGCCAAAGCTCACCGCCAACCAGTCACGGGACAGAGCAGCCACGAACAATACAACCCACTTCGGCCGCCGCCGCCGTCCCTGAACGAGGTGCTTGCTTCTAGATGGAGTAAATCGAGTTAACTGAAATCAACGAACAATAACCAATTTGAAGATCAGCATCAGCGATCCCGATATACTCGTAAAAAAAAAAAAAACTCGACAAACCAAGAACAAAAATCCAATGAATAAGCTGAGATGAGTCTCCCACGCACCTCAGCTATACCGTTCTTCGGGAAGAGACGAGCGAGCGAGCGAGCGAGAGTATGGGGAACGAGAGGGAGAGGGAGAGGGAGAGGGAGATGTTGTCTCTGCCTCGTTGAAGCACTAATGGCGGGGTTCGAAGGTATATGAGTTGTTGGATTAGGGTTTCTGGGAGGAAGACGCAGCAGCAAGTTTAGGAAGGGAGGGTCGGCGCCAATTGCCAAACGACGCACCCTTGCATAGATGAGCAGTACGACTTTTAGGTTTTATACGGTCCTCTTGACACATTTGCGCAAGTATATACCCATCCCCAACAACTGGATTTCTATTTAACGCCCTAACTTTTTAAATTTTACGCCCTAAATTAACCAAACAGACAATATTACCCCTATTAGCCATCGCCCTAATCGACATTGCTCTGCTCCTCCCCGCACTAATCCCAAACCATCGCATCCCTAATTTGCGATGATCGTCGCCGTCCTAATCCCTAAAATCCTGCTCATTTCATTCACCGGCGGATGACGAAAATTGCGCGGCTGCTCCGCCACCATTCTTACACATCTCACCTGTTCTCTCCGCCCCGTCTCCGCCGCCAGAATTGCCACTCCGCCAAATGAGGGCGCAGAAGAGAGAAACGAATCCCGTCACGCCGGTCGTCTCTGCTACTATTGGGAGGAAGAAGGAACCGCCGCGCCGAGCAGGAATCGCGAGCGAGGAAGGAGGAGGAAGAAGACGGATCGAGGAATCGTGATGAGCACGAACGGCGGCGGGATTCTATCTGCGTCCTCTATCGGCGCGAGGGATTCAGGGAGAACGGTGACGATGATTAGGGCGACGACGATGATGTACGAATGATGGGATTCTCGGGCGACGGCGGCGATGATTCTTCTCGGTGCGCGATCAACAGGTTCTCGACGACGATGATTCCTCTCGGGCTCCGCGACCAGGCCCTTCCTTCCGAACGCCTTTCCGAGCGATCAACAGCTCGCCGGATGATTCCTCTCGGTGACATCCTCGCCGACGATGAGCATCCTTCCAGGGCAAACGGCAGCGGTAGGGCGGCTGTCGACTGAAGCTATTAATTAGGGTTACAAATTTAGTTAGAGATTGGGGATTTTTTAAGGGCAAAATCGTGAACTTTTTTAAATTAGGGCAATAAATTTAAAAAGTTAGGGCGTTAATTAGTACCTCTCCCCTAACAAATACCTAACAATAAACAAAATCTAGCGGGTGCGATCATTACCAACACTAATGCATCGAATTCCATAAGAACAAAATCTATCGACTTACCTTTAGCTGAAAATGGTGAATATAAGATGAATGTTAAAAATATAAGTTGTTTATCTATCCAAATAAGTTGTAAATCTGTAACTTTAAGTTATTACGACACAAAAAGTAATGGTCCATTCATCTAGTCTGTAGTGTGATTTGGAGCAACATATACTTTATATGTTGCAGGACATGTCTAATATATTTGCACATCATTCTTATTTCTTGCACGACGGTTGAGATGAAAATGGTGGATGATAACATATTGTCTCCTAATTTGGAGATGATATCATCATTTCCAACCTTCTACTTGCTGACAAGAAAAACTTCACTCAACTTATGATCTGTGGTGCACAATGGATTAATTGATGCCTTTCGAATAGGTGTCGGGGACTCTGGCAGTCTGGCTCCATTTTAAAAATATTAATCTTGGCAATTAAAAAAAAGCTAAGACAATTTCATTAGGTATATTCATTGTATTATTCAATGTTGGGGTTTCTTGTGTGGTGTTCTTGTTAAAACTCAAAAAGCACCTCATTGGCAAAGAAACTATGCCATGAGCAAGCCTCTAACACAATTTACAATTTTCAGAATAGATATTTCTATAGAAGACATATCTATTTTCATTGTTGATGCACCAACAACAGTACATAGCACGTACTCCCCCACCCCCAGTGGCGGAGTTAATGACTTACCAACTAGTATATTTTTAGAATTTGTTACACATTTTTCATGTAAATTTATGTATTTTCGAAAGTTGGGGGGAGGGACTATAGCCCACCCTAGACTCAACGTGGCTCCGCCACTGCCCACCCCCTCTCTCAATTTCAAATCATCTTACTTCTCTTTCTCCAGATTCATCGAGGATTGTTTGTTCACCAATCAATTCGAGATGGGGGTCAAACCACATGCCTAAATCAGTTAATAAATTATAGATGTCACCTAGAATTATACAACAATAAACAGGAGAATCGTGCATTAAAGATGATTCACTAAACACTCATAATCCATTGGATGTAGGATTCGGGAGTCACAGATAAATATCACCAAAAATATACTCTTCCTTTTCAATTTGAAGATCAAAATGGAACGAACTTGGAATAAGTTAGTTGATTTTCTCGTTAAGTCAATCGGTTTTTTGGGTTCTCACATTCTCCCCGCTCCTATAGTCCTATTGACAATCCAATCTTCTAGCATTTTCATTGTTTGTCAATCCATGCAATTGAATGGGTGCTCGTCCTCCTATGTAACTAATTTGAGCTCAATATGTCCTTAGGAAGAACACCAAATTAGAGAAAGTTAAACTAGATAATTGAATTATCAACAAATTTTGTTGGAGATAATGACGATTAAAGGATGTCGATGAGCCTCACTTGTGCTTTGATTTTGGCAATGTGTGATCACAAAGGAGAGAAATGTATTTTCATTGTGCTTTTCAGGCGAGAAACAAGGGAGATGCGAATATGTAGGAAGGGCGGGGGCGGGTGACCGCATATCTACACTCTAATAATCAACATTAGTGATACAATAAGGAAATAGAGAGAGTAAAGGTAGAGAGAGATAAGTCATATGTTAAAATGAGTAGAGGAGAAGGAGTGACTCCTTCTTTGAAAGACCTAAAAGCATATTTTATAGGTAAAGCCTTGTGACACTTTGTTAGGATTTAGTTGGGCCTTTGCGGTGTTTTCTGAGCTTTGGTCGGGTTAGATCAGGTCCTTAAACCCCATTTCTTAAGAAGGATCTTAAACCCTTGTCATCCAATAGGAGGAGGAGAGAGATGATCATTAGTAATTATTGGCTAACTACCAATAAGGGCAAAAATGGAATATAATTAACAATTAATTACATTATTTATAAAAATGAAAAAACCATTCTCCTCCCACGGTCTCCTTCCCCACATTCTCCTTCCTCTGCGTCCGTCGTTGAAGATCAACTGCCTAGTCACCGTCGTCCTTTTCTATCGATTGTCGCACGCCGCACCGGATGAGGATAGCGCCGACAACCACAACCGACGTCTTTTAGCCGCGGATTTGCCGGTGAAACTTCTCACCGTCTCACTTTGAAATCGCGGCGCACCTTCTTCCACCACGGCCGCCGTCTTACAGCCGCGGATCTGCCGGTGAATAAACTTCCCCGCCGTCTCCATCGTATACGCCGGTGAAGATCTGATTCGCTCCGTCCCTCCATGTCTCCCTCATCCGTAGTTGGCGGCGGAACCCCCAACCACCATCAAGTTCTTCGACAACCACCGTCAATGGTTCTCGTCATTAATAATTACCATATTATTAATAATAATAGCATGATCGTTTAATAATGTATTATAATACATGTTGACGACGTGGTTGAATATTATTAATATTTTAACATTAATTTGTTAATAATGTTGCTGAAAAACCTCAAATTGAAGGCTCCTCTGATTGTCCTAGCGTTGCCAATTAATAATTATCATAATATGATTAATAATAGCAATGGTGTTGGTTAATAATATATAATTATATTGGTTGACAATGTGGTTGAATATTATTAAAATTATAACGTTAATTTGTTAATAACGTTACTAGAAAACCTCAAATTGAAGATTCCGCTGCTTGTCATAGTGATATAGTTGTCGGTTAATAATCACCATAATATTATTAATAATAATAGCATTGTCAGTTACTAATGTATAATAATATTGGTTGACGACGTGGTTGAATATTGTCAAAATTGTGACGTTAGTTTGTTGATAATGGTGTCGAGAATATTGACACAAATAAAAATATTAATAAAATTTCGTGGTAAGAACATGAATACTAACACAGCTTGTTAGTTACCAATTAATGACTCCGATGATATTGTTAATAATAGTGCAGTGGTAGGTTAATAATGATTAATAATATTGTTTGATGATGTCATAAACTTTTAATAACGTTGTTGATATTGATATATACTAAACACTGCACATTTGAATGAAATACCTTGAGATGAAAACTTCAAGGGGAAAAATGTTGGTAACAACTTGGCGGGAAGTCAAGGTAAAATTGCAGTGGATATCGTGGGGATGGATGTTGAGTTGTTTGTTTTGCATATTTGGAAAGAAAAAAAGAAAAAAAAGTTCATGCGTCTTGATCTTTTGTATTTTTGAGTCTTCATAGTTCAAAGTAGAAATTGGGTACATGAGTCTCCGAATGATGATAGCTCTGTACCAGTCGTGGACATTGCAATTGATAATGAGAGTAATATGAACCAATGGCTCATCACTCATCAGCAACAAATCCTTCATGGTTGACCTCGGCGTCTCCAATCTCTCCTCCTGAAGCACAGTAAAATTGTTGATAGTGCAGTGAACAATATTAACAATGGATAAAAAACCGTTAATAATGAACATAGATTGATAATAGTCCATGTTAATCAAGCCGATAGATTAATAATAGCACACGATTAAAAATGTTGCCAATGACATTGAAAATATTAATAATGGGTGAAGAAACAGTCGCTAATGAACACAAATTGATAATAATACACGCTAATTCAACCGGCAGATTACTAGTAGAACACAATTAAAAATGTTGATAATCACGTTCAAAATATTAATAATGGGTGAAGAAACGTTAATGATGAACATAAATTGAAAATATTAATAATGGGTGGAACACTTTCAAAAATTACAAATTGCATATAAATATATTGATAACCCAAGAGTGAACAAAGAGCAATACAACTATAAAATGTTAATAACAAAAACGAAACATTCATAATGCCTTTTCACAAAGTCACAAACATAACTAACATTGTTGATAATGTAGTAATTTTTTTATAATGGTTGTGTACTGGTCGTAAGAAACGTTAATGATGAGCACGTTACTAATAACGTTGTGTTACATATTAATGATGTATCAGTGAAACGTTAATAACTGCAGAAGAAACATTAATAAGGTTGTGTTGAAACGTTAATAATCAGTAACGTTAATAAAAGGTAAAGAAATGTTACTAATAGCTACGACGCCGGTTAAACTTGTTGATAAAATATGGACATGGAGATTACCTTGAACGTCGCCAAGGGGAGCGCAGGGAGCAATGACGAGGGATTGAACAGACACCGAACGGGAACGACTTCAATGCTAGTGACACAGGAAGTCGATATTGCGAGACGCATCGCTCCAACGACGGGAGCTGAGGAGTGATGGACGTAGGTGGCAGCTGTTGAGCGAAGGGGACGGGCATTGCTTCACGATGGCGGGAACGAGAGTGCGATGCCGGAAGACCAACCTACGTCGGCAAGCGACTGTCTTTCAACGAAATGAAGACGGACAAACGACGGTCGGGACAAAGACGGTGTCAAACGTCGGGCCGGAGAAACTTACATGACGGAAATGGGAAGACATGATGAATTTGTGGAGAGAAAAAGTTCGGCTGGGGTATATATACCAGTAGGGTTACAGTTTTTAATTTAATTGTAATTTCCTTAATAACCCTAACAACTATTTAACTAATAACTCCCCATTAACTACCTAAAATTGAATCAACCAATCACAATTCTTTAAGATCCTCCTTAAAAAAGAGGATTTAAGGACCTGAACTTAGGCCAGCTTTGGTCCATATACGGACCGTATTTAGTATTTACTGTTTGGGTTTGGTTATGCCATATTTACACCCCCAACAATTATCTTGTTTTCATAATTAGTTGATTTTAACAAATGAGGCGAATTCAAATCGTCTTTCCGAAACTCATGTTGAGTGTAGGTCGTTTGGAGGTCGGGATTCTCTAAATTGATATATTTAATTAATGTATGTATTATAATTTGATGTATTGATTAAATGTGTGAATTTGGAAAATACATGTTTTGGAGGTCTAGATTGTTTTTTTGTTATAAATAAAAAGTTGTACACTTTTCATAATCAATGACATATTTACCCTTCGTTTACTAAGGACAGATGGGTTGTAGATGAGGACAATATTGGAATAAAGAAGAGTTGTAGGGAACAAATATGAAATAAAATTTGGGTAGACAATTCCTTGTTAACAACCTCACCTTTTGATGTGGATTGATAATCACTAATTTTGAGTAACTGTAGGCGGACCCATAAAAAAAGTAATACATATATTATATATCAATTTAACCTAAAACACGACCTGATCTTGACATTACATGTATTTGCTAAATATATCATCTGAAATTCCAACCTCTAAACTCATATTAGTGTTGAAAATCACCACCAGTTGAGTAGAGATGTCAATTTGAACCCGACCCGCAAGGTAGTTTACCTGACCTAACCTATGATAGGACGAGTATTACCCGACCTGCAGTAGAGTGGGGTGACATGGGTATCCACTTCCGACCCGTACTGCCCCATTTTTTACCCATGTTATCGCAATTTCTTATAGTATCTATTCATATTTCTCCTATTTTGGTTTTTTTCAACTAGTTAGACTCAATTACCCGTTCTATTATCACTATTTTTCATTCATAGTGTTTTTCTCCTTGTTTTATCGTAAAAAAATAAAATTTTGCATCTATATTTTTAAATAACATGTTAGAGTGAATTAACTCTCTCCACCCCGTACTCGCATAAATATTACCCAACCCAACTCATAATAACATGGGACGATCTCGAGACTTACACATGTTACACACCCCAACACTGAGTTGAGAATTCGAAATTCACTTGACTCGGTTGGCTAACGGGCGAACTCGTGATTATTAACTAATCATGTTAAACCGGAAAGATAACCAAATCCGCGACCCGACCCGACCCGGGTGTGGGCCCATAATTCTTGCCCCCTTTTCCAAACTTCCTATACTGCTGTTATTGTTCCAGCCTCGACGGACGAACAAAGCTTGAAAATTGAGAAACCCTAATAAATCCTAATTTGCCCACAGCCCATTCTCGCCGAAACCCTAAATTAACCAATTCGGATACGGAATACATCTCCCGAGGGGCCAGATTCGAGCTCTGATACGATTATTGCGAATTATTTTAATCTCAGTTATAAAAGGGTTAATGTGCGACGAGTAGATGCATGTCGGTGGAATTCCGGTGGATCTGAATTGGTTCCTTCGATTTATATTTAGCATCTTTTTCATTGCTGGGGGATTGCTGTACCTGGTCAAGAACACGGCGTCGAAGTACTTCGAGGTCGACGCCAGTTTCGAAGGCGCCGGTGGTGGTACTGGCGGTGCCACTGCTGATCGGAATCGGCCAGTGCCGTCGATTACAATGGAGTCGCCGGAGGAGCTTTCTACCTGCGATAATTGTGGCAAGTCTGGCAAGAAGAAGTGCACCCGTTGCAAATCTGTTCGATACTGGTACGCATACTCTGGACCATCCTGTTGTTTTCTTTGTTTTTATCGAAAGTCTTCCTGCCTTGTGGTTCTCTGTCCAAGAATTACAGTTCCCATGAGAGGATTGCCTTTCGTATGAAGAAAAGGAGCAAGCTTTGTTTGTGATTAGTTCTTTGGGACAATACGTCTTGTAGCTAGGAATGGCCAGTTGATCAATTGTACACAGAAGGCTGTCAATCATTATAAAGTTTTTCACATTCCTCTTTTCTATGTTTGGCAGTTCGAAGGAGTGTCAAACATCACATTGGAATTCTGCTCATAAATTTAAATGCAAAGAACCAAGCAAAGCGAATTCAGCTCTTATACGAAAACCCAATAGTGGTAAACACTTTTCTGGCATTGCGTTGGTTCTTGATACTCAAAAGCGCTTCAAGAAACCTGGGAAGGTAATTTTGTAACTTTATTAGTTTCACTCTTCATAGTTCCTTAAGATGAATCACTGACATACTTAGAATGGATTTTCAGGTACTTTTCCCGTATGAGGAATTTGTTAAATTATACAATTGGGACAAAACGTTTCTGCCCTCTGGACTCTTAAATTGTGGAAACAGGTTGGTTCTAGATTCTACTGTAAAGAGATAGCTAAACTTTGCTAGACTTCTGTTTTGATGGCTTCCTATATGTTTGTTTTGATTCCTTTTTTCCTTTTGAATGCATAGTTGCTTTGCCAATGTGGTTCTGCAATGTCTGACATACACAAGGCCATTGGTTGCATACCTGTTGGAGAAAGGCCATCACCGAGAGTGTAAGCTCTGGTTATTAAATGTTTATGATTTTGGATTATCCTCAGATGAATGTAGGATGATTCCTCATATTGATGATCATTTTTTTTACACATTGATGATCATATTTTGGTTTACAGGCAGACGTGATGACTGGTGCTTTTTGTGCGTGTTTGAATCCCATGTTGAAAGAGCCACCCAAAGTCCACATCCCTTTTCCCCAATTAACATACTCTCCCGCTTGCCTAACATTGGTGGTAATCTTGGCTATGGGAGACAAGAGGATGCCCATGAGTTCATGAGGTTTGTGTGTTCTCGTACCATTAGTCTATCTGTCCATGACACTCCACACGGTTCCTCCCACAATCACAAAACTTGATTGATGAATAAGGAGGGTGTTTGATCTGTGTGTTAAGAGAATATGTATCTTTGTATAGACTTCATACAAGTCACCAACAAATTTTGCTCTATTTTATAGGTTTGCCATTGATACAATGCAATCAGTGTGCCTTGATGAATTCGGTGGAGAAAAGGCAGTTGAACCGGCTGCTCAAGAAACGACTCTTATTCAACATATATTTGGCGGGCACCTGCAGTCTCAGGTAAGTCCTGTGACCTATAGTCTAAACTTGATATGCACACTTCCATCAATTTTTATCCATAACCCTTCTCCGGAATAAACAAAATAGTGCTCCAGTACGTTTATACTGCGCTATCTGTTATCTGTATGATAATTTCATTCAAAGCCTTGATGACTGGGTATTTCATTCATAGCCTTGATGACTGGGCATTTGGCTTGTGAGTAGAGGCGGGTATATGGATTTATCTTCAGTCTATGCATTCACTGAATACTTCATTGAACTCGGTACATGAGATGATATCCCTAAAGATTGTGACAGTGATTATGTATTTTTCATGTCTAATATCCGTGACAATAAAAATAAAAGATTGGCGATTTGAGTTCTGCAGATCAGATGATTATTTTGTGTATATGAAGGTCTTACAGACCCTATGATAGTGGGGATTATCTGAATGGCAATAGATAGCTGTTGTTTGCACCAAGAGCTACATTGTTATCAACCTTCTTTTTAGGAAAGAAATTGTCTGTGCCACTGCACTTCATTGCATAGAATGAATGGAAATCGCGGCGACCTGAACTTCCCCTTTACAGCGTTTATTTTATTTTTCTTGTAGAACATATAGCATTCAGGTTGCCCTCTGGCTACTGTCTTCCATTCTGATTGTTGTTTAAATACTTTTCATAAATTAGGTGATGTGTACCAAATGCAGTAATATCTCAAACCAGTTTGAAAACATGATGGATTTAACTGTTGAAATCCATGGAGATGCCACTTCTTTGGAGGAATGCCTTGATCAATTCACAGCGAAGGAATGGCTTCAGGATGACAACATGTACAAATGTGACAGGTATGGTTAATTGTTCATTTCCTCAACACAAAGTAGTGGGATTATTCAACTATACGTTTAACTAGATTGAAGGTCGGAGCTCTTCTAATTTTTCGCTGGGCAATGCTTGTCCATATGATAATTGATGGATGAAGCTGAACCAACTGTGACCTCATCTAAGGTCGACAACCACATTCATTCTCTGGTAGAGTGGGCAAAAGCCTGTTTTATACACTGAATCCCTTAGCAGGTTTTCCATGATGCATCACTTCCAAAATGAATAAATGAATTGCTTTGGCCTGCCAGATATACCTGCAGATTACAAGTAGCATCAGTTCAATAGATGGGAAACAATATCTATCTTAATGAAACTCTGATATCTTTCATGCTTGCGTTATCTGAATGTTGATGTTTTATTTCTCCTTACAGTTGCAACGACTATGTCAAGGCATGGAAGCGTCTTACTATTCGACAAGCTCCAAATATTCTTACAATCGCTTTGAAAAGATTTCAGGTTTGAGCTGAACTGATTCTTGTATCTTGTTATCATAACACAACACGTAGTACTTAATGCCTACTGTTTGCTTGATGACATTTTTCAGAGTGGAAGATTCGGAAAACTTAATAAGAGAATAAATTTTCCCGAGACGTTAGATCTTAGCCCGTACGTGAGTGAAGGAGATGGCAGCGATGTGTACAAGCTTTATGCTGTCGTTGTACACATAGATATGCTAAATGCATCATTTTTTGGACATTACATTTGCTATATCAAGAATTTACAGGGAGACTGGTTCAGATTTGATGACTGCAAGGTAAATATCTGTCTTTGATTGTGTACTTGTGTGCATATAACCGCCATAATTTGAATCCTCTGCCCCTCTGCACATTTGAGTGCTTAATTTCCTTTCTCGGATTTTTTTGAAGTGTTGCATATAACATATTTGACTTGTATGCCGTGTCTTGAATATGTTGTGGGGTGCTGTTTATTGGTCAGGTTACACATGTGGAGTTGGCCGAGGTACTATCCCAAGGAGCTTACATGCTTTTATATAGCAGGTACGGATGTGTTTTTTCGCCTATTATGTTTTCTTTGCCCTTTTCTGCTGGACATGAAAAATGGTTGAGTAGTTTACTTGCAATTCGTATATTTAACTACTTAACTTGCTCATGGAGTGCTTTTGTATAATTGACCACATGACATTTAGTTCAGCTCTATCAAATTCTCTAAAAGCTGTGAGGGGATCAATTTGAATTTCTTGATTATTTCTGTGCTATTAGTACTCTCCATATTCTTGGGTTTCTTTTGAAAGGGTTCTACTCTTGTTGGCCACATGTTATTCTTGGGTATGCTTATGAAAACTAATATGATTTACTTGATTTTTATGCAGAGTTTTTGCTCGACCATCGTGTCTTAGAACTAGCACACCTTCAAAGAAGGACCGGGCGCAAGATACTGGGAAACAAGTGAACTCTCTTATGATCGAAAATGGTGAGAGTTGTGCACCGGTAGAGCTGATGGTGAATGAGCCAACCACTTCTGTATCACCTCAATCCGAGAGAAGTTTCGAAGTTGTGAATGGGGTTAAGGAGGAAGATGCTCCAATTTTCCATTCAAGCTCCCCACTTCCAGTAGTTAGGCTTCCCCACGAACCGAGTTCATCTTCTTCAGATGACCTGGAAACAGCTGGAACTATTGCCATTGAAGATGGTGACCTGGAAACAGCTGGAAAACAAGTGAACTCTCGTATGATCGAAAATGGTGAGAGTTGTGCACCAGTAGAGCTGATGGTGAATGAGCCAACCACTTCTGTTTCCCCTCAATCCGAGAGAAGTTTCGAAGTTGCGAATGGGGTTATGGAGGAAGATGCTCCAATTTTCCATTCAAGCTCCCCACTTCCAGAAGTTAGGCTTCCCCACGAACCGAGTTCTTCTTCAGATGACCTGGAAACAGCTGGAACTATTGCCACTAAAGATGGTGACCCGGAAACAGCTGGAACTACTACCATTAAAGATGCACCATCGTCTGCCTTCGATAATATCCCTGCAACAGCAGCAGAAGAAGATGCAACGGACTCTGATTCATCTGTTTCCGTGGAAGGTTATGGAAATCCTTCGATGACTACAACTGCCATAGAAGAACGAGAAGGTTCGAGATATGGAATGGAGGTCAATGTTGACGACGACGACGACATCCAGCTTAATGGCGAATTGCATCCACTCTCGGAAAAACATCATTGTCGGGAACACGAGCTCCACGATTCAGATGACGACGACAGAACTGGAACGACAAGATCAGCAGCAGCAGCGGGGGTAACAGAGTGTTGCTGACAGTATCAACGGCGCGCACATCCCTCTCTCACTAATTTTGATTGTTGTTCATATGATTGTTGTGACATTTCCCGTGTCTTAACGAGAGATAGCAGCAGCGACAAAGGCAGGAAACCCGGTAGAGATGGGGGGATTAGATTGTTGGTGTCTGGGATTTCACTATTTGCAGAGAATCTCAGATTCTATATTTAGGGGGAGGGGAGGTGTTATTGTTGACTGTTACAACATAAGAGGGCTGATGTGACGATGTTAGTAGTAGGAACTGAAAATTCTTTTGAGAAGCTGCTTCTAATGTTTGAATTTCTCTGGCTTTGTTACTTCCACCGGATTACAATACTTTCTTTGGCAGTCATCCTTCTGCTCTTGTGTTTTTCCAGAGGCGACTAGCATTATATTGTTGGGTGACTTCACTCTAAATATTGTTTTGGGCAGATTTTGGCCTGTGGTTTCTTTATAATTTTTCTCCCGTAGCTTAGGAAAAATATTGTTTCCCATTTTGTGGTGAACGAATAGAGACATTACAACTACTCCTTCAGAAAGTGTTTTAATAATGTGTTTTTTGGGGAACCAAAACAGAGCCTTGATTAATAAATAATGGGGTTCTATCTTGCAGCCTAGTTGTTATTAAACAAAATGAACCGACCAAGGAAACAAAGATCAAACGCACATGTGTACCTCATACATCCCCCAACCCAGAAAATTAATTACACAATAATAATAAGAAAAATAAAATAAATTTGTACAAAGTCAATAGTAGTGTAGCAGAAATTAGTTCTGGACATGTGACATCGAAAAAAATTATTGTAAAATATCCCAAAAACATAATGAAATAACCAAAAGTCAGAGAAATTAAATAGTAATTAGTCCGTTCGTGATGGTGGCTTCTTTTGCATCTCGAGTAAGTATAGAGATACTACATAGTTATAGTAAAAAATACTCTAATTAACCTTAATTCGGAACATGTTACTTTACGCTAATTCTCAATGAGTAAAGTTTAGGTACTAATTTTCTAGACCACGCACCCGAAACTCTAAAACGATGCATCTAGTATGTTGTATATATTCCGATGAATCAGAAGCGTCGATCACGGTTTCTAACTAAATTGATCACAATGTATTTTACTTAGAGAATGAGAACCTAGATTATACTCGTCATGCTTTGCTTACTGCTTGGAGTAGAATACCATATTATAAAGTATCCTCAAATTTACTCGTCGAATCGGGTTTTGGGGAAGAAAACAAGGTAGTAAATTTTATATTTGTATTTGTAGTAAACTCTGTTGGTGAGAGAGAGGAGGGCACATGAACGTAGAGAGAAAGGCAGTGTTTGGTGGTGAATTTCTGGGGGTTCACAAATAGATGCACACACGTGTCACTCATGCACGCGTTCTTTGTTTTCCCACTTCAGAGTAACAAAAGGACAAAATATGTGTTTCTTGTTTGCATGAGTCCACACGTTTTATATATAATATTATGTTTTTTTTACTTCGAACTCAATAGATACAGTAAAAAAAAGAAAAAAAAGGGAATCACTTTTTCCTGGTTGAGTGATTTCGTGGCAATGCAATCTTTATACGCCTTTTGTGGTATTCATTCATGACATGCCCCGCGGCGGATTCAAAATATGGTAGAGTATTGTGCCACATTTGAAAAGAGGCGGAGAGGATTAGATCATAACTCGACGAGTACTGAAACGAATACACCTAAAATCGATAATTTACAAGTACTATACTAGCTCTGAATCAAGAGAAGGGTGCCTCCCTTGATCACGGCCCAGCCATCCTCTAATTAGTACAAAGCTCGTATCGCAAACGAGAACTGCTTGTTTCCGGTCCAACCCTCTTCTCCTCTTTTGATCTAATACTATACTATGTCCTGAATTCGTAAGCTTGGACTCAATTGAAGCTAGCCATAGAGGCTGATAGCTAGACAGCCTAACCAATAATAATAATAACAACAACAATAATAATAATAATAATAATAATAAGCAAATTGTGGCTGCTGCCAGCATGGATTGTCCAATTGGACGCCAGACCTGAAAATGAGGTAGTGGTGGGCCAGGCGGGCTGGGCTGGCACAAAAAGCCCATCCTAATTAGCGGCGTCGTGGCTTAACCATGCCCGAGGTTAATAATAAACAACAACAAAAAACAGCCCAAAAGTTTTGGCAATAATTACGTGATGGGCTGAATAATAACAGAGAATCTACAGAAGAGAAGAGTCCCTTTTCATCAGGCAGTGAGTTTGCATGTGCTTAACCAGCATCGGTTGCTCACTCTCCGTCAATTGTTAACCCCCCAGCGCGTCTCCACCACGCTCCGCCACCAGCCATGGCGGGGAATTTAAAAAAGAGAGAAGAAAGAAAGAAACAGACTTAACAGAATATTAGAAGGAAAACAGATTAAATTAATTAATTAAAATATGAACGGAAATTCTACATTAAATCTCTGAAATCTGTGTGTTTAATCTTTCTGTCTGGGAAACTCATGAATACTCAACTGGAAATTCTCCCCACAGATAACAATCGACGATTTTAGGTCGAACAAATTTGCCTGAATAAGTTGAGTTGTATGCTCTAACACAATGTCGATAACTTGTTCATCCCTAACAACTTAAATTGGTAAGAAAATACAATCATTGCATCTTGTAAAATATCAAAGGTGCCCGAGTTTGCGGTTATGGATTTTGTTAGTATGTGGTATAAGTTTCATTAGTGAACATCTCTCGTCAAATCGAGTTATTGACAATGATATTAAAGTCTATGCCCGAGTAGCCTTCTGATTGAGTTTCCGGTGAAGCCCATTGGTAAGTGTCACACGGTATGTGAATCCTACATATTTCAAGTATATATAAGTGATCTTTAGTACGAGAAATCAGAATCTAACAACTCGCGAATTATTGACATCAACAAATTCCTAGCTCCGTTCTTCCTATTCGCCTGTGAATCAAGTAACCCCCAACTACAATGAGGTGGGGGGAAGAGGAAGACAAGACAGCAACATAAACAGATGAGAAATTATAAGAGAGAGAAAGTAGGAAAAGGGAGTGAGTGAGAGAGAGAGAGAGAGCGGGGAACAAACAGAGTAATGCATTCTTGCTTTCTGTGTATTTTTTTTTGGTGTTAATCAAGTAGTGTACAGATCGTAATGTATATAATATAGGAGGGGGACTAGAAGAAGAGAGTTGAGTCCTCCCCTGTTTCTCTCCTCCCCTGTTTCGCTCTCTCTCTCTCTCTCTCTCTCTATACATTTCTCACACACACAATCACATGGGCAGAGGAGGAGGAGGGAAATACTCTAATGTTTTTGACCTCCAAATCGCACATGGCTTCTTCTCCTTCTCCTTGAGCTTTCTTCCCCAACTCTCCCATTTGGACATTTTTATTGTTCTCTCTCTCTCTGCCTCTGTTTCCTTTCTCTGCTCACATGCATCCCCCTTTGCCCTTCTCTCTTTCTGTGCTGTGCGTCAACCAACAACAATTAGCCCTCCATTTTCATTTCTTTAACCTCCTTTCTCCAACACCTCGTTTTGTTCTTTTCTTAATCTGTCATTCATCCTGTGGTCACAGATTGAAATGCCATTGACCCTCTTCCCTTTACGAGATTCCTCAGATCTACAGTGCCCAAAGCTTTCCGCCGCCCACTACCCATTTCCCCTCCTCCTTCCTTTCTGCCAACTCTACTCTGTCTCCTTTCCTTCCTCTCTGTCTGCTTTCTGGGTTCTCAGACTGTCGTCGCCAATCCCATCCCCAGGTTAGTCCTTCTTTAACCCTCCCGCCATTCTTCTTCTTCTTCTCATGCTTCATGAATTCTGGCTTCCAGAAAGCTTGCCTGCAATTGGGCTTTTCCTTCCTTTCCAGAGCTTGGAACCTTCGGCTGGATCAAGCGTAGGAGACCATTTATTTCTTTGTGATTCTTCTCACGTTGGAATTGCAATCGAAACCCCACTGAAAAAGGTTCTGATGGTGACAGAACAGTGTTGTTGAGTGGGACTTATGATTGCCTTTGCCCATCCCCTGTTTTCTTCCTTTTTCACCCCTCCTTCTATCCACATGGAAAGTTCTTTTAGTTCGCAGCTGATGTAATGCAAATTGCAGTTGGCATTTTGCTGTCCATCTTTCAATGCCTTAGACAGTTGGATAAAAGAAAAAGTCAAACTCTTTCCTCGCCAAATTGAGCTGAAGTGAACGATTCCTTTTTCCAGGTTTACGGAATCCAGATTATAATTACCTTCAGCTTGATAGCTTGCCGTAAAGGTGGATCATCGATCAGGGCAGCTGGGATTTGAACCAAGAAATTTCGGGTCGAAAGCCGACTCCTTTCTGCTTCGACCAATTATTCATCGTCACTTCAGATGCTTAGAGGGGCGCTTCCCATCCCCTGGTTGATAAAAAACGAATCATTAGCTTAGTAACAGTAATCAAGGGATAACAAATCGAAGATTTGGAAAACAGAGTGGATGATTAGTGAAATGGAGATCAACAACAGCAGCAGCAGCGAAGGAATCGAAGAAATGGAGGAGATGGAGATGGAGATCGAGGTCCTCCCATCCATGTGGCCGGAGGACATCGACAGCGAGAAGCCATACAACGTCGAGAGGCCAGCCGGGGACGGCGAGCAAGACATGCTTGAAGAAGTCACAATCAGGGCGGCAGCCTCCGCCGTCGACTTCCACCACCTCAAGGCTCTCACAAGCTACACCGATCGCGGGTCGCACCAGATGTCCCACCTGATGAGACACTGGGAGCACCAGCAGGCCAACGCCGTGCGGCTCCTGAGGGAAGAGCTCGACATTCTCAGCAGGCAGAGGGAGGAAGTGGAGCTGAAGAAGTTGGAGATATTGGAACACTTCCAGTTCGAGGAAGACAACTGCAAGCGGCCAATCTCGATACTTGACAAGCACGTCGAACTCTACGGCGATGGGGTTCCCCGGAAGAAGTTCGTCGATTTCGTTGTCCGGAGTGACAGGAGGGTCGAGCTGGCTGCAGAATCTGATACCGTGGCGTATTGGAAGGCTCGTGCCGCGAATTTGGAGAAGCTGCTGGAGGCTAGCGTGCACCGGGAGCAGATACTTGTGGAGAAGCTTGAGGAGAATATGAAGGAATTGGAAGGGCAGGGTTCCCCTGTTGAGGAACTGTCTCAGATTCTGAAGCGGGCTGACAATTTCTTGCATTTTGTACTTCAGAACGCCCCAGTCGTCATCGGCCACCAGGTTAGCGGTTCGGATTCTTCACTGCAGTTGACAACAATGAGAATTAGTTCACCCCAGTAATTTGATTTGCCGGAAAGAGATGCAAGAATGGATCTTTATTCCATTCACTTACATAGTCCACACTGTAGTTAGTAACTGATCAATGGTGGTTTCCTTGCAGGACAAGGAGTTGAAGTATCGGTTTATATATAACCAATATCCAAGCTTGAATGAGCAGGACATACTGGGGAAGACGGATGTGGAGATATTTAAAGGAGCAGGTGTGAGGGAATCTCAGGATTTCAAGAAGGAAGTACTTGAGAAGGGGGTGCCAGCAAAGAGAGAGATCGCATTCGAGACGGAGCTATTCGGGTTGAAGACGTTTCTGATATATGTTGAACCCGTGTTCAGCAAGACAGGAGAGACGATTGGTGTTAATTACATGGGAATGGATGTCACTGATCAGGTGAGGAAAAGAGAGAAAATGGCGAAGATCAGAGAGGAGATTGCTGTGCAGAAAGCAAAGGAAACTGAACTGAATAAGACGATCCACATAACAGGTTTCATTAATATGTCTATCTGTATCAAGTATGGTAATTGGAAGTGTGGAGTTTATTACTGAGATTTGAGTTTTACTCACTTACTTTTGCAGAGGAAACCATGCGAGCCAAACAGATGCTAGCAACAATGTCTCACGAGATAAGATCGCCACTATCTGGCGTTGTGAGCATGGCAGAGATTCTGTCCAACACGAAACTTGATCGAGAACAGAGGAATCTTCTGAACGTCATGATATCTTCAGGAGACTTGGTGCTTCAGCTCATAAACGACATACTCGACTTGTCCAAGGTTGAGTCAGGTGTTATGAAGTTGGAAGCCACCAAATTCCGGCCCAGAGAAGTGGTCAAGCATGTCTTGCAGACTGCTGCTGCTTCATTGCAGAAAGTTCTAACCCTGGAAGGACGCATAGCAGATGATGTTCCAATCGAGGTGAGAACTTGATTTGACTGTGTTTGCAACTCCAAATGAGAAAATTTTCAGCTACCAAAACTAATATGCTAAAAGCCTTATTTTCTGCTTGAAATTTTCTAGGTCACTGGAGATGTTCTAAGGATTAGACAGATACTCACCAACCTGATCAGGTACTCTCTTGAATTGGAACTTCTTTTGCAAGTGAAAGTGTTCCTATATCCTGAATTCTTTTGCCATTTTTCACTGTAGCAATGCGATTAAGTTCACACATGACGGGAAGGTGGGAATAGACCTTTATATAGTATCAGACCCAGGCTGCGGAAGAGCAGAAGAAAACCACAAGTTAATGCTTGATCAAGTAACCGCAAATGGACGAAAGGAAGAGCAATGTACATCGACATCACAAAGTTGCAATGGTCATCAAAATGGTTATCATGATGATAACAAACATGCAGATGGTGCTTCTCATAACCATAAGCTAAATGACAATGAGCCTAGAACGCCAGTGAAGAATGAAAATACAAGAGACAGAGGAGGAGAAGAAGAAGAGGAAGAAGAGTGCCACGTACAAGAAACAACAGTCTGGCTACGATGTGATGTTTATGACACTGGGATAGGAATCCCAGGTACTACTTTCTTCGATGCCCTGGATTTTGCTAGGGATCTAGGTTTCATATGCATTCTCGATTAGCTAATGACAAATGGTTTTTTTTTTTCCTGCCACAGAGAATGCTTTGCCAAATCTCTTCAAAAAGTATATGCAAGCCAGCACAGATCATGCTCGAAAATATGGTGGCACCGGTCTTGGTCTTGCAATATGCAAACAGCTGGTGAAGTTCTGGCCCCAACCAAATTCTTTATGCTAAATTCTTATTCTTCACAGCTCTCTACCTGACAGTTTCTATGTGTACTGTGATTAGGTTGAACTGATGGGGGGACAGCTAACTGTGACAAGCAGAGTGAACCATGGCTCCACATTCACCTTTGTGCTACCGTACAAAGTATCACCAGCTTGTGATTCATCCTCAGATGATCAAGATGAGCTAAGTGATATGACTGATCATAACAATGCCTCTGTCTCTGATCAGGATGAAACTGCTGGTTTCTTCCAATTCCAACCACGTCTTTTAGGCTCCCTATTTTCATCGTCCAATGGTCCCATCAGGATCCCAAAATTGGTACCTAATACCTTTGGTAATACTAATTCTCCCCCGCTCAATGGGTTCCTAGAAGATGGAAACAGCTCATTTCCTTCCTCCGATATCGGATCAAAAGAGACAACAACTTCAGTTGAGGACGCCTACTCCACTGTTGAATCTATAGGGACAACATCTGAACCAGGAACTTTATTCGGTAGTGTAAGCAAGGAATGCCAGAATGGTGAATTGAGAAGCACAGAGTCAATTAGAAGAACGAACTCAGAAGAGAGCACTAGCGGTTCCCAAGGATCATGTCTTTCAACGGAGAATCATGACAGAAGTTCTCAGCAATGCTCATCAAGTGGCAACAACACATCACATGCAGAAGCAGACAAAGTAAAACCGAAGCCTAGGATCCTACTAGTCGAAGACAACAAGATCAATGTGATGGTGACTCAATCCATGATGAAGCAGTTAGGCCATAGCATAGAGGTAGTGAACAACGGAATTGAAGCAGTGAAGGCAATACAACGGCGCTACTATGATCTCGTTCTAATGGTAAACTCTTCTTCTAATGTCTGTCAAACCGAACGGTTACTACTCGCAGACTCCAAAACCAAAAAGGGATGGTTTTTATGCAGGATGTACACATGCCAGTCATGGATGGTCTTCAAGCTACAAGGATTATACGTTCTTTCGAGGACACTGGAAATTGGGATGAAGCAGCCAAGGCAGGAATAGAGCTACCAGCAGCTTCTTCAGAATCTTTAACAAATGGGCATAGCTCTCATCCCAATTCCAGAGATCGGATCCCTATAATCGCTGTAAGCTGGATACATACCCTTGTTTGACACCATTCCTCAAGCTACTTAGATCGTTTTCTGCTACGTTGTAACTAAACAAGTCTGTTTCGTGTTTGATGTGGTGCAGATGACAGCAAATGCACTATCCGAAAGTGCAGAGGAATGCTATGCAAATGGGATGGACTCGTTTGTTTCGAAACCCGTAACCTTCCAAAAGCTCAAAGCATGTATGGATGAATACCTGCCTTGATAGCGCTCTTCCTCACCCCCACACTCATGTATGTATATTCTTTGTGTGATGATTGTGTATACAAGTGAACAGCAGAATGAATGATAGGGAAATTTTTGTAATCAGTATATCAATGTTTCCGAAGAAAAGAGTAGCGAAATACTAATAGAAGCTGTATATTCTCCATTCCCAGCAAAAAAAATCCAACCTAAAACCCTAATCCTCTAGTCAGGTAGCTAAGCAGCAATTTGATCACCTCCGATTAACCCTAATTGTGACAGTATTGAAGCAGAGGAAAGAAATCAAACCGTGTCTCTTTGCCGGTCTTCCAGCATAATAGTGGTTTACCGGCGAAGGGCGGTGCCGTCTGGCTGCGAATCTCCGGCAATCGCCATTGCTCGCCGCGAATTGTTTGACGCCCAGTTGACTCGCCATGATTAAGGCTGAATCATAGGAAAATCGAATTCGACTCCGCTTAATTTTGCAGCAACGGGTGGCTGTGTGGACTCTGGCCACTGGTTGCTGCATCGAGCCGATCGCATGACCTTCGAAGGAAGATAAAGAGGAAGGAGTACAAGCGATATGCTTCTGGAGAATGGAGATCCACTTCGGCTGCGTTTATTTTACCGCTAAAATAAAGGGTTCAATATAGAAATGAGTCAATTTAATTAATTGTCTTGTTTTATAAATGAGGCAATTAAAACGAGTCAATTCGAATTACCTGTCCCACTCCAGGTAATTGAAATTGACTCAAAATAGATCAATTCAAAATACCTCAGGCATCGATCCATCCAAATTTTTTGCTGGCAAACGAGACAATTTGGTACAATTGTATCAAAACTAGACAATTGTGTCAAATTGATCCGTTATAATTCCTCATCCAAACGACACCAGAATTTTAAAAAGAAAATAAATGTCCCAAGCGGGAAGTTTGATATTATCGATGAAAATAATAAAATAGTAATATTTATTAGAAAAAAAGAACAAAATAGTGTACAGCTCAAAATATTGAGACACAAGACATTAATTTATCATGTTGGATTAGGGATGATAATGTTTGGGTTAAGAGGATTTTTTCAGATTTAAACTCAATTCTATTGATGAGTGACACTCGGTAAAATACTCACAGGATTTTAGAAGAGAAAATACAGTTTAATTCCATGAATACTCAATGATACATGGATACACATGGATTCACGAATATAAATGTGAATAATTACTTCAAACACTCAATTTTTTTTTTCTATAACTATATTGCCTAAATAATAATAACATTTATAAGCTATCCATATTATTAAAATTGTATTGTCATGAGTAGAGATAAAAGATAACTTAATTTTTGTTGTTGTATGCATCGAACAACTTCGTTCTAACAGTATTTGAATAAATGTAAACCGAGTAACAATAATAATAGAAAAATTCCTAGTACATTGATTCATCAAAATTCCACCAAAAACATAATTCAATTGGATTAACCCCCTTGTTTCGTGATTGTCGTATTGAAGGGCTTCTCGAGTTGAATTCCCTTTTTGTAATCATTCGTAACCTTTGATCATTCCATGAATTTGTTTAAGCCCAATGATAATGGACTAAAGCCTCAAGCTATTTAATAAGAAGTTAAAAAAAAAAAATACCGTAATGCAAGTGGAATTAAATATGCAAGGAAGACATATTCACAAGAGAATCAATAAAACTTGCTCTCCAAGTTCTTAGTTTCTCATAAAATACTATCTGAATTACACAACACCGATTCATTTTGGTAGCCATCACGTCACTCTAATCATATATAAATCTAATTAACACTTGTCACCCTTTCATGGAGTATTTAATTTCAAATGAACATGTCACAAATCACAATAATTTGAAGTTTTTTTCTATTCATATCTCGGTAGTTACCCAAACTACAAATTGCTATAAGGATATGAAAAACAAAGAGTTATGCGATAGAAATTTAACACATCCTTTGATATTGCGATATTATTTTAAAGTAATCAGACTGATTAAAGTTAATTTGTCCGATCTACATAAATTTTTTAAAAATTCACTATAGAACTATAAGTTTGAACAGTTCGCACTCATGTATGATTCGTCAAGTATTCGCGAGATAAAAACAATGTCAAATGTATATATAGTTCGTAAGCTTAACTAGATGGAGTAGCATGCAAAATAAAATAAAATAAAATAAAAATTAAATCTTGGTCTATACGGCGACAACTGAGATGGGTTGCCGTTTACCTTGACCAAATCAAATGTTCAGTACCTTGACCAACTTACCAGATCACCCCTACTAAAGTTGACTTAATCGCCTCATGCTCACCGAGCTTTTATCGGATTCATTAAGATCGATTAGTACGAATCAATGTAACACATATGGATCTTCGAAGAACCCAAATACAAATGTAATAAATTGATCTAATTAAATTATAATCGGAACAATATAATAAAGTTGGAACTCCATTACAATGATCTTAAGTATTAGCATTTCGCTAGGTGGCTCGCAAGTTACCGTGATTTGGAGACAACGGTCGATTACTTCCAAACAAATGGTCGGATGATACTCAGCTTATTGCGCAACGCGAGACTGCACAATTGCAAAGGAAAAAAAACGATCAACCAGCTGGTCATTGTCTTATGAGTTATGAGTATTAATTGGAACAAAATTCCACGACTAAAAAGGTTTCAGTATTACAATAATGAGACTCCACCATTAATACCAACATGCAACCAGAAAAAAACGAGATGAGTGAGAGAAAGAGAGATCAAGAGACTCCATGAATGACATTATGAATTTTATTTGAGTTATTTTTGAGAAATAGTAAAGTGTTCTTATTCGAATATTTTCGACCTACAAAATAGGGCGATCGATCGAAACTAACACTAGGTACGTTGATTGGCGTCTTCACGCATGCTGCTACGTGGGCAGAAAATCTAAACGGAGCCCGATTAGTTGTCACTTGTCAACTACATCAAGGCCCGATGGCGATGGGGGTTGATTAATTACCAGCTTAATTTTTAATCCGCTTCAACGCCTTGGCGAAACTTCCATGAAATTGCCAAGCTTAGCTTGGCTTAGCTTAGCCATAGCTACTTCTTTCATGACGCAGACTCCTTCATCTTTCTTTCTCAATCTTCATTTCTATATTTAAATTTCCCTCCTTACAAATAAAAAATGGCTTCGCCGGCAATAGCAAGCTACCTACTGCAGTTATTTTCTTGGCCATATATATATATATAACAAGGCAGCAGCTGATCATCTTTCTCCGCTCTCTTGCTCTAAACTCATTTCAATATAAATAACCAACCGATCATCTTTCCAAACTAAAAAAAAAAATCTCAGTGTTCGTTTTGCTGTCCCTTGTTCCCTGGCAAATTAAAGCGCCGATTCCCGTACGATGACGCTGGAAATCGGCCGCCGCCGTCGTCCAGGGGGGAGGCTCCGATTCTTCGACGTCGCGATCTTGTTCGCTGCTGTAATCGGAAATATGACGGCGGCGGTGGGGCAGAGCGGTAACGCGACGGCGGTGGCGGTGAACGTCGGGGTGATTCTGGACCTGAACAGGAGGACGGATGTGGCGCAGGTGGGGCTGAGCTGCGTGGAAATGGCGGTTTCGGAGTTCTACGACGCGCACCCGAACTACACCACCCGCATCGTCATCGCCACCAGGGATTCCGGCGGAGACGTTGTTCAAGCTGCTGCTTCGGGTAAGTGAACTAACTCGATCCTCGCTAGCTCCATTGCATTTACATTTCTTGTGGCGGTCGCTTTTCTGTTGTTACGTTGTTGCGGTAGCGCGCTCAAGGTGTTTGTTGTTATTCCTCAATGAGGAACTCGACCGACGAACAGTAGTTTCGTTTGGTTAGTTTTGAATTCGTCGATCGCTCTCTCCCAACCTTGTGGGTTCTCCTTCTCTGCGGGTTGACTTTGGCCCTCCGTTGATAAATTTCATTTGACTAATTCCACTGTCAGATAATAAGCAACCGATTGATGAAGGTCTGAATTTGCCTTTTTTTTTTTTTTATCTTCTTTGAAAATGTCACGTCTTGGCGTTGATAATATGCGGCGTGAAAATTGATCTCATTCCCTGCCGGATAACCTAATTATAATTATTTATAAATAATATAGTAAACTGGCTATGTTATTTATAAATAATTTATAAAACTTTTATAGACTCTGACACTCTGTGCATCTAAGCGCAATAAAACCTACTTAATTAGTTCTGAGCAATGTTATCAGTAACGAGACGAATAATTGTGAATACATACATCATTATTTCATGCTACAGAATATGCTAAATTAGTTCTCTTCGAGCAATACGACCAGTGACGAGGGAAAAAAAATGTGAATCTACCAATTCATTTTGTCATACCTTTTGTTCTTTCGATTTAAACAGGAAATAATCCACCGATCGGTGATAGTTTTAGCTTTTGTTCTTCCAGTAGATTAAACCGCAGAAACAACCGGTCGTGGTTAGCTGCATGCAGCATGCTGCACTCTATCGATTCAGTTTGGGGCAGAGGATGCTTGCTTGACTTCTCTTCTTCATTCGCGTCAAATCTGGGAGCAATGAGGATTTGACTTTTGACTTATTCAAATGTTGGGTCGTGTCGTGGCATTTCATATTTTGCTTGTGCTTGCTGCCAGTTCATGATCCGTTGTTGTTCCCAATGGTCAGCCTCGGCCTTATTTCTCACCAAATTGTTGGTAAATCTAAAGATAAAACAAATTTAAGAAATATGCATAAGTAGTTCAGTCAATGCTAATTAACTGCTCCCTCTATATATAATAATAATAATAATACAAATGAGTAACCACGACAAGGATTAAATTAATAACATTGATAGCAACTACTCTAATGAACATAACAAAAATTAAATGGAGGACAAACGATCATAATATTTAGTATACATTCCGATTCAAATTAATTATCTACCAAAAAAGATTCTGATTAGTTATTATAATACATCCTCTTCTGAAATACGGGGAATAAAATTAAGTGTATATATGTATACGTGACTGTTGCACCTAATTAGTGTTGGCCTGTTGGGGCATTTTGCTTAATGATAGTGCGACCAAGATATGTGACAATAACTTAATATAAGTCTCCAAATCATACGAATAAGAACTTGGTGTATAAACCTGGAGATCTCAGGTTTGAATTCCTTAGGTAGGAGTTTAATCACAACAAAATAAATCTATATGACTCTTATAAAAAAAATCCTTCTAATTGCTTGGTCTTGACGGTTGAAATCCATGGAGATCCCACTTTATAAATTACATAGATTATAAAATGCATAAGATGATATATTAAAATGGGATTAGTTTGAGGGTATATATATGGTTTAATTAAACAGCAAGAGTGACACCTTTATGTCAACTGCTGCTCTCTATATGCTGAATAACAATAACAATAACAATAACGCCAACCTAACTAAATTAGTATAGGTTGTTGGAACTTCATTTTCATCTGATGAATGATGAACATATTAATTAAGTTAGGTTTGATAAACTTAATTAAGTTAAGTTTGGTAGAATAACAAATATCCTAATCTTTCTTGCGCTTTATTATTTTATTTTTGTAATATAAAATTTCCTCCACTTCTAGTCTTCTACTGATGTATTCACAAAAACATTATCACTCTTGTAACTACGTGGCAGCTCTGGATTTGATAAACAACGTGCAAGTCCAAGCCATCCTCGGCCCAGAAACATCGATGCAGGCCAACTTCCTCATCCCGCTCGGAGAAAAAGCCCAAATCCCAGTAATCTCATTCTCCGCATCCAGCCCAACCCTCGCCTCCATCCGCAGCCCATACTTCTTCCGCGCCACGCAGAAGGACTCCACCCAAGTCAACGCCATCGCCGCCATAGTCAAAGCCTTTAGCTGGCGGCAGGTCGTCCCCATCTACGTCGACAATGCCTACGGCGAGGGGATCGTCCCTTCCCTCGTCGACTCCCTCGACGCCGTCGACGCTCGCGTCCCTTACCGCAGCGCCATCTCCGCCTCCGCCACCGACGACCAGATCGGGCAGGAGCTCTACAAGCTCATGACCATGCAGACCCGCGTCTTCGTGGTCCACATGGCTCCCAATCTCGGCGCCAGGTATTTTCTTTTTTTAAACTCTTCTGACAACTCGAGTTATTGGAACCAATTGGTTTTTGAAAGTGATAGTGTTACTCTAATACCACCAGGTTATTCGCCAAGGCCAAAGAAGTCGAAATGATGTCACCAGGTTACGTGTGGATAGTAACCGACGGGATCACCGGATTCTTGAATTCCATCGACAGTTCGGTTCTCGAGTCCATGCAGGGCGTTTTGGGAGTCAAGCCCCACGTGCCGAGGACCAAAGAAGTCCTCGAGTTCAGGTCTCGCTGGAAGCGGAAATTCCAGCGAGACCACCCGGAGATCCTCGACGCGGATCTCAACAGCTACGGGCTGTGGGCGTACGACGCCACCGTGGCGCTAGCCACGGCCATCGAGAAGGCGGGACAAGCCACAAACTTCACCTTTTTAAACAACAGCAGCAGCAGTAACGCTGGAAACGTTACTAACTCGACCGACCTGGACAGGATCCGGGCGTCGAGCAGCGGCCCGAACCTCGCTCTCGAGCTGTCGAGAGCGAAGTTCGCGGGCCTCTCGGGCGAGTTCGCGATGGAGCCCGACGGGCAGCTGAAGGGCTCGGCCTACGAGGTGGTGAACGTGAACGGGAACGGAGGGAGAGTCGTCGGGTACTGGACACGTGGCGGAGGTTTGGCCAGAGAGTTGGCGAACGAGTCAACGGCGGGGAGAAGCGCGTCGAGGGAGAGCCTGATGAGGACGGTGATATGGCCGGGGGATGCGGCGGCGGTGCCGAAAGGGTTTCAGATGCCGACGAGCGGGAAGAAGCTGAGGATCGGAGTCCCGGTAAAGGACGGATTCAGCGAGTTTGTTTCTGTTACTACCGATCCCGAAACCAATAAGACGAGCGTGACGGGATACTGCATTGATATCTTCGAAGCCGTCGTCCAAACGCTGCCGTATGCGCTTCCCTTTGAGTACGTGCCTTTTGCCAACGCCACTGGGGATAGCGCCGGGACTTACAACGACCTTGTTTATCAGGTCTTTCTAGGGGTAAGTAAGTAATTAAATAACTAATCAACCCGAAATTAATTATTAATCACCTGTTACAGTGAGTGGTTACAACTTACACCTAGCGTTATGTTATACTGCGAGTAGTATAACATAATACTAGTGATACTTTACGGATACATAACAATACTCGTAGTAATTATATTTTAAATTATTTTTATGTCATACTAATTACCATATGTTCGTTGCATGCGTGGTAATGCAGAACTTCGACGCGGTGGTCGGAGACACCACCGTCATCGCCAACAGGTCGAACTACGTCGACTTCACGCTTCCGTACACGGAGTCCGGGGTGTCGATGGTGGTGCCGGTGAGGCCGGACGGGAGCAAGAACGCGTGGCTGTTCCTGAAGCCGCTGACGTGGGATCTCTGGATGACGACGTTCCTGTTCTTCCTGTTCATCGGGTTCGTGGTGTGGGTACTGGAGCACAGGATCAGTAAGGATTTCAGAGGGCCGCCTTCGCATCAGGCCGGGACCAGCCTCTGGTTCTCCTTCTCAACCATGGTCTTCGCCCACAGTAAGTGTACTTACTATATATCAAGGTTGTCAAACTGGTTTATACCAATATACGAGGAAGTGGAAAATTATTAACGCCACAATGAAAAGTGCATTTATATAATCCATCTTTATAAAATCAACCTATAATCTTCATCTATATTTTAACAAAAAAAAAAAAAAAAAAAAGAAGTAATGACTATTTATTAGCCGAACCTTTTTCGGATTTTTTTATTAGCCAAACCTATCGGAATACTAAATTTTGTAACTCTCTTCTTAGTTAAAATACTAAATTTTTCGAATGTTAACCTCTATGTATCTCTTCCAAGTCAGTATCATGTTGTCAAGTCTATATTACTTACAAAATTGCTAATGAGAAGTTAACGTTTGGCTAATTATCAGTAATTCAATAGGTTTTGGCTGATAAAAAAAAATCTGTGAAAATATTTGGCTAATAAATAATCATTACCTACACGTTATAAAAAACAAAACGTGAAAATTATCATGCTTTTTAGTTTTTTACCGGTTTTGACTATTGCTTCATATCGGTGAACTTCCAGTTTTGTTTTCGAAATATCGCGGTTGAACCTGATTGTACCGGCCAGTGCACCCGTGGTTTGACAACCCATGCATGCTTACCACTGCACAATATATATGTTGTTGTTGTTGCAGGAGAGAACGTGGTGAGCAACCTGGCGAGGACGGTGGTGATAATCTGGTGCTTCGTCGTGCTGATCCTGACGCAGAGTTACACGGCCAGCTTCACCAGCCTGCTGACGGTGCAGCGGCTGCAGCCGACGGTGACGGACATCAACGAGCTGCTGAGGAAAGGCGAGTTCGTTGGGTACCAGGACGGCTCGTTTGTGGTCGGACTGCTGAAACGGATAGGGTTTCGCGACGACAGGCTGGTGCCGTACGACAACTCCGACCACTGCGACACTCTTTTCGGGCAAGGGAGGATCGCTGCTGCGTTCGATGAGATTCCTTACATCAAGCTGTTCTTGGCGAAGCACTGCTCCAAGTACATGATGACTGATCCTTCGTACAAAACCGACGGCTTTGGATTTGTAAGTTCTGCTCTCTCTCCTTCTTTATGGTCTAATCTTGGTGTTTTGTAGATGTGAATTATTAGAGAAAATGTGATTGTAGAGGGCAATGAGTGGAATTATTGGGTAATTTGACCTAATTTGCATGATTTGTTCGGGTATTGGGTCGGATTCAAATGAACTTTTTATGTATTTTAAATGGTTTTGGAATAGGGTTGGTATTGAATTTTTGGTCTAGTTGGGTGAGATGAAGATGAGTCTAATTCAGGGGCGGAGCTACTTGAAAGTTAGGGTGGGCCCCGGCCCCCTGGATTAGTCCAGGTCCCTAAAATTTTAAGGATATTTAGAAAAAATGTGAATAAGTAGATAGGACTCGACCAGAACATTAATTCATACAATTATCATGTAGTTTACTGATAGCTAATCCTATTTTTAGCGTGGAGCACCCATGTTCAATTCACCACTACCTCCCATTTTGCTATATTTTGAGTGATTTAAATGACTTTTAGACTATATTGAAAGAAAGGTAGCAAAACATTTAGTTTACATACTATTTTTTAGTGATTTTTCAATGGTTTTAAAAAACGTTGTATACTTTTAAAATAATTATTTTATTTTTATTTACATTTAATTATTTTCGGCCCACCCGATGTAGTCATATAGAAATCCTGGCTCCGCCCCTGGTCTAATTGAGTTTAGATGATTGTATATAATATATATATATATATATATATATATATATATCAATCATTTCATAAATATCTTTAACCCAATTATACACCCTTAATGTGGGTGTATCTACCTTTTTGTTTGTTTCATAACAACAACAACAAAAAAGACAAAAATCGCATTATAACTGAGTATCCATTTTCTTTTGGATCGGACTTTCAATAGTGTGGATCCAATTTAGGCACAAACTAATAAATTCATTACGAGTATGCTAAAAACAAAATTACCCAAACTTGATTTGACTCCTGATAAGTTGGCTTTGTGTTTTTGGGTAATTCTTTCAATTCCTAAATGTGATATGTTGATGTGACTTGAATCGGACTATCTGGTGCTACGACTAGACGTCACGGTGGTCTCATTGTAATCTGTATCTCCTCAAGTATAGTGAAACAACTGGCTCTTTCCCGCTTGTGGACTAACTAACACAAATATAAATCGTGTGTCGCATGTGTCATATGCGTTGTTCTTGCTTTCGTTTTTCTTGCTTTGTCGCCCGATTCGCAGAAAACAACAATCATGATAATTTCTCGATGATGTGTCCTGCAGGTCTTCCCCAAAGGCTCCGTACTCGTACCGGACATTTCCAGAGCTGTCCTGAACGTGACAGAGGGAGACAAGATGACCAAAATCGAAGAAGCGTGGTTCGGCAAGAACAGCAGGTGCCCTGAATCCAGCACCTCTGTTTCTCCAGGCGGACAGCTCGGGCTCAACAGCTTCTGGAGCCTGTTTCTCATAGCTGGTGTCGCCGCAGTTTCGGCACTCATAATTTTCGCAGCCACGTTCGTCTACCAGCACAGGCAGATTCTGTTGCAGCAACAAGAAGGCGAAGATAATTCGCAATCGAAACCTTCGTTTTGGAGGAGGATTATGAGACTGTTGAGGACGTTCGACAAGAAGGACCTCAAGTGTCACACTTTCAGGGACGACAACAGGGTTGGCAATAACGAGGTTAATTTGGTGAGTCTGAATGTGATGAGCCCTTCTGCTTATTCGGTTCAGACGGAGTTTCCTGTGGATTCGTCGACGGCGGCGGCGGCTACTCCTCCGCCGATAGATTCCTCGACGGAGTTGCACTACAACGACAATGTTGAAGCGCAGGGAGTAGAGATAAGCATTGATTTGCATCAAAATTTCAGTGGAGCAGGACAGATTGATGATGGTTATGATAATGATGAAATTACGAGACATTGAATGTTGTTTCGTGTCGAAATTAACCACCGTTGTAAAGTATGTGATGTACGTATATGTAGTTTGTTAACTTAATTAGTTTGTTGTCACTACAAGAAAATACACTTTCTGCGACGGAACAAAAGCGTCGCAGAAACCCTAAAATCCGTCGCAAATACTTTATGCAACGGATTTTACCGTCGCAGAAGAGAAAAATCTTCCGTCGCCTATACAGCGTCGCAGAAAGTTCTGCGACGAATAAAAACTGGTTCGTCGCAGAAAAACTAAATTCGTCGCAGAAGTTTGACGATTTAGCGACGACCATGTCGTCGCAGAATGGGTATTCAGCGACGAAAATACCTCCGTTGCAGTAAGGAAGGTTATTTGGCGACGAAGTAGTTCGTCGCAGAAAGTTACATGATTTAGAAACGAAAAATTGAATTGGAGTTATTTACAATTTATCTTCTGGGTAATTTCAATATAGGTCACAATTCTTTTCGGGCTATTTCAGTATAGGTCACAATCATTCCCCGGGTTCGTTTTCTGGTTCACTCTTTTGTCAAACCTCAAATCAGCACCTCATCAAACCTAAAAATCAAGATTCCCCCAAATTAAGTGCTTTCAACTCATCCAAAATCCAGATTTGCTAAGTCAGATTTCTTAAACAATTTTAAAAAACAGAGCATATCCCGTTCGGAAGAGCAGATCTGGTCGCCGAAAGAGCAGATCTGGTTTCTTTCATTCGCTTTTCCTGTTCGAAGAGCAGATCTGGTCATCCTTCCCCGATTGGACCCAAATCGTTGCGCCCGGAGCCAAAATCCAGGCCACCTACCGATCTCTTTTCTTCTTGCCTCGTTCGAAACCAAAACCCAGAAGGAAAAATGTCATTATCCATTCTTGAACCAGAAAACGAAAAGAAAAACACATGCAGGCCGAATCTTACCCGGATCTTCACTTTTCTGATCAAGAGGAGCCGATTTACCGCGGCCAAAGCCCAAAACCCTGGCCCCCCGTCGATCTTCCTTCAGCGTAATCGAACTCCGAGGCCACCGGCGATACCCGTTTCTTCCAGATTTCTTTTCTCATCGAGAGGATCATATTTTCCGCCGACGGTTTTAAGGGTTTTGTTGTCTACAAGGGAGAAAAGACGAGAAAGGAAGAAGGTGAAAATTAAAGAATCGAAAGAGAGGAGGAAAAGATGAGTTGTTGTCTACATGGGAGAGAAGACCAGAGGAGGAAAAGATGAGTTGGGCGGCTAGGGTTTTCTACTCACTCCCCTCTCATCCTTTATATACTAAAGGATACTCAATTGACCAAACTACCCTTTCACCATGTCGCAGAACCAAAAAATCATACTCGGGGATTCGAACAGCTAACCTTGAGCTAACATCAACACACAGACAAATGTTTCAACCAATAGACTACTACTAAACCATTTGTTAAATGTAACTTTTCGTTGTTATTTTAGTCAAAGCCTAAGATTTCAAAATCAAAACATTCTGTTAAACCTAATTCCAATTATCCTTGTACGTCTAAATCTTTTAAAAACTTAATCATGTAGAGTTTATGGGACCAAAGCTCAAAGGTTATCTTCAATTAATTTACAAACCAAATATTATTCAATAAAGATATTTAAATAAAATGTCAAGATTTATCAATCTATTAAATAAACATATGTTTTTGTTGCCTTTTATAAATTAAACTTTCTTAATACGAAAATCACAATTCAATTGATTGCGATAAGGTTTTTTTACTTAGTTATGTGCATAGGTACTCATCCACTAAATATTCTTAATTCTCAAAATGGCTCAAACATTCTGCGACGAAAGACGATCGTCGCAAAAAGTCTCGAACATCTGCGACGAAAGACAATCGTCGCAGAAAAGCTCAAAATATTCTGCGACGAAATGCATTTCGTCGCATAAGTTTTCACATATTCTGCGACGAAATGCATTTCGTCGCAGAAGTTTTCACATATTCTGCGACGAATATCGCTTCGTCACAAAAGTCTAAAACATTCTGCGACGAAAATATGCGTCGCAGAAAATATCCAACTATTCCGCGACGACGACAATCGTCGTAGAAAGTCCCCAAAACCTTTTGCGACGAAACAATTCGTCGTGAAAAAGAAAAGACCGTCGCAAAATCATATACCCCACCTATCACAGAATATTAACACAATCCGCGACGAAAATACAAAATTCGTTGCAAAATGTTCACTTTCTGCGACGAATTTTATGTCGTCGCAATAGAATCCGTCGCAATAGGAGCATTTTCTTGTAGTGTGTGTGTATATAGTAAGTTGATGGTAGGTTATTGAAGCTAATATTATAACCACCGTAAGCACACCCAAAACATGTTTCTATGCTGGAGCTCGACAACCTTGGTCGTCCCAAGAACTAGTTAGTCTCAATAACTCAAGTTATTGGGATCAACTGGTTCTTGATATGGTACCGGAGCTTTCTATAAATGAGTCTTGTGTTCGAATCCCGGTAACCCCCATTTGTTAGCACATGGTATTTGATGCCTGTGCAAACTTCAAGCCCGTATATGGTGGCTTTCGTTTGAGGGGGAGTGTTAGTGTTGTGGTATATGATCTACGCTTGAACCTCGATCTCCCAATAACTCGAGTTATTAGGATCAAATGGTTCTTGATAGACTTGATGGCAGATAGTGTCTCTCAATTTGATGGTGAGAAAGGTGACCTCTCGGGGAGTCTAACATGTTGCGCCCATCAATGAAATCGTCTAGAGATAAATTCAAAGCAAAAAATTTATTTATCATAAAAAAAGGTTGGGATGTTATAATTACGTAACGGAATGTATAACTTTTTTTCCCTTAAATTTTAATGAATAATCTCTCATTCATTTTAACTAAATTATATATACATGTGAAAAACAAAAAAACGACTTTGATTGATTTGTTGACCCACATAATTTTCATATTTGAAATTGATATAAAACAACATTGTCACCAAAACTATCAAATATGTCAATTTAAATGTATCCCATTAATCATTGACTTCCTAAATCCTAACTCATACAATTTTTAAGGGGGTCGTTTGGATCCAGAAAAGTGGGCAGGGATTTGGCCCAAATTCCAGCCCGTCCAGGAATTTAATCAATTCCCACGTTTGGATAACAATAAAAACTGCAGAGATTTGGGCCATCGAGATTTTTAAATCCGACCCAGTCCGGAATTAGAAATATCTACTATCCTCCAAGTATTTTAAAATCCGCCCCTATTTGTTTTGGTTCTTCCCAGCGTGTCCCTGCTAATATTTTGTTATTCCAGTTTTATCCTTTAACCGCAATTTCGCAGACACCTCTCATTATTCCCGTCATTCACGAACAACTCTCCCCCTAACCTACCGTCGAGATAGAAGAAAGGAATTGTCGATGAATCTACGGCCAGCGGAGAAGGCCCGGCGACGACGGAAGTGAGGGTGAGCAAGCTTCTTCTATAGGCGTGCCTGCTGCGACTTGATTTCAGGTTCGTAACCATCTCCTCCTTCTCGAATTTAGTTGTGATTTCTAGGGTTTCTATGGTGACCGATTGGGTTGTCTCGATTCGAGGGGTTAAGGGTTATGATTCATCCTTGATGATGATTAATTAGTGGGTAATGTTGTTCGAGATCTCGTTCTCTTTTTTTCGTCAGATCCCTTCAAATTCACTAGCACCTTCAAAAGCGTGCTGTTTTAGTTTGACAAGCCTTCCTTTCGAGCTCCTGTCATGGTGATAAATGGTCTTGAGCAGGATAATATATAGAAGTTCGAGATTAGTGGTTAAAGTTGCCACAGTTGGGTACTTTCTTTTGAGCTTGATGTGTTAATTGCTTGTATATATAGAAGCAACTGTTTGATGATGACAGGGAACAAATGCCTGCTTGGGTACTTTCTTTTGAGCTTGGGTTTGAATACTGGATTCTTTGTTGTTTTTGAGTTTCGGTGACAAACTGCAAGTGTTTGATGATGACAGGGAACAAATGCCTGCTTGACTATACACTCAAACAACCCATTCTCCGCAAGACTATGGCAATCCTCATAAAGCACATGAGGCCACTGCAATCGGAGAAGAACAGAGGGGTTTTCGTAGTGGATTTAGAGGGGAAACATGTGGCGCATACAACGATCCTCAAACGTAGTTGTTACTCCTGCTGCGGCGCTTGTAATGATAGGATCAAGGCTTATGCAAGATTATGTGTGTTGTTGTTAATTGTCCTTCGAAATCGTGGGTAGTAAAAGAATACTGGCAGCTAATATAGTGAAGGGTATCACTGTAATTTCCACAATTGCTTTCAGAATTAAATTCCCTAATTAATAAATTCTCATTCATAAACAAACAACATATTTAACACAAACCCTGGGTTTAAAATACTAGGTATTTTAATTGAGTGATTGTTGATCAAATCTCTACTTAACTGAATTCTTAATCCAAACGACCCCAAGAGTGTTTATGGAACTCCTGCCCTCGCCTTAGAATTTTCTGTATAAATAAACAACTCTTGTGTTTTCTCAAACAAACGAAAGAACGAAAAAAACATCACCCAAAGTTCTGCTCCCTTTCTTCCTTGGCAAATCATAGAGCGCCCGTTGCCAAACGATGACGGCGGAAATTGGCCGCCGCCTTCCGCGGAATCCGGGGTGGCCAAGATTCTTCCTCACAGCGCTATTCGCTACTGCTTATTACGCGGTGATCAGTAATACGACGGCGGCGGTGGCGGGGCAGAGGAGGAGTAGTAATAACTCGACGGTGGCGATGAACTTAGGGCTGATTATTCTGGACTTCAAAACTAGAGATTCCGGCGGAGACGTTGTTCAAGGTGCTGACTCCCCATTTCAAATTTTCGTTTTCCTCCCTTGTTTTGTTCTTGCGCTCTAGGTGTTTGTGGTTATTCCTCAATGAAAAATCGATGCACTATGTACAGTTTTCCATTAGTTAGTTTTAGTTTGACGCTTCTCCCAATCTTGTTCTACTAGCCGACAAATTGGCCCGGACGAAGACTTGTGGTTTTTTGTTCTTAATTCCTTTCTGCGTTTAGTTGGTTGGCTTTTCCTCCACAAATTGGTTTTATTTATTCGGCGAATCGGTCCTTATCGTAAAATGAATACTGCTGAGTTTAAGCCAAGTCAACGCCCACGGTAGTACCTTTTCTACTCATCAACATAGAGACTAAAGTCTAAACAACATTTCTAGTCCACATAGGCAGGCTGAGGTGGTACTCCCGGTCAATAATAACCCACCACATGTCATTTGTTTAATTAATTAAGTTACTGCTGCAAGATTATCTTTTTGGGGACTTTAAATTTTTCGTTTTCTGTCATGAACCTTAATTAATATAGTAATCAAAGCCCTCACTCCTCTCCAGGGGGAGAATAACAAAGCCAATATCTCTCTATCTCTTACTTCCGAACCGTTTCCCAGAAAACCTCCATAAACCCTCTTCCTTTCTCTCTCTCTAAAAAAATGCCCCAAACCTTTCGTTTGAAAAACACACTTCTAATGACGGATTGTTAAGATATCATTGATTTGTATCCAATCGATTTTACTTTTACTCCCAAGATTCAAACGATTTTACTTATTGGGTAAATGAGTTGTCGATGGATAGCAAACCTGAGGCGTTTATGAATAGCTTACTGGTGTTTATAGCTTCTGAAAATTGAAGAACGCCGCTGCCACACCGGGGCTATGGAGGCGAGAGAGTTCAGTTGGAAAGGAAGCAGAAGAGAGAGTGATTTTGATTGAAATTGAATATTAAATTTTTTATTAAGGTAGTTAATAGAAAAGGGCACGAGAAAAAAGGTTGAGGAGGAAAGAGAGGTTGAGGAGAAAAAAGGTGGTTAATGATGCAGAGATAACAGGTGTCAGATTGTTATTGTCCGGGAGTACCACCTCAGCCTGCCTACGTGGTACTCCCGGAGTACTCAATAATTCCTCCAAGTCAACGCCCACGGTAGTACCTTTTCTACTCATCAACATAGAGACTAAAGTCTAAACAACATTTCTAGTCGCCATAAAATTTAAATAGAAAAAAATGCTTAAAGCGTAATAAAATACCTATGGATGTAAATTAATGATATGCCATGGTTAATCGAATCCGATCTCTTGATAAATTTCGGTGGTACTAGATTTGATGAGTGAGATTAACGCCGCTGTAAAATAAATTTTAAACTTCAAAATGGATGTCATTGTGTAGATTATGATCAATTGCAACATATTTTTTTACAGTTTAATTGATAATCCAAATTTAATTCCATAAAATATAACACAAAATGACGTAAATGAACTGGCTTTAGGTGTTTTGTCACCTAACGTGACAAGAGATGTTTTCCATTTATGTGTTGCGTGCAGGAGAAACAGTGGTTAGCAACATGACTGGCAAGAACACGAGGTGCCAGGAATCTAGTACATATGTTTCATCAGGGGGACGATTCGTGCTAAACAACTTCTGGAGCTTGTTTCTTGTTGCCGCTATTTCAGCACTCTGCATTTTCACGATCATGTTCGTTTATGACCACATCCAGCTTATGCTGCCTCGAGAAGGCGATTCAAATAGAGACTCTTCCTTCTGGAGAATGATTTCGAATCTGTTGAAGATCTTGGACAAGAAAGACATCAACTCTCATATTTTTAGCAACGACAGAGTTGGTCACAAGGTTCGTCTTGCCAATATGAAGCCGACGAGTCCCTCTGGCAGGAAGCTTTTGTTCCCCCAAGAAGACGACTCACAATCAAACCCGTCGTCGTTCTGGAGAAGAATTATGAATCGGTTGAGGTCCTTCTACAGGAAGGATCTCAAATGGCATGCTTTGAAGGACGACGAAATTGGTGACGAGGTTCATCTTGCCAATATGTATGTGATCCGCCCCTCCACTTTTTTTGTTCAGAGGGAGTCTCTTTTGGATTCGCTCCAATCACCTACTTCGTTGAGTGAATCTTTGTGGATTCAACCCAAAGACCTACTTCGCTGATAGAATCTTCACCTTGAGTTGCTCGACAACGCGATAGCTCATTAAGGTGTGATGACGAACGTTGATTCACATCCAATTCTAGTAGTGAATGACCCATTGTCGATGCTAACAGTACTGATGGAGAAATATGGTATATGATGAGAAATCAAGCAATCATGCTAGGAAAGCATAGCATGTAGTTTATTCACAATGTTTCTCCAAGCAAATCATTGGAGGAGAAATAAATAGGTGGAGAAATGACGAAATGAAAAAATGGGCTGGAACTGAAATTACGAAATGAAAAAACTTGGTCAGTCGTCAGGTAAATTATCGGAGGGGAAAGAAACTTGTGTAGGAACGATGGAATAAAACTGATGGAGAAAACACGACAAAATGAAGAAGAAGAAGAAAAAAAAGGAAAAAATTGATGGAATGAATTAAAAAATTGAAATAAAAGTGAAAACTACACCCTTATGTATTCAATATTCCGGTGAACCCATCAATCAAACTTGCCCGCTGATCTCTGGCCGCAAAACTGGATCGGAGGTGTCTGGTATGAACAGAGATCCGATCACCGGAAGCTGGTTTAGATACTCAAAATCAAAGTCTAATTAAATACTTACTATTACATCATCAAGACGTGCCGATGGCGATGGGCGATGGGGCTGGTTGATTAATTAGCACCTTAATTATATCTTGCTTCAACGCATTGGTTAAACTTCCACGAAACTGCTAGCTCGATCGTATCTAATTTCTTCATTTCAAACTACGCATTTCATCCATTGACTTTTCTCCTCTTTCGTGGTTATAAATCAACAACTCATCATTCCCAAACAAACAAAAGGAGAAAAAAGGCCTCCGGCGACGCTCTGCTCCCTTTGTTCCCTCGCAAATTAGATCGCCGATTCAAAACGATGACGCCGGGAATCAGCTACCGCCTTCTGCAGAATCCGGGGTGGTCACGATTCTTCGTCACGACGTTGTTCGCCACCGCTTATTGTGCGGCGATCAGTAATGTTGCTGCGGTGGCGGGGCAGAGCAGTAGCAATAACGCGACGGTGGCTATGAACGTAGGGTCAATTTCCGATTCCGACGGTTCGCGCACTAACAACACCACCACCCGCGCCGTCATCAACACCACGAATTCCAGCAGAGACGGCGTTGTTGAAGCTGCTGCTGCTGATTCAGGTATGTACGGACCGGCTTATTCCCGCACTTCGATTTTCGTTCATTTTCTTTTGTTCTTTGGCACTCTAGGTGTTTGTGGTTATTCCTCAATGAAACTAACACCTTTGACTTCGTAACCTTTTCCCTACCGTACGTACACTGGTCTAACATTTCATTTCTTGTGCTTGCAGGTCTTCCCAAAAGGATCTCCAATGGTTGCAGATATTGCAGGAGCAGCCGTGAACGTGGTTGAGGGAGATAAGCAGACCAAAATAGAAGAAGCAAGGATTGGCAAGAACAACAGGAGGTGCAAGGAGTCTAGTACCTCGGTTGCTTCAGAGAACAAGCGTTGGTTGAACAGCTTCCGGAGCCTGTTTCTGATTGCTGGCATGGCTGCAGTTTTAGCAATCTGTGTTTTTATCGTCGTGTTCGTTTACAAGCACGGGAAGCTTGTGTTGCCCCAAGAAGACGATTCACAATGGAAACCTTCGTTCTGGAGAAGAAGTCAGGATCTGTTCAGGACGTTCGACACGAAAGATCTCAAATGCCGTACTATCAGGGACGACAGAGTTTGTAGCGACGTTCATCTCGCCAATGTGAATGCGCTGAGCCCCTCCACGTATTCCGTTCGCCTGGAGTTTCCTGCGGATTCACCAGAAACACCTACTCTGATGATGGAATCTTTGTGGATTCGACCCGAAGACCTACTCCGATGATAGAATCTTCAATCTTCGTCGGAGTTGCACAACGGCACAGTAGCTCAGGCAGGTGTGATCAACATTGGTTCACATCCAAATTCCAATAGAGAAGACCACATTGCTTATATGTTAACACTAATGATGAAATTACGAGACATCAATAAAGATTATGAAATATTGTATAATGAAGAAACCGTTCTAGTAAAGTATGACTACAAGTAGTTTATTTTAGGAGCGACACAAACTTGTTTTTTATTGTTAAGTGTTATTTGAAGGATTCGAACATCGAAATAACAGTAGATATTTGATATTTCCATTCTAATTCTCAACGAACTTACTCAACATTCTTCCAACATTTTAAGGAACTCCCTGGTTATTGGCCTGTAAGGGATAAAGGGTTCCTCTGCCAGCAGCTCTACAGCTTCAACTGTTCACAGAAGGAAGCAGGTTAACTAAGAATGAAAAAGAACAAGTAGTAGAGAGCTAACATTTCTATCTTCACGTTTACTTATTGCCTGTAACGCTGGATCCCATCAACATCTATAATCCCAGGTGGGAAAACCGGATCAGTTGCTGCCCTCAGTGCCACCCTGGCCACCGCATTCACATCCACCGGAGGTGTGAACAGGGGTCCGATTACTGGAAGTTGGTTTAGCGGCTTTGCCCGTTGAAGAACCTGAGGCGCAGGACAGATGTCGTCACTCATTACCATTCAGAAATCCAGTGCAAAACGAATGCAAGTGTACTAAAACCAGAGTTCATGTTAGTTGGCAGGATATATAGACTGGATGTTTGGTTTCTAAGATAACCGAAAATCAGACATATGAATCCTATGGAAGCATAAACAAGTTACCATTTCCATAGGAGAACCAATGACACCAAGAGGCAACTTCAGACTTCCAACACCACGAGTCCCGTAGATAAAGCCTGGTCTCAGAATTATTCCTGTATAAGAAATTGGAAAAGTTCATTTGTTCAGAGAACCAAAAGAAAAATTCTTTCAAAGATGGAGATGCAAATAATGATCTTCTGATCCAGACATAAAATTTACTAAACAATAATGAGCTGCAACCCATAAGTTAACCTCCGTATGGAAACTTTGCCTGTAATTCTGCTTCGGCAGCTCTCTGTATCAAGGGAGGCAACAACCAAGCATGTCAAGTTAGAAGAAAATAAAAGAAAACCTTACTCCCGAAAGAACAATTATCAACTATGAAATCATACTCTTCAAAATAAAGCTATGAAATCCTACCTTCCCCTCGTAATATCCTCGCAGTATGTAGTTAGCCAGGCCAAAATCCGCAGCAGAAATGTAAACAAATCTTTTCACGCCTACAAAAACAAATGCCAGGGGAAAGAAACAGTCGGTTATAATACAGAGGGGTTTAGTGAAGCCAAGTGATGTGTAGCTGCTGGAAAGACTAATCCCTTACCTATCATGCTGCAATGGTGTCGCAGAAGGAGCATACAAAAGAAAGTGGGATGGTAGCTAGAGTATGAATACAACGTGGAGACCCATTTAAAACCATTTACCTTTTTCCGAAGCAGCTCTAATAGCATTGATATTCGCAGTTCCATTGATCTTGTACATGTATGAATGTGAGCCAAAACCCCCAACACAGGAAATCTAGAATTTAGCAGAAGCAGAGTCAGTAACAACAGAGACCAGCAATATGTCATAACCGAATCCCACACTGAAAAAACTCCATGCATTAAACTAAACTCATAAACAAATGCATACAAAAGAGATGTATCCGAGCATAACATGTAACAGAGTGATTACTTACAACCGCAGAGACCCCGTCTAGAGCATCCTTCAATGAATCAGGCGAAAGAAGATTCCCTGTAGAAGATAAGGGCAAATGAATCAAGCTAAACAAAATAACTCAACGCCTCTCACCAGTGTTAAATTGAATGAGGAAGAATCATCACTCAACAGCAAAGTAAAAAGTAAACCTTGATACCACGTGACACTGTTAGCCCATGAATCATGCAATGATGACTTCCCAGATCTGAACAGAAAAAATAGCAGATTCAAATTCCAACAAGAACCGGTTGAGTGCCAGTAGTCATGCAAAGCGAAACCCGGAAAACACTCAGCAGAACATTGAGACCAGCTCAAGTATAGTAGCAAGCTTCCCATAACAACCATTATTGAACCATAACTAAGAAGGCAAAGGGTTCGAACGCATAGCACGCAAGATCGCGTCACCTACTTTCAATCGAAATATTACCTAGAATTTGAATCTATGGAGTCCATTGTCTATAGCGGAGGCTAACTTCTAAAGTTCAAACCAAATGGCATTTATCCAATGGGAACAAGCCTGGAAACAGAAGTAGTGAAAATGCATACCTGCTAAGGCTAGCAACAGATAAGCCCAAATCTAGAGCCTCCCTTAGAATATGAGAGCCAACGAAACCATTTCCACCTAACACCAGCAACTGAATCCAAACACATAACAGAATGCAAAAAATGTAAACCCCAAAAAGCCAACCAACAAGTTCCAATGCGACAGTGTATCAAAATGATTCACACCTTTTCTTGAGGCGGCGGAGGGACGTTCACAGTTTCAGCTTCCTCGACTTTGAAAAGCTCATCTACCTTATTAGAATCAGTTGAGTAACATCTCCGCTCACCGTACCCCGCCATTGCACTGCTCTCCGACGAATTAAGCAATCGGAAAACATAATCAGAAATTCTCGTGCGAAAAAACCGAGCTACACTAATTCAAACATTCAACTGAACAAGGGAATGGGGAAGCAGATTGAATTACCACAATCTAGACAGGGAAGCTCTCGAGTCGATCAACCGCGACGCAACGGCCCTCATTTCGGTTGCAACTTCTCGCCTCCTTCGTCCCTCTCTAACTTTATCTCGCTCTTTCGAAACTCCGGTAACTCGGCGAAACGGTGATCGGAGAGTGGGGGAAAATCGCGTTCCGGCGGAGGTTGGGGACGAGTTTCGAGCGACGATTCAGCGGAAAGACCCTTCTCGCGAGTCGCGAGAGAGTAAGAGAGACAGCTCAAGAGAGAGAGGGAGGGATGGACAGGTGGCGCGCAACGGAGACGACAGGTCGTGGCAATCATGTGAGTGGGTAGATGTTACTTGTTAGCGCCGTGAAGGAGAGTCGGCCTCACGAGGCCCATAAATTAGTGGGCCCTGTCTGGTCATCTCAATTTAAATCGGAGAGGGAAAAAAAAAACATTTGGGCTTCCTTGATGGAACTGGACCGATCAGCCCGAAACTAGTACGAGTACTTGTGAAACCGTACCGGTCGTGGGGCTGGCGAAGTATCCTCCATGGTCGAGATTTACTATCTCGTGGGTTGCGTTGGCAGGTAGGTAATGGTTTTTCCATACGGGTGTTTGAAGATGCTTGGTTACCCACGTCTCCGCCATCGATTCCTTCTCGTAGACTTGGTGCCCCTGCTTCTTCCCCGTTTGTTTCGGCGTTGATTGACCCAGGGTCTTGCACTTGGAATATGGCAGCCTTGCGTCTGTTTTTCAATCCTGATACTGTCAAGCTCATCTCTTCAATTCCTCTTCCGCAAATCCAAATCCCGGATAAGTTGATTTGGCATTTTGAGCCATCAGGTATTTTCCAGGTTCGGTCAGCTTATCATCTTGCTTTTCAATGCTATCGTTCTGGAGTTGGTAGGCCTCGTGTAAATCAAATGGATCATGATATGTGGCTTTGGTTGTGGAATTTGAAATTGCCACCAAAGCTTAAATTTTTTGTTTGGCAATGTCTTAATCGGATACTGCCAACTAGGGAGGCCTTATCTCTCCGGGGTCTTGATTTAATCCCGATTTGTCCGGTTTGTGGTCGGAAGGTGGAGTCGTTAGAACATCTGTTTTTTAATTGTTCTGTTGCCCGAAAATTGTGGAGCTTGGTTGGTTTTCGTTCTCAGCTTGCAGGATGGGATAAGCGTTCTTTTGCAGGTATGGTTCGGGAGGTGCTTTTTCATAAGAACGGGAGGGTGGATAATTCGTATTTTATCCTGCAAGTTATAGCCATGTTTTGGCGTATTTGGAAGAACAGGTGTATGGTTGTTTTTGTTCAGCAACAGGTCTGCTTGGAGTCAAGGGCGGCGGAGTGGCGTCATCAGGTGAATGAAATTGAGTCTTCTTTCTTGTCCGCATCTCTTTCCCCGGCCATCCAGCTTCGATCTTCTGTTCCTACAGGATCAGCGTTTCCGCATGATGGTCATCAATTCCATGCTTCTTTCGACGGCGCCACTGGGAGGGGGGATGCAGGTGCGGCAGCGTATGTGATTGGGGACGGTTCGTCTGCTGCAGGGATGATGTTTCCAATTGCAGCTGCGGCAACCATTTATGCAGGGATCAACGATGCTCATGTTTTGGAGACCCTGGCTCTTCGGGATTGTCTCAAGGAATGCAGCACAAGACAGCTCACATCGCTTCTTATTACGGGCGACGCGAAGGTTATCCTGGATAAATGTTTGGCAGGGGATTTCAATGATTCTAAAGTTGGCGCAATTTTGCGTGAGATCCAAGCCTTGTTGGCTGGTTTTGGAGGGTATTGTGATCTACGTTTCGTAGGTCATCATAGGAACAGGGAGGCTCATTTAGTGGCCAAAAAGTCCCTGAGTTTGTCGCCTCGGGTCCTGTCGAGGTTCGACTATGTGTCTTGGTTACGTAGTTTGTAATTGACGGTGTGTGGATCTTATCTCCATCTCGTTTGAGATCGGTTGAATGGGAAAAAAAAATCATCAATCTAAAGACAATTATGTAAATTATGGTTTTCGATCTCTTTGAAAGATAATGAACCTTGTAATATAGCCTGATGCATCATTACCAGACTCTTGACTAGCAGGGTCGTGCATAACAAAAAAAGAATAGTGTGTGCGGGACCTTGGGTCAGACGATATCCTGGACGGACCGAGTGAGGTGTAGCGTTAGGTGACCCAAAAGCCACGCGGGCGGGCGCACGACGAAGCTACCGTGTCATTCGAGTCTTTTTCGTGTTTTTTTGACAGAGATCTGGAGAAAAACATCATATTATAGTCCAATAATTTTATTGATATAAAACGATTTTAATCACAAAATATTCCTACAATTAATTTATCCGATAAGATTTTTGTACCTTTCTTGGTTAGAAACAACCAATGATCATTTGGTTTTGAGTGTTAATACATTTCTAAACGTCACACATCGTAGATTCCACTTAATAGTTTAGTGGGGAGAACAAGTGCCATGAAACCTTTTCTTTCGCCAGTGTTTTGTGACGAATGATTCCAACACCACATTCGGTTGGTCCTTTTTCAAAACTATGTCCATTAACTTCACTTCATCAAACTTTATCCACTACAGAGATACCATCAGATTAATGTTTTCTAATTGCATTCATGTTATCATATTTGATATTCCAACATATTTAATATTCAGATATAGTACTATCATGGTGATTAAAATAAGGATTATCTGTCACAACAACAATTCCTATGATGGTTTATGTGGGAAAGAGATATGATTCTCTTTAGCAAAAGATTAGTTGGATATTAGCCACCATAACACCTCATGTGACCTCACTTGAAATTTATGCTTATTTGATTCCAAAGTTAATGTGGAGCTCAACAACTTTAACCCTTCTGTTTTCGAAGAGGTGATAAAATATTATTTAAAATGAAAGAAAAAAGATTGAACGAGAAGTAGCGAATAAGTTGTTTACCAATATTTTTCTTGAAGGATTTAAAAAAATGTTGTTTTAGTATGAAAATATCTTAGGTCGATGATGTCTTAGCAGATTATGGTTTCGAAACGTTTGAGCGAAATTACATTTTCCCCCATTTGTTTCGCCTATTAAACTTACTGAAATGTTTAGTTTGGAACAATTACATCTCAATGTGCAATAAGCCTTGTTATAAGAACCGAACCGGATCAACGGCCGGGCCAGTAGAACCATCAAACCAGTTACGATAGCATTCCGGTTCATTGTTTGAACGGTTATTGATGGACCAAACGGTTTTTCACGGTTCAACATAAAATCAGATGAACCGACACGGTTTAACTGGTCCATTGGTTCACTATTTTAACAAAAAAAAAATATTTTAACATAAACTAAGACCATCAAATCATAATTATTAATTTTATATATGCTTCCTCAACCTTATTGTCGATTTTACATTGTCTACTACCAATTAGAACCGTAATTTTTAATTTGAATGAAAAAATGTGGTTTCTTTTGTGAGATGGTTGGAATGATTTATTAGATATTTTCGTGATGATATGAATTTGAACTTGTTTATGGTCAATGATAATTTCATTCTTAAATTAGTGTAATATACAAGTCTTATATGTTATATATCATTAACGGTTCTATCAACGGTTTTGTAACGATTAACCAGTGAACCCTTAAACCACTAACTTTTTCGGTTCAGCCTCCGGTCCGGTTCTGAAAACAGAGGCAATAAGTCTCATCTTCGAAAGTATGAGGACTAAAAGTTACATTTTCCCGAGAGAGAAGTACCAATCGGCAAGTTATCAAAACAGTTGGGAAAACAGAGCAAAATCCGTGCCCTGCTTTCAAAAAGCAGAGCCTGATGAGTAAAGTCCAGCGCGGCCGACGACGCCGCGTCTCTCTTTACCCACAACGGCCTATAAATACGACGCATCCCCCCGCCCTGCATCTCCAACCTGACACTCCACTCCTCTCTGCCTCCACTTCACACCAAAAACCTCCTGTGACATTTCAACAAACACCTTCCCTGCAAAACAATCCCCCGAAAAAAATGAGATCACTCAGCGCATACGAAGGCAACAGCATAACCACTCCACCGTCCGCAATGCTTCCGCCACCGGCAATCCGCTCCCCGTGGCACTCCCCGGTGCCGTACCTGTTCGGCGGCCTGGCGGCGATGCTGGCCCTGATCGCCTTCGCCTTGCTCATCCTGGCATGCTCTTACTGGAGGCTTTCCACCCGCCGTCGGCAGCAGGGCGGGGACGTCGAGAGCGGGGACGGGAAAGAAGGGAAACCCGTCGAGACGAAGGTTTTTGAAGAGAAGTTTCTGGTGATCATGGCCGGAGACAACCAGCCCACGTTCCTCGCTACCCCTGCTTCGAACAGAGTCGGTGTTTGTGGATGCGGTGACACCATAGCCGTGGGTGAAGATGGAGGGGAGATGGGTAATGGGGAGAAAGTGAAACAGGGTTTGTACGAACACGGTGAACCGACGGCGGCGGCGGAGGAAGAAGAAGAGGAGGAGGAAGAAAACCGTAGCCGGGAAACGATGCAAAATTAATTTAGTAAGGTATAAGAGGGAGAGAGACGCTCGGAGTGATTTGCAGAGACTCCTCTCTTCAGCTGGGAATTTCATTTCCCACCAATTTTGTTTCTTGTTCTCGTTTCTGGGTTTTGGTTTTGGAGATTACTGTGGGTTTGATCCACTACGTCCCTCCGGCGGCCGGCAAATGTACAATTTTGAGTGTTGACTGATGAATGACACGAAATCGTCTTGTTCATTTCTCCTTTTGTCATTTGCTTTCTGGGTTCGATGTGGTTTTATCTATCCAATCAAAGGAAAGCTGGAAATGATGAACCCCATTCCATAAACCGGACGCGCTTTAGTAGGCAAGCTTCTGCAAACAGGAAGTGAAAGAAAGGAAGGAAGAAAGGAATCGAAGCTTTTGAGCAGAATTGATATTGTTAATCATGTTGTAAGCGAGGGGGAAGAATAAAGGTAAGAAGTGGTAATGGCGTGAGTGAAGAGAAAAGATGCTCTGTTCCGTTTCCCCTCCTCCGCCCTGACCCCTCATGTACATTCCTCCTTTCTTTATTTGCGCCACCGCGGTCAGTGATATTCCACCGGTGACGGTGCTTGCAGCCGGCCGGCAGCAAGTGCGGTGAGGGGCCGGGAGGGCATTTATAAGTGGTAAGGTGGGGGGCACGAGAAAGTGGAAGAAGATGAGGTCACGGGCACATCAAGTCTTCAACTTCTTTCCCATCGAGATATGATAGTACAAATGTCTAAAGTCTAAGCCCATTAGGGCTTAATATCTTCTCTCATAATTGTCATGTTATTGTAAAACCGTCATGAAGGTAATACAAGAAAAATCAGCGATAATGTATTTTATGCTGAAATTGTGGTTCAATCATTTCTTACCGCATCAAACAATCTATCGATTTAGACTTTGGTTTGTACCATCAAGCTCATGACATGAACAATAATTGGTAGTTGTGTGGACTTGAACTCGCGATTTGCTCGTTTGATCTCATCCGCATGAAAGAAACTTGAAGACACCCGAGGGTTGGCCCCCGGATTGCACTCGAAAGATCAAGTCAGTTCAAGATATGAGATATATATGTAGAGAAAGTATTTAGAGAGAGAATTTAGAGAGATAACCAAAAGTGTCGAGCAAGTGGGGAGATGTTGAGCCCCTTAGTTAGAAAAGACTTGAAGACCCTTATATAGTTGTAGCAACTGTCAATCGTCAAACTTCTCGATTTGACGGCAGATTCGACTTGGCGTTAGGCTACTTGAGTCGTGCTTCTCGATTAAGCGTCACTGACTCGGTTTAACATCATTTCTCGATTATGCGTCACTTCTCGGTTAGATGTCACTTATAACACCGCAGATACAATACAACACAACTTTACAAAGAAGGTTGTGTACATCCAAATATCATTAACATGTTAGAATGTTCTCATCTCCAAGGATGTCACTTCCCCTTTGGTTTGCTTTGGGATGCTGGGAAGATAGTGGGGGACAGTGGTGGGCTCCGATTGGTTGGGTGGTGGTAGTGACTAGTGAGTGGGAAATGAACGTGGAACGCAACGGGGAGTGGTGGTGGGGGCCGCAGGAGGAAGCTATGCGCGCGGCGACGCGAAGCTGCGTCTTGAAACTGTGATCTGCTTTTGGTTTTTGCTTCGCCAGGAAAAGAAGAAGCGTACGTTTGTTTTGGGTTCTGTTCTGTGATATGATTAATATATGGTAAAATGAGTAATGATGAAGACGACGGCGATCGGGAACGAGAAGCGGATGCGGGGGCCAGCAGCTGCCTCTGCTGCACTGCAGCTAATTTATGTTGGATGTGGGTTGGTGAGTGGCAGCTGGTTGGTTGATGATAATCCTCCAAACTCAGTAAAGCAGAGGCAACATTTTATTTCATTATTATTTGCCGTGGAAAGAAAGCAAGGGAGGCTGTTGATTGTTGATTGTTGAATGTTGAGGGTTTTCTCATTTTGCCCAATCTGTTTTCAAACCTAAATTTGGGTCTGGTTTTAATGATGGCTGATAGGGGAAAGTAACACATGATTTGTGGGGGATTTTGGAGGCCTCTAATTTGAGGTTGGATTCGCGTTAATAACGTTGTTATCAGTGAGACAGTAACAGAGCCATAAATTCAAACAAGGATGGCTTACTTGAATTGTGAGAATTGGTAAAAGAAGGGATAAAAGCTTACAGATGATTCGAATTACTAAATCTACACAAAATTTACATGTAATTTCACCTACATTTCAAAATTGAGGAGGGGCTACCTTCAAAGTTTAACCTAGCTCCACCAATCATAATGAGTTGAGTTACCCACTTTCTGTCACTTGATCGAGTCAATAAAACCAGTTCTGCAGCATAAGGAGAATGACAGTAGTTACCATAAAAAAAAAGGATATGATGAGCCGAGATGTCTCTATAACCAACGCCTAATTAGAGTTAGAGGATACCTCGTTCCATTTGTCTACTCGAGATATGTCTCCAGCAGTCATACGCACATTCCCCCATATGCTGGGTCGAATAAACACATATTTTATTGTTCGATTAGAGAGACATTTTATTGTTGCAACTAGTATCCTATTTTTTTATAGTATCGAACCGATAAGCATACAATCCAACAATTATTACGTTAGATAATCTTGAATTCACTCTTTGCAAGCAGTGTGTATATTGTTAAAACGATACAAGGTGTTATCGACAAACTATAAATGCACATTCTCCATTCTGGAACTCCGTATTTTCTATCTTACTAATGCCAATTGCACAACTTGTGTGTCATCCGATCGGCTGCCTGATTGCTCTATCTAACTCAAAATATTTGGTAATAGGTTGCCCAGCCGAAGTGCTCTTATCTAGGGGTGTTCAAACGGATTGGTTACCGTGGTAATCATATTAACCAGTAGCTTTCGGTTAATTTGGTTTGGTTAATTTGGATAATTGGTTTGGTTTGGTTAAATAATTTAGCTTATTTGGTTTAGGTGGTTTGGTTTGGTTTCAACACTGCTAACCAATGAAACAATTAACCAATTAATGATACATCTAATATACAAAATTATTTATACTTCCATGCAACCAACCAAACCAAACTTTCGTGATTCCCTATTTTATTTTCATGTGCACAACAAACCAAAACATTATGGGTCAAAAATTAAATGTGACTTCCTATTTACTAAGCCAAAACATTTTGAACAACTACTAGACTTTAGGATTACGTACAATACCATGACAACCACCTCAAACTATGTATAGTTTAAGTGTTTTGTAGAAGAGTTTTAACTTCCTAATGGGTGGTATTGGTATGTATTTAATATTTATGTTAAGGGTTTGTTGTAAGCTAACTATATTAGGTGCGGAGATGATGAATGATGTATTAACTCGAATGATGATGATAATCATGGTTAGCCTTATTATTCTTATATATAATGATAGTTTATGATAGTAATTAACAAATGATTATATTTTATTCATTAACAAGATAATTGTTTTCATGTAATGTTATGTTATTTGGTTAATCCGATTATCCGATTAACCAAACCAATTAAACTTTGGTTTGGTTAATTTGGTTTTCGTGTTAACTTGGACGGTTTGGTTAAGATATTTTATTCCATGGTTAATGAAATTTAGGCTTAATTGGTTTGGTTATTACCACGGTAACCATTTGAACACCCCTACTCTTATCACTTTATCTCTGTAGTTTGCACATACTACGTCAATCTTCAGGAGAAATCTTTCTTCTCCATCTTGTTTGGATTTTCAAGATGATCGCCTAACAATCCATTTGTCCAATTGGAGCTACTCGAGATCCTTGGTAAAACAGAAAAGCTACAACTATTGGGCTCAATTTGATCATCAAACTTCGGAGGATAAGCCTCCGGAGAGAAAAACCTAGGCCCAATAATAGCGCATTGGGCCAGCAAGAAATGCCCAATGTGGCAGCCCAACTACTGGATTAGCACTTAGCAGGCGAATCGGACTCTCCATGTCAACTCACAACTGTCAGGCTGACCGACCCAGGATGGAAAAGGAAAACCGTTGGCGAAGAAACGACGGCGTTGCGCTGACCAGTAGCGTAAAAGAGACTTGAAGCCTTTCAGATTGGAAAAATCGCCTTGGCCCTCCATCGGAATCTGTTTTTCAAGAAGAAAAAAAATTAATAAACGAGCTTCACTCCTTTGAAACTTCGCGTGGAGCGAATCTGAGTGAGATGAACGACGAACCCATTGGGCTATAGGAATTTCTGCAGAAGAAAGCAGGAAAAAATAAAGTAAATAAGGCGAGGGTAGAGGGCGATCAATAGCCATGGGGATTCTCTTCACTCGGATGTTCTCTTCTGTATTCGGCAATAAGGAAGCTCGAATTCTCGTTCTTGGCCTCGACAATGCCGGGAAAACTACTATTCTCTGTAAAACTCTCTCTTCCCACTTAGGGGTTTTACCTTGTTTTTTCACAGTGAGCCTGATTTCCCAGTTGTTTGTTTCCCTTCGTAAATCTACTGAATGGTCTGTATTTTCCTTTGCGTGCCAGATCGGCTTCAAATGGGGGAGGTAGTCTCCACGATCCCAAGTAAGTGCATTGAGTTGCCAACCCACATCTACGATGGTGCATGCGGCTTATTCTGATTCAGTCTGTAATTGAAATGTTCGGTTTCTGGACCAAATCTGACGCTCTTGTGCTTTTCCCCCCTCAATCTTTGAAGCTATTGGATTCAACGTGGAAACTGTACAGTATAACAACATTAAATTTCAGGTGTGGGATTTGGGTAAGTTGGAAATTCTTTTGAACCCTTCATTATATTTGTTTGTTCTGCTAAGATTGGGTATAGTCTCAGTTTGATCTAGCTATGCGATGCAACTAAGGGAATCGAAGATCATTCAGGGGTTGGCCTGATTGTTTTTTTTTTTGGGATGATCTCTGTGGTGCATTGTTAATTGGTTTAATGCATTTCGGGAGCTTTTGAATCTGATTGGCGATAAACCCCTTGTCCCTGAATTGCAAATTTTGATAACCTGGCTATTTCGTGTGAATTGGATGTCTGCTGCTGAAGTTCGAAATGCTGTTCTGCATCAGAGAGTAGCTCTAATCATTGAATAGTAATCTGATTTACTGGACCTAGATGCTGATGCATTTCTGGAACTTGATCCATTTCAGTCTCTATTGATAAGGGTTCATCTTAACCTATGAGGATACCTGGTACCATCAAATGCTTGACTTAGTCTAACTGCTCCAACTTCTGAAGTTTAAAGAAGCCATTATGTTGCTCAAAGTTGAATTGCTGAATTTTTATAGTCTGTATGACTGTATCTAGAATTTAAAACTGACATTTTCAATATGATTTTTGAACAGGTGGCCAGACAAGCATCAGGTAACGTTGGTTCTTAAAAATTTCCTGCCCTCTCCCCCCTTTCTTACCATAAATTTTGTGTTTTGTCGAACAATGGGTTCTTGGTTAGAGATGCTCTGCTCATGCCTGACTAAAATCTTCGGTCCTTTTGTATCTGAAATCAAGTACATGGAGTATGTTTTTAGAAGCTGTTCTCTAACTATCCTTCCCCTCATCTCTCTCTCTTTCCCCTGTACAAGTAGAAATGCTTAATGACAAGCAAACATTTACGGTGAATAAAATCCTTTTAGCTTTGCCTTTGTCGTAGCTCATCTTACTGCAAAAGAATGTGATTAACTCCTACTGGCATAGGTGTACCAGCTTCTCTCACATCCCCATGCAAGTTCCTTCTTACTGATTTCTTAAGAACTCAATTATGCTACCTAGATGGCTACAAAAGATTGGCCTTTTGATATCAGGAGACATCCATAAAGGCTGTATTTGATTATCAATGGCGTTCAAATCATAGTAGATCATCTCATTTTCCAATCAGTATTGCAGTTAGATGATGCAAGTTAGTAGCAGTATTGGTGCCTTTAGCTGCTGATGTTGGCCCTTGGTGGACAGGATACAAAATGATTAGTTAGTTTGCTTCAATCATTATTTTCGTAACACTTCAGGAGGAGGCAGTAACTAAAACCTGACAAGCAGATTTCACATTATCATGTTTCCAGTTGATTTAAAATAGCCCAAGGAATGGATTTAGACATTTGTACCAACTTGTTGCGTAGATGTTTCAAATTGAAATAGGACAGGAATATGTAAAGAAGGTCAAGGGTCTTGGTAAAGTTCACTTTCAGGTTTTCTTGAATCTCAAACTAGAAATCGCAGAAAGAAAACATTAGTAAGGGATCACTATGGAGTAGGCCACTTAAGATGCTCTCTCTGTTCTAATTATATGTTCATATACTTCCTCCTGGAATGCTAATGTCAACAGCTCACTCCTTTCTGTCTCGTCGAGTGACTTGATCATTATTGCAGGCCTTATTGGAGATGCTATTTCCCAAATACTCAGGCTGTGATTTATGTGGTTGATTCAAGTGACACCGATAGAATTGGAATAGCCAAAGAGGAATTTCATGCAATTTTGGAGGTAAACTACAAGGACATTTTTTTTATTAAATTTATTCAGCATATTGTTAATACATAGTACACTTGTAGGTGTAGGCATGTTGATGTTACTGTTGCCTACCAGTATTTCCTGAAGTCTTGTCTTGCATCTTGACAAATTTGCTCATGTAATTGTACCATTTCTTGTCTTGCATCTTGACAAACTTTCTCATGTAATTGTACCATTTGGCAGGAAGAAGAATTGAAAGGGGCCATTGTCCTCATTTTTGCAAACAAGCAGGTGAAACCATTTCTCTGTTATCTCTCAATACCATTTTATTTGGCTAGACTAAAGCTTGGATTTGCATCAGCTGTCCGATCTTGTTTCCCCATTTTACAGCCTATCATCTTTGCTGATATTGCGACTCTCTGTGAGCAGGATCTCCCTGGCGCACTTGATGATGCTGCAGTCACCGAGGCTCTAGAGTTGCACAAGATTAAAAGCAGGCAATGGTCCATCTTCAAAACTTGTGCTGTTAAGGGCGAAGGCCTCTACGAGGGATTGGACTGGTGAGCATTTTCCAGCAGTTGATTGTCATTTATGGTCGCTCATCCAGACCTAGGGAACTCATTTACACGATACCATAGATTAGGTGAATACTAGAAAGTAGATACAAACCTGATAAGAAGCAGGACTAACTACTAAGAAGGCCATCTCATAAGAACATTTCAGAGCAGAATCAAATGACTAATTTGCCAGCCTATTCAGGTAACAACGTAAATGACGGCATTGTTTGTTTGGTCTATGAGTTTAGGGAGTTGGAACCTCAAGTGGAACTTAAGGAGTTGGAATTCTTAGTAGTTTAGGTTAGAAGTGAGTCAAAACAAAACCAATTTTCTTAATCTTACTTCTACTACCCATTGTGATCAAGATAGGAAGAGTTACCTTGACTCTTTGGATGAATCTCCTTATTACATCACTCTGATATTCTGAATTCTTGGTTCCTTGCAGGTTGAGTAATACTCTCAAGTCAGGAGGTAGTTAAGCTTATTGTGAAATTTGAGCTCAATGTTGTGTGGCAATGCAGAGGCCAAAGTGTTACAAAACTATCATTAATTAATTTTACTCTTTTCTTGCCTTCCAATCTTCTATTATACCTATTGTTGTATTCTTTTTAGTTTTGTTCCTGAAGAGTTCATGGCCTCCCCTCCCCCTTCTTTCTTTAACTCTGACCTTTTATCCTTCCAATTTTCTTAGAATAGAATCGTCGAGGTTTCGGTGAGCTTGTAATGTTATCAGATTAATACGAGTACTGTGGATAGGTTGCTGTTACATCCTCTAAATCTGTGTCTTGCATTGCGGTTAGTGTTAACTGTTAAGATAGGCCGATTGTCCGAAAGGAAAGGAATGAAACATACCCTCCAAGTCTCTTAACATTACAGATTAATATAACGAACCTCTCTTCTCACTGTCGTCGGAGTTTTGTTGGTGATTCATTCATTTCACGGTCATTCGTTACAGCAAGCAGAACATGTCATTTTGATTTCTGCTGCGCCAGTGCATGCTAGCGAGTAGCGAATCAAAGCGTCTTTGTCGACGAGCCGTATTTCTGCCGTCTCTGGTGAAATGCTGAGGGGAAGGCAATTTGGAATGTTAACAGACGATTGAATTCAAATATTCGAAACTAAGGCAAAGTGGAGAGGAGGTGAAGAGAAGAAGGAAGGTCTTTCTTGTAACGAGACTTGGACTGGGCCTAGTATCCCGGGCTTCACACGTAAGCTACAAGCCTCTGGGCCTCTAAGTCCAAGAAAATCGAGCGCGGCCCAGTTGTGATTCTGACTTCCCCTGAATTGTTGCGTGTGTTACAGTGCATTTAGTTTTAGTAGTGTTTTGTAACTTTTACTTACGCGCGTATTACACAGGTCACAGAAACGAAGTAATTTCTAGCTAAATGTATAAATGTTAAAAATTCAAATTCATTTCTCATTTCTCGCCATTAAAGAGCCGCGAACCACTGAGTTACTTCCTCCCTCGACTTCGATCCTTTCGGAAACCTTGCTCCTGCTGAATTTTGGCTAGGGTTTGCTGTACACAAACATCAGTCCCCTGGAAAAAAGTTTGTGAGAAAGATTTGTCAGTCGTCCCTCCGCCGATCGACCATGGATCGCTGATATCAGGTAAATTAGGTTAAGCGTCGGTTCGTGAATCGTTATGTTGCTTGTCTGTTGTTATCTGGTGTTTGTCGAACAAAATTAGGGATTCTGAAATTGTTGCAATGGCTTGTTTTGCTCCATTCTCAACTTGTTTAGTCTGATAATGGATGTTTTCAGTGGTTAGGTGAACCATTCGTCTGCTATTCTTCTCCGGATTACTGAACTTCTGATGGGAAGAGAATAGAGAGAGAGAGGAGGAAATGGCAGGGAGCTCAAAGGGACCGAAGAAGAAAAAACCCAGAACCGGAAGCCGTGCTGTTGGTCTTGAAGCAGTTGATAGAGTGAGCAATCTCCCTGACTGCATTCTGCATCATGTGCTTTCATTCCTTGATACGGGTGCCATGGTTCGAACCAGCCTTGTGTCTAAGAGGTGGAGATGCTTGTGGAAAGATGTTCCAGTTCTCAATTTCATGGGATCCCACTTCAGCGATATGTCGAATTTCAGAGAACATGTTGGCAAGCTTTTGTCTCTCCGATCCGACTCTGCAGCTGTGTCCAGCGTTACTTTAGACTGTGGGTCACATGGGGTGGGGGAAGAGCTGGATATCGATAGCGAGAGTGGTTTTGACCAATATTGTGCCAGATATACCTCCAGCATCATCATTTTCTTCGAGCTTGCTGCATCCATCTCAGCTCATCATCATCAGTCTCTCAAGTCTCTCAAGTTAAGGGAAACTGCTCTCGGAAGGAGGAGTGCACCTTGGCGGAGATTCAGTTGGCTAACAACTCTTGAACTGTGTTTCTGCCTTCTCATCACTTCTCCACTGGAGATGTCTATGATCGATCCTTTTGCGGATCTCCCTCGATTGCACCATCTAAAGCTCATTCAGTGCACGGTATTAGGCAATTTGAAAATACCGGCACCTCAGCTACTGGATCTTGAAATTCAAGAGATATGGTGTGTTTCTGGGACAATTGAAGTTATTGCTCCTAAGCTGCAATCTTTCCGTTATCGGGGTGATTATCTGGAGCTCCGCAAGCTAGAAGTTCCTTCTCTGGATTGCGCGGATATTCGAGTTGCGTGGGGAGTCTGGGAGATGACAACGGACAATCGTGCATATATGAAATTGTTACGCAGCCTGCATAATGCAACATCTCTGAACCTACGTTTTGACAAGGTACGTCTATGTATGTTGACAACATTAATACGTGAATAGTTCCTTTTATACGATAGTGTGACTAGTTGGATCTATATGCTGATAGCTAATCATTTCTACTTACATCACTCCCTACTAAATCATGCCAACAACAAGCTCGAGACACTTTGAACCGCTGACAAGCCAATCGTGTTATCATCGTTCTGCTTATATTCTGCAACTCTGTTTGCTGCATAGGGTCCGGGGCTCTGGGAGCAACATCAGTTTGCCCTACGTTTACTTATTAATCCAATTCTCCCCCAATGTCCACTATACTGTATCTTGCTGACTTGCTCCACATATAATTCACACTTGATACACTTACAAGTGAAGAACAAAAATAGTAGAATCATGTATGAGGTTGTATCCAATCAGTTAATGTTATTGATATTTTGTGCTTACTCTGTAGTTCAATCATTTCATATTGACAAAAATCTATACCGATTTACTTTTTAATAGAAGATTTTTCTAATCAAAACGACGGTACGAAACATTTTTACAAATACCAGAAATAAGAGATGGAAGGCAAATCTATCTGGAAATCCAACTCTACTCAGCTCTCTGGGGCCCATACCCCGCAACAAGGTTGTCAAACCGGTTTAAGTCATTGAGCCGGTCAAGTAAGGGGTTTGAGGTTTAATGGTCTGATCGGGGTCCGATCGGTTTGAGCCATTTTAGGTGTTTTCTAAATACATATACAAATAAGCTAATAATTAAAGATTAAATGACTGAAATAAAATTCATCTTACATATATCTATTAAAAACTTATTTTTCACAAAATAAATCTACCTAACCTCCATGACCCGCCCACCATCTTACTTCCTTCCTTCGTTCCTTTTCCTCTCTTCCCCCTCTCTTCTTCTTCCTCTTTAAGGATCGAACCGATAGATTCCTGAAAAACGTTTTAAAACTCGACTCGAATCGGACCGGGTCCAACCGAAGATTTAATAAGGGTTTAACAACCTTCTCCGCAGAGGAATTCCTGTCCTTTACTCGCCAACCCCGTGGCCCATCTCTTAGTTTTCTCCACGAGCCCATACCTATCCCAAACCCGTAGGCCCACATCTCACGTGGCCACCGGGTCCCACACTTGAAAATATTTATAAAAAAACAAAAAGATGGAAAAATCGAGTTTGTGGTATGGCTAAGCCCTGCGCAGAAGTGGCGATTTCTGATTGGTTGAGGCCCAGATCTCCCCTGGCCCACCAGATAGAAAGCTGAAGCATATACTACTCTCTCTCTCTCTCCCCTCCCCTCCCCACTGTTTGAAGCTAACAGCTCAGCTTTTACTCACCAGTCACCACCACAAAGTCACAGCTCTGCTCCCCTTCTTCTTCACATAAAGGAAAGCAGAACCAAAAAGAAGAAATACACATTAATGGCTTCCAAGCTCTGCGACTCCTGCAAGTCGGCGACGGCGGCTCTCTTCTGCCGCCCGGACTCCGCCTTCCTCTGCCTCAGCTGCGACTCCAAGATTCACGCGGCCAACAAGCTGGCGTCCCGCCACGCGCGCGTGTGGGTGTGCGAGGTCTGCGAGCAGGCCCCCGCTTACGTCACCTGCAAGGCCGACGCCGCCGCGCTCTGCGTGACCTGCGACCGGGACATCCACTCCGCCAACCCGCTCGCCCGCCGCCACGACCGCGTCCCCGTCGTCCCCTTCTACGACGCCGTCGACAAGTCATCCTCCGACGACGCAGCGGCAGTGGCACCGCCCTGCGCGCTCAACTTCCTCGACGACCGCTACTTCGCCGACGACGCTGACGCGGACGATGACGTCAGCAGGGAGGAGGCCGAGGCTGCTTCGTGGCTCCTCCCCAACCCGCCGCCGGCGGGGGTGGGTAACAACAACAAGGGCGCCATGGAGTCTCAGGATCTGAACACCGGCCAGTTCTTGTTCCCCGAAATGGACCCGTACCTGGATCTGGACTACGGGCCCGTGGATCCAAAAGTGGAGGCCCACGAACAGAACAGCTCCGGGACCGACGGAGTCGTCCCCGTCGGAGTTCATCATCAACCTCCGTTGATGAACGAGCACTGCTTCGACCTCGATTTCTCCGCCGCCGGATCCAAGGCTTTCTCCTACGGCTACGCAGCTCAGTGCTTGAGCCACAGCGTGAGTTCAAAATTCCCCTCCATCTCTCTCTCTATCCCTATGTGATTTCAATTTTGAATTCTCCTTTGCCTCTAACTGAATCCCTAATTTTCCGGATGCCAGGTGTCATCGTCGTCGATGGACGTGGGAGTGGTCCCGGACGGCGGCAGCGGGACGGCGGACATATCGAATCCGTACGGCAGAGTATGTGGCGGCGGAGGGATGAGCAACGGAGCCGAATCGGCGGCGGCGGTACCGCTGTCGGCGGTGGACAGGGAGGCGAGGGTGCTGCGTTACAGGGAGAAGAGGAAGAACCGGAAGTTCGAGAAGACGATCCGATACGCTTCCAGGAAAGCCTACGCGGAGACGCGGCCGCGGATCAAAGGAAGGTTCGCGAAGCGGACGGATATCGACGTGGAAGCCGACCGGAGTATGTATGGATTCGGCGTTGTGCCGTCGTTCTAATATCTCCTCCTTTCTCAGAACGGATAAAGAAAGGAAATTAGTTTTTTATTTTCATCTTTTCCTAATCCTTGCAATTTCCCTTTTATACATATATATATATATATATTTTTTTACCTTTGTGTTCTTCTAATTTTCTAGAGTGGTGGTATGTGTATGTATGGTAGGGCGGGTAAGCTGTTTGTATGTAATAGTTGTTTTGATCAACGGGAATGATTATAAAATGACCGTTGATTTTGTTGGTTAATCAACTAATCTAAGATTAAGTCTGTTTTTTTTTTTAATGAAACCGGCCTGAGTTTTATTCAGATGGTTGTTAATTCCTGTATTATCACTAGACCAAATGTCGTTAGCATGAATTTAACTGGATTATATAATTGGACCTATCCTGTTTTCTTGGATGAGATTACTTGATATTCTATAGCTTGTGGGCCAATCCAAAGATTGTTGTTGTTAGGCAACCTGATAGTGGAGCTGAATTAAGCTTGGCCATGGTGTGTTGAACCCTATAATTAGATGGAAACAATTACAAATGCGAACTATTACGATCAATAGAGATGAGATTTGTGACGAGTTTATTGCAAGACCTCTCTCTCTCTCTTGCTCGGGCCTCGGAGGACAACTGAGTTTTTCGCAACATGGATGTGTGACTTAGTAGCCCAAGTCGTCGGTCACCAATGATAAAATGACATTCTGTAGAGGACAACGAATTCTTAATAACATGGATGCGTGATTTAGTAGCCTAAGTCGTCGGTTACCAATGATGAATGGTATTTTGTCCGAGGACAACGAGTTTTTGGTAACATGGATGCGTGACTTAGTAGTCAAAGTCGTCGGTCACCAATAATAAAAATTGTATTTTGTCGAGGTCTATGAACGATCATGTAACAAAACCATGGCCAAGTGTTTGGGATCAGCCTTTCTTCTCGTCGTCCTCATCCTTCACGTCCCATCACAGTTTCGTTTTTTCACTGTACTGTGAGATGAAATTGAGACGAGAAGAGAGGAAGATGGTGGTGAAGATTCTGATCGGGTCAAGTCGGCCGCGATCGATGTCGACAACGACAATAAAAAACAAAGAGAGAGCAGTGAGTAAGCTTCGCTTCTGGTTTCTGAATCTTTATCTCTACTCCATTCTGCTAGTGACCACCGGGGCAGGGGCAAAGAAAGCAAGAAGACAACTCCGGCATCTTCTCCTTCATCCTCCACCACACATGTCACAGTCGGCGACTCGGGCCGGATAAGAAAGCTGAAATACGGCTCACCGCATCGCTTTCCACCCAAACTACAGCTACAACAATGCCACCAGACTATCAACTTGCAGTGGCAAAGGAAGTACCAGGCCACCATTCACAGCCACACAGCTTACCTTTTTTGTTAACACAGCCATCATCCCACCCACACATTCATTCAAGAAACCAAGGACGGAAACAACGATAATTAACAGGGGTCCTAGCCAACTACTCCCAACGACCCAGATCACAGTTTTCTTGTCTAGCAAGGTAAAAGGGGAAAAAAAGGAAAAGTACCTCCCATGCACAGGTGCTGTTCTGTCTGTTCTAAATCCAGGAGGGTGAAGCATGCTGTAATACACATGATGAACACCTCCTAGAGACCGCGAGTTGACCGAGTTTCGCTTCTATCTCCTTTTAACATTTTTGGTCTGTATAAAGGGACACACTACGACTTATATATTTCACGGTTTCCACAAACCCTAGGCTACAACAACTTAACCTCGCCACTGAACTGAAACGATGCAGCCAGCGACTGCATTCCTTCTTCGTCTGTGTCTGGGTCAGGGGTGTGAGTGCGAGCTGTTGCCGACTTGAGGGGGGTTGCTTCCTTGAGAGGTGGTACCACCACCATGAGATACAGACGCGGCCAGGAAGCGAACAACGACGCATGTGATGTTGTCTGCACTGCCTCTCTGGTATGCCTCATGCAACAGCCTCTTTGACGCCTGCTCCGGGTCCTCGATGGGTTTCGTCATCTCAACAGCTTCCTGCAGTGACCATAAAAACCAAGCTGTAAGATGCTACTTTTGGGAAAGAAGAAACCCCTGTTGAGGATATTAAGCAAACCTCATTAGTTACAACGTCCCACAATCCATCGCTTGCAAGGATGAGAAATTCAAGGGAGCTGTCAACTTTCTCTTCCTACAAAAGCCAAACCGCCCAAAGATTTTGAAGTCAAAAGTGTGTACCAGCAAGCTGACTATGACTGTAGGCAGCAATAAACATGTTACTCATGATGAACAAGGACTCCTCAGTAAATGAAGAAAGCCGTGTAATGACACCAACATCAGAAATGAGCAACCCTATGCCATAATGAGACCAAGACAAGAAAAACAAGAAGCAACTTAATAGCTCCACGAGTAAAAGGACAAGTGCTTCTACAGATCTTCATTAACATGTTACTCTTCCTATGTTCAGAAAAAGAGTTAAACTTCCGATACTAAGAAAATTTAGAGGAAAATTCCACTTTTTAATGACAAGACAAAAAGGTTGAAAATCAAACCTGAATTTCTGGATCAGCAACAACATACTGCTTCAAGAGCCGATCCCCAAATGCCCGAGACACAGCAAGAACGCCCCCAACTCTCCAGGTGCCTGCAATTTTTGATTTTAAAGCTATATCATAGCAAGATATTGACAACACACAAAAGAAAGCATCTCAGTGAAGTATAAGTAGCTACCTGCCCACATTACAAATCCTCCAGCATCTTCAATCCTTTGTCGTTCATCAGTTTGGTCAGGCTTGTGATCTCTAGAAACAGCAATAGCTGCACAAAATGATGACAACATTGGTTGCCTTAATAACCCTACGGCCATGGCTGAGAATAGAAGGAATAAAAGACATCTGAAATATAACAAAGGAAACCTCTCTTCGGCATTAATAACTATATTGTCCAAAACCTCGAAATTCTACCGCTCGGAATTTGAGGACACCTCATATCAGCAGACAACATATCCTTACACCACCAGAAAAATCAGCAAACTTGTTGCCTAATTATCCACGGGCAAAAGGGAGCATGAAACAGGACATATAATTTCACAAACCGTAGCACATATGTACTTGTTTCAAAGCTCTCAGTTATGACTGAGTCACTTGTTGCCTGATTATCCATACTCGTCTAATCATTAGTGCACAGAAACAAAACATACAGAACTCTAATGTGTACCTCAGGCATACATCCAACCACCCATGGGCCATGAAATAATAAGAAAAGTCCCGCCCAAGTCTTACCATTTCCACCCCGGCATATGACAGCTCTAGAGTCTCCGACGTTGGCAACAAGCAACCGATCACCAACAAGGATAGCTGTGGAAGCAGTTGAACCAGCATCCCTATTCTGAGTAATTTCTGATTTCAGGAACTCCGAGTCAGTGTGGTTGTATGCATCAGCTGCAGGTGAAAGGGTCCATATTAAAAAAACAGATGTTAACTTCTCGTTGCGACAACTAATATAAAAGAATGGAATTAGAGACTATCCTTCCCACTTCAGGTAGTCAAAGTACCTATAGCAGATTTGGTATCTGAAATGAACTTTGGGTGGTTGATCAGATTACTGAAAAGGTTTTGTTTGACATATTCAGCAGCTCGTGCTCCTCCATGACCTGAAAGGTGATCCAACGAACTGATCATTTATAAAATGCCATGACCTACAGAAACATGAAACTTACAAGTAACCAGCGAAAAAACAAACCATAAAAATGGAAAATGTTAATATCCATGCAAAAAATTGAGGAAAATGTTAAGATAATAAGTAGAATCAACTTAAAGATACCAGAGTGTACTATATTCAACCCACAAGTGCCAACCAACAGCAGTTAAGGCATTACCACAAGGAAATGGGATTATTTTCAAAAGATATTCCAGCTATAAACTAACATTAAAAAGTATCCCAATCCAACATTGTGGTGACAGATAAAAATGGACAGGACAACAACAAAAGGACACATTTATAATCTAAATACGAAAATGAACACTGAGAAGAAAAAGAGGGAGCCAGACCATAAAATAATTGTATAAAAAGGATAATGAATTAATGATTGACCTGATTAGTGCCATTTCACACACATTAATACCCACCCCAGGAAAAATTACCCTAGATGGCAGTCTAAAGTTAGACTCACGAAATCGGACAAAAGGCTAAAATGGTAAAGTGCCAATGTACAAGCCATATTCTCAAACAAATTACGTCAGCCAGAATAAAAAAGGGCCAAAGGATTATAAAAGAATCACCATCAAAAACTCCAAAAAGACCAACTATCTCCCCGTCAACGCCATCAATTCTTGTCTCGTAAAAGTCTTCCATGGAAGATCTTTTCCCTGGCGAGCTTGCATATCCATAGCTGAACTTTCCATTCTGACTGTCAAGGATGAAAAAGGAAGAAAAGGAGACAAACTTGGTAAGGTAGCTAATAAAATTTTGTGGAAAACATTTGATTCCATGCAACACCACCACAAAAGTGTTGCACCCAGCAACAAAGTCTAATATTATGTTATTGCTTCATCGGAAAGCAGCTAACTGCATTTTGGAAGGCCAATTCGGATCTAATCTTAGACTGCGATTGAGAAGGACCACAGAAGAGTTTCCTTTGCATTCAGCATCACTGCTAAAGGTGCTCGGAACATCTAGCCCTATTGCATCATCCCAGTATGACACAAATTATGATTGATGCTAGAACGTAAAATTAACGCACAAGTACTAAGTAACTTTTAACTTGCCTATCCAGAAATCAGTAGCGACTGACAAAGGTGGTTGCTCCAGATAATAGAGCAATTCCCAGACCAATTATATTCACCAATGACAAAGGTGGGTTGCAATAAAATTTAATTCGAGATATTTGCATCAGCAAATACCATTTCAGTTTCTCTCAGCATTAAACAAGTGTCGAATAACAGAACATACGGATTGGGATATGCTCTACTGTTGGAAAAAATCAAAACAAAGCTTTCCAAAGGGACGCAAACCGACAAATGGTATGTACGTCGTCGAAAAAATGACAGACATGCAGTGTGCATGAACATCTTACTACAGTTCTTGATTCCATTTTTTTCAGGAGAACTAGATATCAAGACTTCTACCATATTAGGGCAAGCTTTCCTCTGTCCACCGTTCTTTATATATACTCTTTCCGTAGGTTCATTAAGACCCTTCTTAGTTAATGAACTATCACTAATAAGAAAGTCTTCAATAACACCTTGTAAGAACATGAAACCTAAGCAAACAGAAATCAAGGCGTGAATAGGAACTTGTCAACCCAAATGCCAACCCTATCAGGAACAGAAAATGAGCTTCTTAACAAAGACCACCTAAGTGAAAATTTCTGCCCATCAAACTAGACCATTGATTCTTTCATACTCCTTCAGGGAGAACATGCCATGGCAAATGCACCTCCAAGAAAACACAAGAATCTATTTGCTAATGTAAGACCATGTCATTTCAAAAGCAACCCACACCAACAAATCGTTCTCTGGCTCCCTTAAAAGGAAGAAGAACCAGAACAGTAAGATCCCTCTATATGAAGAAATGGATCCTTAGCAAACGGCTCAGAATCGACTTATAAACAGCATCAAGACTCCCAAAACGGAACACAACATCAAGGAAAGCAACAACAAAACCACAACAACGTAAGATGACCTGAGAAAACATACAGCAGGTCAAACAAACCACTTGAGCAATAATACATGACAAGGTTTCAGCCCCAGGCGAGCACTATGACATAGATCTAAAGTCAAATCATATCGTCATAATAAACAACTTCGAAATGGATTGTGGAATGAGGGGGAACAAACAAACCTGAGACCACCCCCGCTTACAGGACCATCCTCCGCATAAACCTGATTCGAAGACGAGAGCACCGAATTGAGATAACCCATATCGTCGTCAACCTACTCAGCAACAATCAACTTCCGCAGCAGTTATCCCCTTGATTGACACGAGTAATAGAAGAAGAGAAAAAACAAACAACAGCAAAAGCAGCAGGCGGTTCTGAAAACGATAGCAGATTAGTAAAACCCCCCGTTAGATTCTATTCTTCTGTTGACATTTTCAATAAGCATCGTCGAGCTCCATCCTGCACCAGACAAGGACCCCCCAAAATGTCAAACAAAAAATCGCACGATAAAACCTGATCAGGGAACCAAATTCCATGAACGAATCGGCATTATTGACGAACTTTCAACAGATAAAAAGAATCAAGCATACATGATCATGCAGGGAGCGAATCTATGATCCATGATATGGGTTTTCTTTTTCCTTTCTGTTTCTTCAATCAATCAATCGGAGAAACAAACAGGAGGAGGTGGAAGAGTGAGTTTGTGAGAGGGAGGAGGGATAGAAATGGGGGGAAATGGCATAAGCGACAGCGAGGGAATTCAGGAGACTGCTAGAGAAAAAACGGGGTGCGAGGGCGTAAGCAAAATTACCGAAAGAAACCCTCTTCCTCCGGCAGCCGAAAGAGGAGAAAAAAGGGAGAAAGGAGCAAAATTGATGATGGTGGTGGAGGTGGTGATTCTGTTTTTCAGTTTGGTTTTGGCTTGTCTTTTTCTTCTTCTTATTCGTTCCAATTTATCATTTTATATAATTTTTTAATTTTTATTTTCGTCTCGTGGTGATTACTGATTAGCTATAATTGATTAGTGATTAGGTAGGTGATTTGTTGGCACAGTAACGCAAGAAATTAACAAACACCATGATATTTAAGTCCTATGATAACCTAACCGGTCAATCTACCACCATCTAAATCATCTACATTAGCATTATGATCATAGCAGTAATAGTAAACACCACAATTATATTGAGTTCAACTTAGCTAAATAATATTTAGCTACTTTTCATACTTGACGAGGACAGAAAATTTTACTAGATTAGATCAAATATAAATGGTATGACTTTTCATAATTATATCAAATACGTGCACACACTTATCATATACACACAGAGCAGCTACTATAACCTACTAGCGAGAGAAATAAAGATCAACTTACTCTGTCCTCGATTGTGCCACGTGTGCTTCTCGTGGACGTAGACTGCATGAACGAAAACTTGTTTTACGTTTTGTCATTTCCTTGTTGGCATTCATGACGTTACGTGGGTGACTGAATGATTCGCTAGCTTCTCGTGGAAAACTTACCACATCGTCGACGACGACATCTCTATATGTAAGTATGCTACGTTTATCGAGACGATTCTTGGATGACAGTGTCAAAGGTTTCCTCCTAGTATAGCACGGATAGTAACAACAGTGATTATTTCATGAATTTTTTTTCCAGAAGGAACCGAGTATATTACTTTCGGTTCTGCATTTTCTGGTAATTATCCGTCGAAAACGGTCAAAATCCACGGTCTATTTTGCAACCCAAGTTAGATACCTATATATATATATTTTGACAAAAGATAATCATTGTATTGATTCGAAGAAATGATAGTTACATCCTGGAATTAAGCGAGACCATAAAATTAAAGAAGCGACTCATGGTCGGGTACAAAGTAAGGGCCTTTATAGCCACCAAATTGGCTACCCTAATGCTACGCCGACCTACAAACCGCACAGTAAACCCACTATGATTAGCAAAATAATGCTCAACCTCCTTTAGAATGGCCCCATCCGATTGTCGCGAGAATCCGCCCTAAGGATCTTATCAATCACCACCTTAGCATCACCTTCGAATCTTGTCACCGAAAATCCAAGGCTGAGACACCGAAGAATGGCTTCGCGAAGAACAAGGAGCTCAAATACCATATGATCATCAATATCCGGAAACTGCACCCCTTTAGTCGAGAGAATTGCCTCATCGTGATTCAACACAACAATTCCTCCTGCCGAGTGAAATCCACTCTTCGTAGCCCCATCCCACGTACAGACTTTTGAATCTGAATGAGTAGCACCCACTGATTTGGTGAGACCTATATATCTTAGTTCGTGGTCAGTTATTTGACTCTTAAACTAGATGACTAATAATATTCTCTTGTTGGGTGTAATTAGTAGACTAATCTCAACTACAAATACATGAACCAAAATGACCCCAAAAAAAGACAAGAGAGAAGAAGGAAGAGGTGAACCCGCCGGTTTCTAGGGCAAAAAAATGAAGACGAAGAAGTCAATGGCATTTGCCCCCCATAAGTAAACAACAAAACAAACACTGCGTCATGCCATTGCCAGGTCTGAAGAACCCTACTTCTCTTCCTGTGCCAAGTAAGTGTTGCGTGCGTGGAGCTTGCTTTCCACGAGGACACGTGGCACTCATGCACCACCACCACACGCCACTCCTAATAAAGCCATACAACCAGCCTTGCGAGTTACGTTGTTGTGCCCATTTCGTCATCCTCAGACATTTGTCTGTATCGACAAGCCACGCAACTGAATTTGCTCCACCGGAGCTCCGGTGATCGGGCCGGCAAGTACTAGGGGCCGGTGCAAGCAGCCCGGCGTAGCTGGACTTCGATCCTTTTTATGTCGGTCGATACCATATCGATTTCCATCGTTAGATGAAACCTTTTAGTAGCATGCTACAAATACGATGTCGTACCGAATTTCATCCCTAGACAGTGCTTTTAGTAGCATGCTGCAAATAAGTCAATCCCAAAATTAAAAAAGGTTTAAACTGAATCTTATAGCACCTTCTTATCGTGTTAAGACCCGATATGTACATTAATCCGGTATATATAATAGATGAACAATCGATGTAAGTACGTGGATAAGGTTTTTGCAAATTCCTCGAGTGTATACACAGATTCAGATTCCTAACCAATGAAATCAGCTTAAAATATTGTGTGAGATCTCGAAAATGAAGCTTTGACAACGCCATGGGGGGAAGACTTGTGGCTCTGCTGCCGCTGCCGGCTGATTATTAAATCCGCAATTGCCACCGACCAAAACCAGAGGGTATTTATTTCGTTTATTATTGATTCCTCACCTTCATGTTATGGACCAAAACCAGGGTACTTGATGTTTGACAATTCATTTTCCGTACCACACGGCTTAATTGCCAATTACTTCCCAATATTTCAGCAACTTTTGCAGGCTCAGTTCTCTACCAGAATATTCCTGTAACTAGGCTACTTACATTTCTACAACATTATGGGGATCAAGCTTCGAATAACTCGTAAATATCCGACCCTCCTTCCATGTTGATTCGACGAGGGGAATCAGTACATTGATCAGATACGAGATGCGCATATATCGACATAGACAATGATCGGGGAATGTTGACCAGTGGCTCACTGGTCAACATTCCCCGCCTTCATCTGAATCAATTCCCCCCCCCATTCAGATTCAGAGTGTTAGCGAAGTACCAGAATGCAGCCAGCCACATGTGATTTACATATTGGTCAAAACTCAGAAAGATTCGAAGAACGCTACCTAACCAAAATTCGACTAAAGAAAACACCTACCATTTTGCTATTTTTGTGACTAGGAAAGTGAGCCTCTACAGTTTCAGCTTGCTCATCATCTAACAGGGTCACTGTATCTGGATTTTGATCCCAGCTTATGCAGCAGTTTGGAAATACAGATGAAATGAGTCTCCGGAACTCTACGGCTAAAATGCATGACAAATGCTGATATCACGTCGGCCGAAAATTGGTGGAACTCGGGCTTCACCGCCATTCGTATAAGCATTGCTGTCCATACCTCGGGAGCCATCTTTATTGCCCGAGAGAGATATCGAAACCCATTCGCAACCCTCATTACCATTTTGTGTTCCTGTCATACAAGATGGCAAAATCTTCTTTTGAGAGAGAAAGGAAAATCGGAGAGAGGGTTGTCATGAGAATGTTTAAGGACAAGGAATACCTCGGATCCGGATGGTTGTCGTTGTAATTCAGGATGAGGGTTGTCGTCGAAGCTGTGGCCCACTACTTCATCTTGTATGAAAGCGTCAGCTGCCTTGATCATATCCCTAAGGAGGAAAACGCGCACCCTTGATCCTTTTTGTGATAGAACAAACAGGAGAAGGTCCTCTGTTGCACTGACGACAGCACGCATATCAAACGATTTCCATCCCAGTGGATTTGGAGAACCGTCTTTCGAATTAGCAGCTTCTCCGGTAGCTGATCCTTGGGATATTGCTGCCATCTGACGAGTGAAAATAAGAACAAAGTGCCAACTCTCAAGTTGTTTCTCACAAAAGAGATGAATGGACAATACAGATTTCATCCAGAGGCATAACTGGTTAAAAATACATGAGTGGGACTAAAATCACATACCAGGCGTTCAAGTCTGTTCCATCTGATCGATCCATCATTGCAGATCAGTAGTTGCCTCAAGATTCTCCGCATGTCAGGACTTGGGTCAGCCAAGAGCCTGCCAATGACGAAAGGATATGCACTCTCCACAACTTTGAAGTTGGGATCTAGTGCCTTTGCTGTGCCTTCAAGTGATCCAAGGGCTCTTATCACGAGAGCATAGTCTGGAGGAAGGGAGAAGTTGAACTCGTACATAACATCGTATAGTTGGTTCATTATTCCCTGGAAAAATAAAACACAAGCATTAAAGTGCAGTTTCATTTTCCAAATTCAGTAACATCTCTAGATATGATGATGCAACCCAAATGCAGTTGTTGTAAAACTGGGGTGATCTCAACTTAATGAGAAACTCAGGAGAGGACTAATCAGTTAAGTTCTTTTAAAATCGCCATATCTTCATCTTCTTTATAAAAAGTGTGTGATAATAATACTAATACATCCACTTGTCCCGACCTCAAAGTCTCTTGATTGTCTTGAACCATCCCCAAAAGACGTTCGCAATGCATCAGCGACTGCTCTTATGTCAACCCCTTCAGGGATAAATCCCAGAGAAAGGAAGTCATTCGCCAAACCCAGAGAGTCACGGTTAACAAAGTGCACGAGCTGAAAGAAATACAAAACTGTCAACAAACACAATGCTTCAGTTCCAATGAGGAGCAGAAAACACTAGATCAGTTTCATAAGGGAAATGAAGTTCAATCATTCATCATCGCCACATCACAACCTAATCGATAAGTTTCTCTGTTATGAAGCAAAAGGGGGAAACTCTTTCCCAGCACACAAACATGTTAAAATTGACATAATCCCAAACAAACATACAAAGGTTGCATGCTAATTTCAGGGACATCTATGGGCAAAAAAGTTAGGATGAATACAAAAAAGAGTTCAGGAAATAGATATTCACAAGGATAACAGAAAACTATGCAAATAGATTGCGGAGCTACCATGACGCATTTGTAACAACATTTTGCCAACAGTCTTTAGTGAGAATGGTTTCCAAACCAGAAATGAAGCGAACACAGCCCACATGCGGACCTTGACTAGGAGGCACCAAGCAAAACCATTTTATGGCAGGTCTAGTAAAGCAGTAGGTAAACTCTAGAGGTGGGAAAAGCAGAAGGTAGGTAGATTACTCGGGAAGGGAAAAATAGAAGATTAAGTAGTAGGTACTAGGTGGATACCAAAAGGGAAGGTGCCATAGGAGAGGGTGTGCCGTCGTCATAAATATAAAGAAAACTTCTAACCAGTAACCTATGCACTTGGCTTTATATTACTATTGATGATCAAACAACTCAATAATGCACAATAATTCCTATGAAGCTATCAAACTAGCAAAGTATAAAATGAAATCAGAAAAAGACGATAATTTTAAACAGCCAGTACCACTTGAATAAGTCCCACACGATAAGGCCGAGGAATATCTCCCATCATTCCAAAGTCAAAATAAGCAAGATGGCCGCTGTCTGTAGCAACAAGGTTTCCTGGATGGGGGTCAGCATGGAAAAATCCTACTTCAAGCAATTGCCTCAATGAGCAGTACAATCCCTGCAAAACATAATTTAATAGAAGAATTCCATTCACTGCCCAAACATATCCGAAGCAGAAAGAAAGAACTCGACTTGTTGACCCCTTTACCTGGTCAATCAGTTTTCTTCTGTCTAAGCAAGCTTTGCTTAGACGTGCTTCATTAGTAAGCTTGATCCCATCTATCCATTCCATTGTGAGCACAGCTTTGCGCGTGAGGTCCCAATATATTTTCGGAACTTTAACATAATTTTCATTCTCGTCCACAACTGTTGTAGCTGTAACAATTTGATATGACAAAACATCACATAGGGAAACATGACGATGCAATAATGATAGTCACATAGTTCTTATCATGTTGACGCAAGTGGAGGTACAGTATTCTGCACATGTTCATAAAACTCCCTAAAAACTTAAAACGAAGCTAGTTGCCACCCTTCAACCAAACAAAAATTGGAAGAGCACTAGAATTTGCAATTCCATTTGATATGTGCAGTCAACTGAACAAAAACATTGCAAAAGCCCAGAACCCAACCTCCCTCCTGCTCCAAAAGAAAAGGAAGAAGAAGAAAAAAGAAGTCCGGCGAGTTTTGATAATACCGAAGAGCAAGACTAATTGTTTTCAGGACTTCCGGTAATACTAATTGAACAGACATAGTAACCACATTTATACGACCGGATCTAATGCCAGACTGTCACCACAGTAGAGAGTTGAATGACAAATACGTTACATAATGAAAGTTCTTGTTATGTTTCTTCCTTGAGATTTGAAGAACTTACAGGCTTCACAACCATAAAGAGTAGCAAAACGTTCAGCATTTTTTGCCTCAAGGATGTAGTCAATCTCATCAAACATGTGCCTGACCTGATCAGCCAAAATAGACCTGAAGAAGTCCATAAGCATGTAGAATTATGATGTAAAGAAGACTAGAAAATAGTGATGCAAATGAGAGATGCAATCCAATAACGGACTCTAGAGCAGCTAAATGTGTCTCAATATATATATTGATGTGCCTATATGCAAGCTTCAGCACAGGATGCAACCATCTTGGTGTTCTAATAACTGGAGGATGGACATGTACATTTTCTTTACTAAGTAGACCGGAACCGGAGATTCTGTGGGGTTGACTTGTTTTTGCTCTTTCAAGGTGAAACTATATACAAACTCCTTTAGAATATATAATTGTCACCAGATTTCTATAGTTGTAACAGTTCTCGAAGATGTAAAGAGATAACAGCTATTAGTTCGGAAATAAACTAGCTACAAGGGAAGGTTGAGCATATTGCCAAACATTTCTAACTAATTGTAGACTAAAAATAGTAGTGCAAGTTACAAATCGGAATGCTCACCATCTCATTTACAGCAACCAGCAGATCCTTGCGAGCCTTAGCGAAGCGCTTCAACTGTCCCCCAATCATATTAAATAACAGGGCATCAAGGGTTAATGAATATGACATCCCAGGCCTCTGCACTTTGACAGCAACAAGCTCGCCAGAATGCAAATGAGCTGCAATACTTGAAACAATAATTCAAACATTTAACTCCTGCCAGACCCAACTGTTACTCATCTTATGACATGGGATAGGAGAGAGCACTTTAGATAAGCATCCTGCCGTAACCACCAGGATAAGGACAATGAGCTGTTTTATTCAGTTAAGTTAACTACATCCATTTCATGCAGAATACTTATCTAACCTTTATACACTTGACCCAATGAAGCTGAAGCAACAGGTTCTGGACTGATGTCAGCAAAGATTTGTGTAATAGGTCGGCCCAACTGGGACTCGATAGATCTAATGGCAACTTTAGTAGGAAAGGGTGGTATTTGATCCTGGTACGATAAGGAAATAAATTGTTAGAATGAAATCATAGACTGTAGCGAACCGTGATAATATCCTATATGCAGGAAGGATACATGAAGAAAGAGACATAGGTACCTGTAACTTAGCAAGCTCTTGGCAGTATATGGTTGGCAGTACATCTGGCCTGGTACTAAGAGCTTGCCCAAGCTGTAAATTTCAATGAGTAGTACCATTACCATGTGTCAAAACCGAGACCATATCCTCTACAGAACAAATAAAATTTCTGAATACTGAAATAACTCTAGAAGGAATTTAGCATATGAAACAAGACCGGTAGCTTTCCATATCACAATTCACAACAACACTAGAGTTGGCAGACGAGCAATACAGATTGATTGAGTTTTTAACCTACAGCCAAGATAACAACCACTACCATCACTGCGAATGAGAGAGTAACAACAAGCCACTTGCCTTGATGTAGAAAGGCCCCAAGCTTACTAGAGTCTCACGAAACTGCAACAAATTGCATAAGTTCACATCAATTTCGGAAAGCCAACTCAAGAAAATATCCAACACAAGAGAATTGAAGTAGTTGATGTCAGATGTCTCTGTAACTTAAACTTGAAATCTTCATGCAAGCACTTTCTGCAACTCTTTCCATTTGATAATGTAATTATCATCAGTCTTATATAGCAGGGCACATATGCTTAGGAAAAATGATCATCTCTGCCCACCCGATCCATGCTCATGCAACAAATGTAAGTTCTACTACGAGACAGCTCTATGGCAAGGCTACACTATCATATAATGGTTGCCAGGTAGCTCATTTTATACAAAGAAAAGGATGGACTCATCCCTCATCTTCATTGAACTCTTGCGTGCATGGTTATTCCTTCAATTTTCAGGAAACCTGTTTATTCTGGAATATGTTACTCATGTAAATACAACTGAACAAGGGGAAATTCGATACAACCACCACAACCGCTGCAAACACAAGCTTTGACTCGACACTCGACACACATATAACTAAGATTAAGCATCTGAAACTAAAAAACAAGAAAGCATGCTCATACCACGATGGCACGTTTTTTCATATCCTTGACGAAAATTTGCCAAATGGTTAACTTGAAGAGATGATATGAGATGATTGCAGCTCTATAAATCGCCAGAAATGGACCAAATCGATAGATATGAGAAGCCTTGCTGGAGCTGTAGGTACCAAGAGCCTGCCCAAATTCACTTTCCAGTGACTCTTTCCTCAGTTTTGCATATTTTCCGGAAGGCTTCTCGCCATGAACACTCGTGAAGGCCGTGGAGAAGCTATACCAACAAAATTTGACGCTTAAAGACCCGAAGCTGGCACACTATCCAGATTTTCATATACTCTACCCAGATACAAAATTCACTAGTTTCCTACAGCTCAAGAAGGGAGTGTTACTCACAGCCTTTGCTGGAGGAAGCATGCCGGATGCTTAATCTCCATGATTCCCCGGTATGCCAGACCCTTACTAGAATTGCCAAGTGGAGCCAATGCAGAACTCTCATGACGAGCAACTGCAAGAAGAACACAGTTCGCACACTGTAAGACAAGTAAATTGAAATTGGAACTCTCCAACTGAACAGGAAATTACAATTCGAGAACGAGAGATAGTAAGAAGCAAAACCGAAAATTGCTTACTGCGGGAGGAAAGCAGCGTAAACCGGCGGTGACGCTTGAGAATTCCGGTAACACTCCTCATTGGCGCTACGAGATCGAAACGAAGATACCAGTAGAAGAAGAATAGTATCTCGAGCTAGCCGTCAACCGGCATCCTTTCGCACAACAACCGTTCGTGAAAATGCCCCAAAGAACAAACGCTGCTCCCCCGCGGGGGAAAAGCCACGCACAGAAGGATTGTGGGAGTATCTGTGAAGCGCCCGCCACTCAACTGTTTCTATCCATTAACAGACGAGCTCGCGCATGAAGAAGAAGGAAGAAGAACAGTGGTGCTTGCAGGATACGTATGGATCGCTGCTTTGTAATTTGAGAGTGCGCCAGAAAACCGCCACGTTACCCATATTCGGCGACACCTCGCAGCACTGCAATGTGTCGCTGAGCCAGCGACCGACGGGAACGGGATCACATTCCCCAGCGGCCGATAGGGGAACGTACTTTCACTTTGGGCCGAGTAAAGGCCCAACCCAAAATTACAACATACCCGGCCCTAATTTGAGCTCTATTGACCCGGCCCAGTACCCGACTCCGGCCACCGCCCACCAGAAGTCCAGAACTCTCTCTTTGCTCTCCATTTGCAACGGTGCACTGTATTACTGTGGAAGCATCGAAGGAGGAAAGTCGTTTCCTTTTCTTGCAAAGGGAGCGATCGCCGATAAACCCTGATTTCTGAAGGGGTTAGCAATTCAGCCTCACTCATCGACGAGCTGTTGATTTCTGCTATTTCCGTCGATTGTTCTCGCCGGTAGAAATGGCTAGGGACTCGATGCCGCGGCCGTGGTTTCTCGATTTGGTGCCTTTCATCGTCGTCGTGCTAATAGCAGCGCACGTTCTCGCTCTGGTATTCTCTCCTTAACTGAGATTTCACTCATGTCAATCGTTTTTTTTTTTTTTTTGTGGGATTGGGTAAAGTTTGAGCTCGATCTTCTGATTCTTTGGACTTCCATTTGATATTAGGTATACTGGATTTACAGAGTAGCAACTGAGAAAAATCCACTGAGGAGGAAGGCACATTGAGCGAGCGTCTTCCCAGGTTTGTTCGTTTCCCTCACTGCTTTCCCCTCCTCGTCACTAGTTGGCCGAAATTGGTGTTTCTTATAGGAAAGCATGAGAGATGTAGCAATCGTTTCTACCGCTATGTTAGGAAACTTTGTTGGTGATTGTTGAATTGAGGATTCCTGTGTGGAGATCTGAGCTATTGTTGAGAATTTACAAGGAGGAATTGGACTTCTGATTGCTTATTATTAGTTGGGATTGAGATCTTGCAAGCATCATGATTGATGTGTCCATTTTGAAGCATGGTCTGTTCCTTCAATTCTGCTGATGGATTAAGTTGAGGCATTATTAAGTTGTCGGATGAGATACACGTCTTTCAGCCTTCATAAGTCATGGGAGAGATGAAGCAGATGATGAATGGTTATTGAGTTGGATCGTAGATATCGGGGAACTGAATGTTTGTGAGGAAGAGAGGTGATGGCTTTATGTTTACATCATGAACCTACAAATTTGCACTGATCTTGTTACTGTATTATTCCCTGAGTGAAATAATGATGTCTGGTGGTGGTGTATCTGTTTCTCTGGGGTTGTTTTCTCCTTCTCTTCTATTTGGAGAGGAATTTGTCGTAAAGTCCACAACTGTTCTTGGAATTACAAAGAATTTCAGCTTCTTAATCTATGTTGTATTGCATCACCTTCCTCATAATAGTTATGCATAAGAGAAGTAGGAAACAAATAAACCAGATGAATGAGCAATGGCACTACTATTGTGAGAAATATTCTGAAGTATCTGCCTAAAGTTTATGCACTTGTGTGAAATCATTTGCTATTTTGGAGAGTCTGAATTGGGAATCAATTAGAAAGTACTTGAAATTTTGGAATCCCTTGACAAATTTCATCCTTGCAGTTGATGATTGGTACTTTTATTTAGTTAGTCACTATCTGGCAAATCAAAGTTGAGCTAGTGCCAGAGTAGAGCCCTGTCGAAATATGTGTCTTTAGCTGTTAAGTATACCATTAAGCCTACCTCTATTTGCTGTGATGAGACTCTTCCATGTCAAAACGTTTGGTACTTGACAAGTACCTGTACTGTTCTTGATAGAAAGATCTTGTACATCTCTTGTGAACTTATGCACCATCATCCCTTATTGTACTGTTGAACTAGTTATTTCACAAGATCAGTCCCTAGTTAATGTTGGTGAAAAGAATTTTGTTGAGGAAAGCGTTGTACTAGTGCTCATCTGAATGTCTGATATGTCATCTCCAAGTGGAAGTCTGCATTTTGGTTTCTGTAAAGAGATCATCCTTGCCTTGTACATTGTCATCTAGATTTATCTGTCTTGCATAACTCGAACTGAGATCAAAGGTTTTACTCTATTTGCAGGCAGTTGCTGGTTGGACTCGAACGGAGTTGAGTCTGGACACGAGAATATACACACGGGTGTACAATGCTGTGTACTTTTTCCACAAGCTGTAGCCTACTTTACCCCGGTTCGTCTGTTGATCTTCTTCTCTTTCGTGGTCTGTGGCTATTGCGGTTGTACATACTCACTCTCCTAGGGTACCTGTTTCAGACCTGTCACGATTGATCGATAAATTTGACGGGCTGATAACAATATCATAAGTTCATTACCTCTCAATTGCTTCTATTTGTCAAGGTATCATTGTCATTATCAAATTAGGACTACCATTAGTCAGAACGCGAATCACATAGACGACGAGAAAGCAAAACTTTTACTACTACAGACACTAGCTAGATTGATTCAATTCTGGTAATTATTCATTGCTGCCGCCGGCGAGCCATTGACCACTCGGCAATTCCTCCTGACCTCCCCCGGCTGACCGGACTGCAAATCCCCCAGCTTGATCATCCCTTCCGCAAAAGCCTGGAAAAACGCCTCCTCATCTCTGCTGAACTCCTCCACATACGCCTTCGTCTCCGGCGAAGTGTACAACGTCTGGTCCGAATTCAAAACCCCTTTCCCGACAACCAAATCCTTGAAGTACAGGTTGTCGAACACCACCGGCGTCGAATCCAGCCCGCCCGTCACATTCTGGTATCCATTGACCGGACAAAGCCGCATCAGCTCCTCCCTGAACTGTGGCTCGATTGCTGCGTCCTGCTGCCTCGCCACTGTCTGGTCGTCGTACAGTCTGTGAGTGATCGAGAAGCACCGAGCTCTGCCTATCGAGTGCGATCCTGATAGGGCGACTAGATCTTTGACGGAAAGTTTCAATTTTGCAAAGAGGTCGATCAGCGTCGTGGCGTTGGCTCTTGGGCTCGGCATGATCGCGTCCGAATCGGCTCGACTCGCCGTCAAGCCGTCCAGCCTTCCTAGCTTCACTTCCCACCGGGGACCTCCTGTCTGTATATTAACAGTTAGACCACACATACATACTCTGTTTTTGCAGAGGAAAAAAAACAGAGCATACCAGGGAAACGGCATCGCGGGCCGCCATGATGACGATGTCGGCACAGGAGACGACTCCAGGGCAGGACTGCTCGAGCTCCGCCTTGATTTTGTCGATCACTTCGAATGATCGGAGCGAATTGATGTTGGCGAGGGCGAGCTTCTCGCCCGCCATGGTTGGAGTGTCGTCGAGCAGCAGCGAACCGTCACACCCCTGGTTCAGATATGAAATTCTGTTGAGAGTTTTCAGTAGACAGAAAATTTGATGATGATGATGAGTAAGTTACGTACATTGACGAAACAATCATGAAACTGTAAGCGCAGGACGGAGGCGGCGCTTCGTGGTTCGGCGAGGAGGGACTGCTTCATGGCTTCGGCGACGATGGACTCGGCGGAAGGGCAGGTGGCGGAGTAGTATCGCCGGCGGAGGGTGGTTGTGGCCGCCGATGTGGGTGGTGGTAAGGTGGTGGTGGTGACGGTGATGGGTAGAATATACCACGTCGTCGCCGCCGCAGCTAGCAAGACCAGATATATGATTATATATGTGGTTTGTTGGTTATTTGGATTTGAGAATGAGGATTTGGAGTTTGGTAAGCCTTGGAATTTACGATAGGTTTGTTGCATTATAGATGTGAGAGAGTTCATTGTTTGTGTGAGTAAATTTTGGTCATGAGTTGATGGCTCTCTTATGAAAGTGGCCCAACAAATCTCATATCAAAATGGTGGGATTTGGCTTCTATTTTTGACCCAACAAACAAGGGAAGTTTAAATCCATCATGTTTGGAACTTGGATAGCAAATCTATAACCAAAATCTAGCAAATCTATCTCCAAAATCTAACAAGCGAACGAATCTTTGTTTGTGATAGTCAATGTATGCAGTCAAAGTCTAGCTTTTAGGTTGAAGCAAATGATGGGTTAAAACTGAAGCGCAAAAGTGTAACCTTTTGCACCCCATATTAATTGGAAATAAATTTTATTATAATAACTTGTATTTATATAAAAATATAAACAAATAAGTGAATTAACTCATTGAAAAGATCATTCTCACACACATAAACTAAATTGATAGGGTGGAGGAGAAGGAGCTTCAATGGTGGCACAATCACAAGGTAGAGTACTGGAGTTGGAGTTGCCAGAATGGGGTGGGTTGTCATATCGAGCGATGACACCGAAATTTTGGGTATGAGGGGAGTCGTCAGAGAGGAAGTTGGATGCATCACTACGGAGACTGTGCGTCGTTTAGTTGTTGTGGCACTAGTAGCACGCCAGAGATAGAGTCGTCGAGTCGGAGTTATCGTCAAAGTTACAGGTGCAATCGTAGTCATTCATGTTGTAGTTGTAGTAGCATCAGTCATGGAAAGAGAATTAAAAAGAGAAAAATATTTTATTTAAAAAAAACAATTAGCGATTAATTCTCATTTTCTTTATGTAATCTTGATTTTACCTCTTATCTCATTATGATTAGCATGATGCCAACTACTAACTTTAGCTAAGTATATGTTCTCATCATGAAAATATGAGTATGTGTGTAAGGAGGTCGGAGGAAATTGTACTGTGAGTCACGTTCTTGCATAATCGACTTGAAATTTAAGATAATTAAGTGTGTTAGAACCCAAATTTTATTTAATTTCCATCCATCATTCAAGTAACAAATACAAAAGTTCCAACTAAAAAACAACAACACAACTTATTACCATTGACTAGCCACATCCATGCTTGCTCCTTACTATACCAAGCTTATTGCAAGACCTTCCATGCACAATATCACACATCCAACCAGAACAGGGAACCAAATCACCAATTCACCATGACACAATAAAAAAAAAAAACAGAGCTTTGCCCAGCTGAGACTTAGCAAACAACCATCATCAGTCGCAGTATCTATATTTCTCGAACCTCATGAAACAGTGGGTGAGAGCGATTTGCGCCCCAACTCTATCGGGACAGCTAACGGACAACCCCTGGAGCGCATCTTCAAGGCAGGCCGCGCAATTGGGACTGTCGTGGAACTGACAAGACGCTGAACCATAAGCCGTGGCAAAAGATTTCTCACCTTCGTAGGTAAACTCATAGCAGAAGATTTTCCCCGGGTCCGTTTTGAGGGTCGGGCCTGAATTCAGCAAATCCTGGGCAAGGTGGGCAATCGCGCCGGCGATCGGGTCCCCGTTCTTTATCTTATCGGGGCTGCACTTGAAACCGCCTTCTTCCTCTGCCGCCGCCGTCGAAACCAACCAGATGCTGACCAATGATAGCAATGCTATCGACGGCGCCACCATTATAATGATCAGCTAGATGGGTAGTAAGTTAATTGCCTGCTTTCTCTATTGTTCGACGACAATTTATAGTGTTATTGACTGAAACTGCAGGGGAGGCACTGTTTGTGAAACAGAGTACTTTTTGTTTCCTTCTTGTTGCCGTTATGTTGCATCCTGCCGGATGTGGTTTTGTGGGAGATTACTAAAGGTGCGTTTCGGCCGATGGAATTTGGGTGAGAAACAAAGGTGCCTTGAGTGATTCTCGAATAAACAGCGTTCGGCAGGAAGGATGGGAATTTTCCGGCCGGCCGTCACGCCGTGGCCCTGGTTCCATGACTCCGGCAAGCCAACCTCGACAACGAACGCCAATCGATAGATTGTTTTTTTCCCCCAACCCTTATAAAATTTAATTAAGCATACCATAAATCCCTTAAAGTTGATCGCAAAATATCATTAAGTAGTTCAGAATGCTCATAATGAAGGCCAGAAATCTTGGTGGAGGTGATAAAGGCGTAGAATTGTGTTCGGTAGATTTTGGGTTCGATGCATCGTGATCACGAATATCATGAATAAGACCGGAAATACAACAAAAAATGCCATAAAACAAATAAGGCTTTGTTTTAGTGGTAATATCACTAACCTTGAACCTAGAGGTCCCAGGTTTAACTTCTTTTAGTAGTACCTAAATCATAAAAACTAAACTTATATCACCCTTACAAAATAAACAAAAAAACATCATAAAACTCATAAAGTATATCAAAAATTTTGGAGAGGTGTGTCAGCCTATAAAAACAATAACTAAATATAATTCATAAAGTACACAATTTCATTGTTTTCCATAGCGAGCAACAATTATGAGAGGTTTGTAGAATACATGTATTGCTTATTTTGCTCAAATATTTTTCATTGCATGCAAGATACAACCCCTCAAACATTGATAAATCGGTCATCTCACTACTTGCAATTAACAACAAATATGTCAATTACAACTTCTGAAGGTGTGTCAGAGATCCTAGTTTTAAATTTTTATAATGACGAAACATGAATTTTCATCAAAACCTCGAGCTGTCACACACCTCCCCTTATCCTAGGTCCGCCCTCGAGTGGTAGTACCCACGGTTTGATACCATACCAAACCATTCGGATGAACCAAAAAACCAAAAATCGAAGTCAATCCGCAACACCATGAGTTCCGGCTTCTATTTACCATACCGGTCGGTATTTTAAGTCTAACCAACTAACAGGAAAATATCGTCCGATTTTGGTTCGTCCAGACAATATACAATTTAAATTTTAAAAAAATACCATTTCAAATCAAACCAACTAACAGGAAAATACCTGTCGATTTTTATTCGTGAGTACGATTTTTTAATCCTTGATTTATTGGGTCCAAGAATAGCCCAAAATTCATATTCCATTCATCTTTCAAGTAACTTAGCTCAATTTGCCAGTTATTGATTAGTACACACATGCTTCAAGTACATTACACCAAGCTTATTGTAACAACGGCGGACCCATAAACATTACAATATCCAAACCAGAACAGGGGAACCAAATCATCAAGAGAAACAGAGCATCGATGGAAAAACTGCTGCAACCATCACCATCATCAATTGCAGTACCGATACACCTCGTACCTCAAGAAACATTCCGGCAGGGCGACTTGCGCCCCACGGCAGTCGAGACAGACTTCAGAGACGGCATGGAGTGCAAAGGCTAAGCAGGCGTTGCAGGCGGCAGCATCCTGGACAGTACAAGCCGCCGAGCCATAAGCCGAGGCATCGCCATTGGGACCGTGATCGTGTTGATCATAACATGAGATCGCCCCAGGATTCGTCGCGAGCGTCGGCCCTGCTTCCACCAGATTCCACATCACGTGCTCGATCGCGATGGCGAGCGGGTCCCCTGTCGACACCTTCTCGACGCTGCACAGAGGATAGACGTCTTCCGCCGTCGTCGTTCGAATCGCTCTGCTGCTGCAGAGCAACCAGATGCCGATCGCGGCGACGAGTTTACGACAACCAATTCCAACTGCCATCATCGTCATCAGCCTGCTAGCTAGCTAGTTATAGTAAGTTTGCCCTGTTTCGTACATTTGGCCATGGTGTTTTTATAAGCAAAACTTTGGGAGGGCATCTTCTCCTCGAAAGTACAGTACCTTTTTTCTTCTCCTTCTCCTTTCTTATTTGCCATTATGCTACAAAAGGCACGTTCGGCAGAAGGAATTTGGGCCAATGAACAAAGCCTGCCTTGATAAATTCTCCTCGAATAACAGCATTCGGCAGTCGGGGAGCATGGGTTCGATTGCTAGTTTGCTATCATCTCCTTCCGAATGTAGTCGGAAGGCGGACCAAGCACTCCGAGGGGACGATAGCTCGAGTTACTGGGATCAATTCGTTCTCGACAATGTATCAGAGTGTCTTCTGTGACACCGAAAGGTCCTCTGTGCTCGAATCCACACGATGATTAACAAACGCCGCAACTCTTGTGATCGGGCAAGACACATTGATGAGCTCAAGAAGAACGTAACTAACTCTATGATCAACAATACATACATACATGTTAGAGAGTGATATAAGATCCAACAGAACCTTCTCCCAACAACTCGAGTTATTGAGACCAACTTTGGTTTATGACATGGTATCAGAGTCTAGTTTGACCAAGTGGTCGTGTGTTCGAATCTTCACTACCCTAATATTAACAGCTGATGAAAGCACAAGGTATGGTGGGTCTGTGCAAACTTCAACTCCATAAGTTGACTTTCGTTTGAGTGAGCATGTTAGAGAATGGTATAAGATACATCATAATTTTCTCTTAACAACTCGAGTTATTGGAACGATGGTGATAGTTAGAACCTACCCATTCCTCACCATATGTGAGGTGAGTGACAGCATCACCGTTTGTGGGGATGAAGAGGCATCCAGGGTTTTCTCTTATGCAAAGAGTTCCATAACTTTGATAAATCGGTCATTGATATGATTTTGAATATAATTATTGTTCATCAACTTCCTAGTAAACAAAAGTTATCTCGCTACTTGCAATTACAACATATATGTTAATTACAATTTTTGGAGGTGTGTGAGAGATCTCGGTTTAAAATATTACGACATAACGTGAATTTTTCATCGGAATCTAGACTAGCGACACACCTCTCCTTATCCTAGACCCGCCCTTGAGTGGTAGTACTCATGGTTTATGATATCGTACCGAACCTGTTGGTTGAACCGAGAAAACCTAAAATCAGAGTCGGTCAGAAATGTTGTGAGTTCAGGCGGTACCTTAATTTTGCCTATATGTTTTTTTAAGAAAAATATTTATTTTTAAAAAATAATATTTTATCTGTACAAACTGTTGAACCACGATCGTAC